GACCCTCCTGCCTCAGGCTCCTGGATGACAGGCGTGCACTACCACACCTGTCTCCCATCCAGTTTAAACTAAATGGCAGCTGCCTTTCCAGAGGGTTACCATGGACAGAGCAGCCTGTGAACACTTTATGTGTACTGGTTCTTTTTTAAAAAAATAGCTGGATATGGTGGCTTACGCCGTCATCCCAGCACCCGGGAGGCTGAGGCAGAAGGATCACCGTGAGTTTGAGGCCATCTTGGGCTCCATGCTGAACTCAAAGCCAGCGTGAGCCGCACAGTGGCACCCTGTCTCAACCCCACCACCACCACAAAACCAGGGACAGCTGCACACCTGCAGTCTCTGATGCTTGGCTAAGGCAGGAGGATCACAAGTGTGAGCCCCATTTAAGCAACCTAGCAAGACCTTATCTCAGAATGAGAGAATAAAAAGGGCTGGGGGTGTAGCTCAGTGGTGGGGTGTCCCTTGACCAAAACAAAACCACCACCAAAATTCTGAGATGATTCACAGAAATGAAATTTTCTCTAGGATTTTAAGGTACCCGGTTCAGTGTTTCTAGTATATTCACAAGGTTGTCCAACTCCAGAACATTCCAATCACCCCCAAAAGCCCTCTACTCCTCAGTCCCAACCACCCAAGCCCTGACACATCAGCCCCCTGGTCTACCTCCGTCTCTGATTTGCCTATTCTCTTTGTGATGTGAAATCCTACAACGGGCCTTTGCCTCTGCTTTCTTGTGCTTCACATGTTTTCGAGGTTCAGGGGTGTAATATACACTTCACCTTGTATCACGGAGTAATTTCCATGGTATGAATACATCACATTTTGCCTGTCACATTTTATCACTTGATGGGTGTTAGTTGTTTCTAGTTTGTTATTATGAATGATGCCATAAATATTTGTGCACAAGTGTGTGGGGGACCATGTCTTTCCTTCTCTTGGGGAGATGCTTAGGAGAATTTCTGGGTTATATAGCGACTCCCAAGTTTGACATTTTGTTGGTTGGCTTGTCTGTCTGTCTGTTTTTTGAAACACAGTCTCACAACGCAGCCAAGGCTGGTCCTGAATTTACAACCCTCCTGCCTCAGCTTCCGAGTACTGGGATTACAGTGTGTGTGGTTAGGTTTAAATTTTTGAACTGTAAGACTGTTTTCCACGACCCACACCAGCAGCGTATGAGCTTCCAATTTCTCTACCATACAACACTTACCTTCGCATGCAATGATTTTTGTACCCATCCTGGTGGGTGCACTGTTGCATGTCCTTCTGGTTTTGATATCCATTCCCTTACTGGACAATCATGTCAAGCACTTTTTCATGTGTTATTGGCCAGCTGTGTATTTTCTGCAGAGAGATGTCTACTCAAATCCTTTGCCCATTTTTAAATTTGGTAGTCTTTTTGCTGTTGAATTGTATGACTTCTTTATGTATTGTGGATGCTAATCCCTTATCAGATATTGTATATGATTAGTAAGTATCTTCCCCCATTCTGTGGGTTTTCTTTGTACTTTATTGAAGTATGCTTTCCTTTGATGGACAAAATTTTAAATTTTTGATGAAATCAAATTTATTTATGTTTCTTTGGTGGAATTAGGAGTGCCAACTTCTTCAACTTCCTCCTCTTCTCCTCCTCCTCCTCTTTCTTCTTGAAACAGGATATTGCTGGTTGTGAACTCATAAGGTAACACAAGCTGTCCTCCAGTGCAAGGTGATCCCCCTGCCTCAGCCTCCTTAAGTGCTGGGATTACAGGTATGTGCCACCACCGCTGGCTGGATGCTAACTTCTTAAACCTTTCCAACAATTATATGATCATAATTAACATCCTCATTTTTCAAATGAGGAACTGAGGCATAGAAAAGCCAAGTACCTCACCCAGAGGTAGGATCTGAACCCAGGGCCCATCCCGCAGGACCCCAGGTAGGAACCACTCACAGTTCCTATGCTGATGTTTTCTTTTTGTTTTTTAGACTGTGTCACCCTGTGTTGCCCATGCTGGCCTCAGACTCTTGATCTTCCTGCCTCAGTCTCCAATGCTGGGATTACAAGCGTGTATTACCACACCCATCTTTGTTCATAATGATGATTATTATTATTGGTACTGGGAATCGAACTCATGACCTCTCACTTGCCGGGCAGGTGCTGTGCCATTGAGCTAAACTCCCAGCCCATGAATATTCATCTGAAGGATCCACGCTTGGTGGGACCTGAGAGGTGGGGCGTTTCCATGGCAACTTCCTAGTGGTATGTAAAGCTGCACCCCCTTGCCAGGGAGCAAGTCAGGACAAGAGGGCAGAGGTGGGCGAAGGAAAGCCACACTCTTGCCGGTGGAGTAGCAAGGGCCTGGGAGGAATGGCACTAGGGCCACCTGAGGAATGCGGCCACGCCCATTGGAGCTATGGGTGCAGGCAGGACTGGGGGTTGGGAGTGGGCTGCCTGCGGCCTGGAGACAGCCAGTCCTGTGACACTGGTGACACATACCCCCCACCCAGCCCGCCCTCGCTGGCCCCAGCTACCCAGGAGGCAGCCAGTGCTACCTGGAGCCAGGAGGAAAATTTTCCAGGAGCCTGGAGCTCCCTGATGACAAGTTTCAGCATGACAGGGAAATGACAGGTGTCCTTCTGTCCTGGCAGTGACCTGTAGTTTCTGTTAGGGACCTGCATTCCACAGGGCCAGCATGCACACGGCACTGGGAAGTAGTCGAGAATGCACCACACCAAAACACGCCGCTCTGGCCTAATGACTTTTCTGAGTTAAAAAATACTCAAAAACTAGGTGCAAAATCACTGGGACCTTTCTTTTCTTTTCCTTTTTTCTTTCTCTTTTTGTAGTACATGTGATCAAACCCAGGCCTTCACACTGAGCTACATCCCTAGCTTGCTATCCGTCTGTCTGTCTGCTTGTTTACTTGAGATGGTTCTCAACACAGTCTAGGGTGGCCTTGAATTCTTTATGTAGCCCAGGCTGGCCCTGTGGTTGTCGAAATCCTCCTGCCTCATCCTCCCGAGTGCTGGGATTACAGGTGTGTGCCACCATGCTCAGCTTAGTTTTTATTTTCAGGGTCTCACTAAATTGCTAAATTGCCCAGGCTGGTTTCAATTCTGCAATCGACCTGCCTCAGCCTCCCAGGGTGCTGAGATTACAGGTGTCACCATCACTCCCGACTTGACTGTCTGTCTTTTTTTCTTTCTTTTTGACCTCCTTAAAAGCACTGAATGAGGAGCTAGGCACATAGCCCAGTGGTAGAATACACACTCAGCGTGTACAAAGCCCTGGGTTCGATTTCCAAAACCCCGCCCCCCCAAAAAAGGATGAAATTATCATGTGAATAACTAAAGTCCTCTCTACACCAGGACAGTGCAAATGCATCCGTTGCATCACCGGTGACGGGCAGCTGAGGTGAGGGAAATCTGTGCAAACCAAGCTTGTTAAAGTGGCCTTCACCTTCCTAATAAGGACCCTGCCAAGCCCCACCTTGTCTCCTTTGCATAATTTGTGGCTGTTTGAGTCAGGGACTCTCTGGGCCTGTGTCTTCCTAGTGCAGCCTTGACACAGGAGCCACTCGGTTGACAGCCTCAAGAGACACAGCTTTAGGTTCCCGGGGGCAGAGCTCTGGCCTCTGCTGGTCCTGGGCAGGGGAGCGTGAACCCGCCCTGATGGAAGCTCTGCTGCACAGACTGCAGGAGGGGAGTCAGGAAATCGGGCACTCCATGGGAGACTATCCTGCCTCATCATACAGGTGGGAAGCCCCCCTGGGGGTTAGGGCCCAGGGAGACCCGCTGCTTGCACTGGACGTTAGAGGCCACCGCTGGGAGCAGGAAACTGGCCAGCTGCTGTCCACAGCTCCGGAGGTGGAGCCCAGACACATGGAAAAGTCACAGGCACCAGATAGGCTTGGCTTTATAAATAGAGTTGAAATCTCTAGAAAGCTCATTTCCAAAACAGCAAAATCCACTCAAGATAAAAAGTAGAGAAGCTGGAAGCAGTACGGATAGCAAGTGAGAACGTACTTGAAACCTCTGTCTGTCTGTCTGTCTGCCTATCGACTGTTCAGTTTGATCCAGAAGTCACCAAAGCATGGCTGAATAAGCAAAGAACTAAAATGTACACAAAACATAAAGCTTTGTAATATTTCCTGGTCACTGTTGAATCTGGTCAGTCAACTTGGTTTTTTTGTTTTGATTTTTTTTTGTCTTTTTGAGACGAGGTCTCGCTATGCAGTTCAGGCTGGCCTTGAGCTCACTTTGTAGCCCAGGCTGGTCTCGAACTCACAACGATCCTCCTGCCTCAGCCTCCTGAGTGCTGGGATTACAGGTGTGAGCCACCACGCCCAGAAACTTGTTTTTTGAGACAGGGTCTCAGAATATAGCCCAGGAAAAACTTGACTCAGGATCGTTCTGCATCAGCCTTCCGGATGCTGGGGTTACAGGCGCTCAGCACCATGGTGGCTCCACTAGCTCTTGACACCTGCCTGACTTGATTAATTGAGCTCTTGTATTATGGGGTGGCAAGGGTGGGAAAGCGGCCATTTAAACACTGCACAGCCTCCCTTGGCGATAAAGGCAGCCAATGAGACCCAGCTGACGTCCTGGGGTCAGAAACTTTGAGGAAAGCTGTTCAGAGAAGGCTGATTCATCTGGGAGCAAACACACAATTGCCTCTCAGTTTTTTCCTTCTAGTTACCTGGAATGCAGACATGATGGCTGGAACTCCAAGGGCCATAGTAGACCATGTGGAGATGAATGGGCTGGAAGCCGAGATCAGAGGGTGCAAACATTAAGTTAGAGGCCGGATTCCTTAAGCCCAAGGACCATGGGTCTACCATGCCAGCTGTAAATACTATGTCTAGACCTTTTTTGCATGAAGAAAAATAAATCACTATCAAACAAACAAAAACAACAAAACCCAATCAATCAATAAAAGTTAGAGATGGAGCACATGCAAAGATCCTGGGTTCAATCCCTCATACCAGAAATAAACAAACAAAAGTGACTGGGGGATACAGTTCATTGTGAAGATTCTGGGTTTTAATTCTTAGTATGGCAAGACATACATATATGTGTGTATATATGTGTATTCATATTCACATACCACTCTGTAAGCATCTGGAGGTTTTGTTTTGCTTGCTTTTGGCTTTTTGAGGTAGGGTTTTGCTATGCTGTCCAGGCTGCCCTTGAACTCACTATGTAGCCCAGATTGGCCTGGAACTCAAGGTGATCCTCCTGCCTCAGCCTCCCGAGTGCTGGGATTACAGATTACCACCATGTCTGGCAAGCATCTGTTTTAGAGACCCAGAGTACCCCTACTGAGTGCCAGTCCCTCTTCTCCCTTGCCCTGTGGCTTTGGGCACATGGTTCATTTCTGGAATCAGTTTCCTCGTCTGTAGAATGGGTGTGCAGGTAACATTACTCTCTCACTAGCTTCTAGCAAAGCTTAAATGAACAAATGGAGATAAAATCGCTGGCCTGGTACCCAGCCTGTAGCTATTACTGTACCACATTATGCAGTCATGCAGGCCCTGGCGCCCGCAGAACCAATCGGAAAACCGGGGCACGTTGCTGCCTTAAACAGCAGGTGGCCAAGCTGGCAGTGAGGATTATTTTTATTTCCCTAGCTCTATCTCTGCCTCGAGCGATGGTTATCCAAATGTTGTAGTGGTGATTTCTGTAGTAGAAATCTTGCTTTCTTCTAAATGAAAAGAAAAAAAGGATGCCTTTCCTTTTCTTTTTATTTTAAGCAAGAAAAAAGGGAAACCCTCTGGAACAACAACATAACCGCTCGTGCCAAGAACCATGAAAATACTCCCGGCCTTTAAGTTGGCTTCTCACTCTGGGGCGGCAAACTCAGGAAATAATCCGAATTCAGGAAGAGGCCATGTCCATAAAAACATCCCCGGCGGCAGTATTTATAATAGGGAAAACCTCGCAGCCGGGGAAGGCCTGGCATTAGGGTAATGATTACTATCCACTCATTGGAACCTCGTGTGCCGATTAAAATGGAAAAGATGATGATGGCGGAGCCGAGTGGAAAACTGCTCATGAAAAATGAGAAGTGAAAGGGGCGGGATGCAAAATTAGACCTGTCCAGGAAGGCAGCGAAAATGCGCCCTGGACAAGGACCAGAGGGGACCGCGCTGGGTCAGAGACCCCGGGTGACTTTCTGTTTCCTCTCCATTTAGCATTCTGCCTCATGATAATCCAAACATTGGTTTTAAAAATCCAAAGGCAAAGCAGGGAGAAGACGGAAGCGGGTCCGTTAGACGAAATTCGGAGGTGATTTACAGCTCTCGGCCAGCAGCTCCGGCTGTCGGCTGCCTGGGAGAGCCCGAGTCTCCTTTGCTCTCGGCCTTCATGGTGACCAGATGGACCCCACGCGTCACCAAGTCCGCTAACAATGTAGCTGCTCTTGCTGGGCGTGGTGGTGCCCGACTGTGATCCCAGCAGTGGGGAGACTGAGGCAGGAGGGTCACAAGATCAAGAGTAGCCTGCGCATGGAGTGAGCCCTTGCCTCAAAAAACTAAAAAAGCAGGATCCAGACACAAAACTGACAAGGAAAGATGCCCACCATGTGTTAGATAGAATAAGCAGGCAGAGGCCAGAAAGAGGGGCAGGATTTTGCCTGATTTAAGAGGCAGGCAACACCCCTGGCCTCTTTGATTTCTTATTTTGAGGCAGCCTCACAGTCACTGAGTTGCCCAGGCTGGGTTTGAACTTGCGATTCCCCTGCCTCAGCCTCTCAGACTGCAGGGATTACAAGCACGGGCCGTTCGCATCCAGTGTCCTTGTCTGCAAAAGAAATGGTAACAGCCACCCTCCTGATTCATACTTCCCGGTCAGGTGTAGGGATTTAAAATCGCCATGCTCTTTCTGTACAGGAAGACTGGGTCCTTCGAGCTGCAGCCAAACAGAGACCAACATTCCCAACACTCCTCATCACCTTAGCACCAAAGGGAGCTGCTTACACTCCCCATTTTCTTTCTTTCGAATTTCTTTCTTTCTCTCTTTCTCTCTCTCTCTCTTTCTTTCTTTTCCTATGTAGTCCAGGCTGACCTTGAGTACACTATATCCCAGGCTGATCTCAAACTTGCAGCGATCCTCCTGCCTCAGCCTCCCAAATGCTGGGATTATAGGCGTGAGCCATCACGCCTGGTTTTTTCCTCTGTAGGGTAAGAGGGAGAAGATGACAACAAAGTCCCAGTACAGAGGAGAAAAACTGCATTAGTGCAGGAGTGAGACTAGGGCTGAGATGCAGAGAAGGACCCCAATTCCTTCTGTGACTCCCATGCCACCACTGTGTCTGGAAGAAGCCATGACCTACTCTCCTCCAGACCCCGCCATCTCAACATGATGGGCAGGACATGGCACTACTCAGGGCTCCCAAAACCGGACGGGTCACTGGGACATTTGGGGCATGTTTAACAACCGGATTCCGGGCCTCCACATCCTCCCGTCTCATCCTGATGCATCAAGTGAGGGCGGATCTGGGCTGAGTCACAAGGTGATCAGTGCCACCCCAACTTTGGCCTGGCTCCCACCCAGCCCTCCACATTGCCCTATGAGTAGGCCGAGCGATGAGGGCCATCTCAGGTGGCACGAGCCCTGGCAGCGGGGAGAAACCGGAGTGGGCCTGGGTCATCTAACAGAGCACTGTTCTGGCCCAAGCTCACTTCTTGGGTATCAAGATCAGGGGAAGGCTCGGGACAAAGTATCCTGGGCAGTCAGTCCGTGAGCTGTCCAGGGCCAGGGCCACTGGGGGCATGGGAGGTGGTAGGTGAACAGATCTCAGCACCCCCAAATCCAAATGTGGCCCAGGCTCCTGTGGCGACCATGTATCACACAGGCCCGAGTCGCTCTCCTTCCCTACCCAGCCATTGGCAGGGACCTCCTTGAGGCTGGCACAGGTCTCTTCCTCTCTGTGTGCACAGGGCTGAATATTTCATGACTAAGGGAGAGGGAGTAACACGTACCGTGTTACCACGGTGTCAGGGCAGGACCAACAGTCACACCACCAGGCACGGGGGAGAGACACGTGCTCACCCCAGGGGCGGGGACCTGGGGCCTTGTCATCTGTCACCTGCTGGAGGCTGAGCTGCACACTGGCAGGGGCCTGGCACCTTGGCACCCTTTGAAACAGTAAGGAATTAGGGTCACAGAGCTTCTGCCTAGAAAGCGGCCTCGCCACCACACACACGGGCACACACAGAACTGGGCCTTCATGAAACAGAAGATTCCTTTCTTTCTTCTTTTTCTCTTTAATTCTGTCACTGGGGACTGAACCCAGGGGTACTCTGCCACTGACCTACATCCAGCCCTTTAATTTCTTTCTTTCTTTCTTTCTTTTTTTGGTACCAGGAATCAAACTCACCAACCTCATGCTTGCCAGGCAGGGGCGGTGCTGCTAGCTAAATCCCGGGTTTCTCTGGGGTTTTGAGATAGCGTCTCACTACACAGTTCAGGCTGGCCTGGAACGCACAGCCAGCCTCCTGCCTTAGCCGCCTACAAGCCGGATTGCAGGCGTGTACCGTCATACCCGGTCTTTTTATGTCTTTTTAAAGTTTGAGACAGGGTCTCACTAAGTTGCCTAGGAGCCACTCAAATTTCAGATCCTACTGCAACCCCCAATTTAAGAACTGATTTGAGCATCACCAACAAATGCCTGAATCACTGGGCAAGGTGATGCTGAGGAATGGGATACCTGTCTGGTCTCCCAGTATCAGCTGGCAGGTGATTAACTGATAAGCTAATTAATTTCAAGGGAAAAAAGTCAGGGACACACAGCACCCACTGCCTTAATCAAGTGATCAAAACTCGCATTATTTGTTACATTTTTAAAACAAGGTCTCCCTATGTAGTTCAGGCTGGCCTTGAGTGATCCTCCTGCCTCAGCTTCCTGAGTACTTCAATGCCAGGCAGGCTCCACCAAGCCCCTGCAAAATTAGCATGACTGATAGTGGCTCAGACCTTGAATTACAAAACATCTCTGTCTAGTGCTTGCTAAAAATAGCCAAGTTGAATATTGTTTCAGGAAACAATCAGACACACCCAGAATGTTGACATTTACAGGCAAAGAGTTGTTTTGACTATGGAAAAATGCAATAGTTTCCGAACTACCTCATTCTGTGATTAAATCCCTTCCTGCTTCAGATACCTGGAGGGAACTTGCTTTTCCTGACCCACATCTGTCTGAGGACCTCACTGCAGAGCAAGGCAACTCCCTTCAGAGAGACTGCCACTAAAGAACAAATAAAAGATGCTGCCTAGGGGCTGGGGTGTAGCTCAGTGTTACTGTGCCTGCCTGGCAAGTGTGAGGCCCTGAGTTTGACTCCCAAAACCAAAAATTAGGAAATGGGAAGACAGAGCTTTTGCAAAGTGTGAGGGGGACCAAGGTGAATTAAGAAGTGCTGTGTACCTGTCCCTGCTCCCCACCATGAATGTGATCATTATGGGCTTTAAACACGTACCAATAAAAATTTTTTTTAAATTATAAGTTCCAAACTCTGGCTAGTACTAGGTACCAAAAGGTCAGTAGAAGCTGGCGGTGACAAGCAGTTCCCAGGCCTGCAGCACAGGTTGCTCTGTGAGTCCCAAGTCACTGGATGGGATGCCAGCACCCAGACCACGTGAGACTCCAGTCCACCTCATCATGGCCGTGCCCTTGGGGGTGCTGGGCCAAGCTGCTGCCCCTCAGAACGGACCCCACAGCATAGCAGCGACATCCCCAGGGCTACGTAAGCCCCTACATCCGCCTGGCACTGTCCTGGGATGCAGAGACACTTGGTCACCCTCCTGGCACTGGTGGGGGGCTCCTCTGCCACCACACCTCTTGGAGTCGGGGCAGAAGGGTCAGCAACAGGGAATCCAGCACAGCCAGGCCTTCCCATGAACACCGGAGACCCCTGGAACCGGACAGACCTGGTGTGATTGCTCGGTCTCACCAGTCTCAGTCCCAGCCTGGGCACCTGTCAGGGCTCATGGGGATCCCTAAGCCCACAACTCACCTGTGGTCCAGCAGCAGGAGGCCCTGCTCCTGTAGCCTCTTCACCTCCTCACTTGCTCCAAACACATCCCACAGGGTCAGCTGGGACTCAAACTGCCGCCAGTGCTGGGAAGGCAGGGGGCAGAGGTGGTGAGCAGACTGGGGTCCAGCAAAAGGGGACAGCAGGTCCAGCCTGGCCTGGGGATGTTCAGGGACACCCGGACAGGTCTGTGGGCCAGGGGGAGGTGAGTGCTTTTACCCACATGGTACCTTCAGGCCAAAGCCCCAGCTCCTGGCCAACCCAGGTCTCCTTCTGTGCCTTCCCCCACTGTCCCTTCTCCCTCCACACAGCAGGCACAGCCACAGCCAGAGCTGCACCTGCAGGCAGCACTTCATCTACAAGGGCTCTGAGTCTGAGCAAATGATCCAGTGAGCTTCCAGCTGAGGCTTTGGTGCCGCTTACCACAAGGGAAGCCCTTTGGGGAACCCATTCCCTCACATATCTGGGAAAACTAAGGCACAGAGCTGTGAAAGGATCTGGATCCAACATCGCAGCAGAACTGAGACCACACCCTGGTCTAGGTTCTCACCATTGCCCTGCACACCTACAGCTTCTGCACTGCAGACCACTGGACCACCGCTCAACCTCCAGGAATGCAAGAGGCTTGTGTGACTGCGTGTGCGTGAGCGGAGGGGAATGAGACAGAGGCTGGTCTCACAAGGCTTAGGAGGAGCAAACGGTATGCCCTCACCTGGTGCGTGATCCCCACATCTGTGCGCAGCCCCATGGCCAAGACCTCCTCCAGCCTGAGAAAGAGAAATCAGCAAGAGACTTAAAGAAGAGACCCTGTCTCTCCCCTTCTTCCAACCAGACGCTGGGCTGCACAGATGGGTTTCTGCAGCATGGGGCAGGGCCTGGGGCTGGGGGAAACAGAGGCACAGGTGGCAGTGCTTCCAGGGCACAGGAGATCCTGAGACACTCACAGCTCCAGCTCATCCAGGGGGACGCGCTTCCGGGTGCCATGACCAAACTGAATCACCTCCCTCATCCAGTTATCAGGCTCCAGGGTCTGGATCCGAGCCTCCCGGGTGTGGCACCCCGCCCCATGGGGCACGAACCGCCCATGAGCACCTGGTAATCACAATGGGGCAGCCAGGGGTACACTCTGTGCTCACAGCCTTAAACCCAGGCCGCAGCATCTCAGGATGGGGTGTGTGACTTCTCAGGCCCTACTCCAGCGCACCCGGCAGCAATTCTGTGGGCGCCTCTCCGCTCCCCTATTCTGGACTTTAACAGGCCCTCCAGGGGATTCTGATGCGCACAAAAGACTGAGAACTCCAGAGCCCCAGCAGGATAGCAAGCAGGACACATGCACAGGCGACAGTCCCACCCGCAGGGGATTCTTTTGCTGCACATTAGGTATGAGGAAATACAGGCTCAGAGAGCTACACAGGAGGCCCAAGTCCCCGCTGAGACATTCTCCTGTCTCAACCCTCTGTCACTCACAGGAGACTCACCAGGCCCCACGCCAAGGTACTGACCGCACTGCCAGTAAGTCCAATTGTGGGTGCTGAGCGCCCCCTGTGGGGAGGGAGAGACAGTGACGCCGAGGCAGGAAGGTGCCCAGCGTGGACTTTTCAGGGGTGGGGTGGGGGTGGGAGTCAGGCTCTGCGCGCCCTCAGCCTCTGGACTCCAACTCACACGGCGCGCAAAGTTGGAGACCTCGTACTGGCGGAAGCCTGCGGTCCGCAGCAGCGCGCGCCCCTCCGCGTACATCTCCGCTGCCAGCTCGGGGTCGGGGGCCGGGACGGCTCCGCGCTGCACCTGGGCGAAGAGTGCCGTGCCGCGCTCCAGGGACAGCTGATACAGGGACAGGTGGTCGTCGCAGTGGCGCAGCAGCTCCCGCAGCTGCCCGAGCCACGGCCCTAGCTGCTGCCCCGGCAGCCCGAGCATCAAGTCCACCGACACGCGGCCTGGAAAGAGGCGCCGCGCCGCCGCCAGCGTGCGCAGGGCGTCCCGGGCCGAGTGCGTGCGCCCCAGCAGCTGCAGCTCCGCGTCGTCCAGGGACTGGGGAGAGAAGGGGGAGCATCCAGACCCAGACCCCTGACACGGGGCAGAGGGACCCCACCCCTCACGGGGGCAGGGAGCTGCGAGGGGAGGGGAGGGCGACGGCCGGGCCAGAACCCAGACGCAGCTGCTTTTCATGGAAGGGTGAATTTAATCCTCACGTCCTCTAACAGTGTTAGATCCTTTTCTTTATCCCCCCCCCCCTTTTCTTACAATACTCAGGATAAAGCCCAAGGTCTTCACAGTGAGTTATAAATCCAGCCCTTTAAAAAAATTTTTTTTTTTTTTACTTTGAGACAGGGTCTCACTAAACCACTAAATTACCCAGGGTGGGCTTAAACTTGAGATCCGCCTGCCCCAGCCTCCAAAAGTACTGGGCTGACAGGCCTGCACCACCATGCCTAGCTTCCAGCAGCAGTGTTTGTTTGCTTGTTTGTTTTGAGACAGGGTCTCGCTATGTAGTTCAGGCTGGTCTTGACCTCATGGTAATCCTCCTGTCTCAGCCTCCTGAGTGCTGAGATTATCAGCATGCATCACTAAGCCTGGCTCATAAATTAATTAAATGTAAACAGCTGCATTTCAATTGCTCGCCAGCATGTGGCTGCTGTGCTGGATGCAGGATTACAGACATTCTCCCCTCCACACCTAAGTACTGAAGTATTTCCTAAGGACAAGGACATCTCTTACATAATCCAGCCCAATTCTGGGGTTCAGGAAGTATAATACCAGTGCAACACCATTACTTAATACATTGTCATATCCACATGGCCAGTGGCCCAGTCCTGTCACCTGTTGTAATTAATTTCCTCCTTCCTCCCCAACCAGAAGTCATATGTTATACTCAGCTGTCACCACCACTGTCATCTCCTGTACTCCAGATTTTCTGTCTTTTTCTTTCTTTCTTTCTTTTTTTTTTGTTGCTGGGGATTGAACTCATGACCTCAAGCTTGCCAGGCAGACGCTTGTGCCACTGAGCTAAGCCCCTGGGCCATTTCTTCATCTTCTGTCTTTTGAGACAGGGTCTCCCTTTGCAGTTCAGATTGGTCATGAGCTCACTGTATAGCCTGGGCTGGTCTCGAACTCGAAATAATCCTCCTGCCTCAGCCTCCCGAGTGGTGGGATGACAGTCGTATGCTAACATGCCCAGTGTATGCCACTGACTTTTTCAAAGAGTACAGCCAGTTTTTGAAAATGTCTCTTAATGAGTAAGTGCTAGAGATCGACTGCACATTAAAGTGATAGTTAATTCCTCTCTCCTTTCTCCCTTTGCCGGGGTTTGAACCCAGGGTCCTGCTCATGTTAGCCTAGTGCTCTACCACTGAGCTGCATCCCCAGCCCCAGGAGTTTCTTCCTTTCTTTATCTGATGTTTCCGCACTATTAGTTTCAAGATATGCATTTCAGACAAGAAAAATCTCAGAAATGACCCGAAACTCCATGAGGGGCAGCATACTGGACCCATCAACCCCTCCAACGCCTAAGTGCTGAACAAAGTACTTCCTAAGGACGAAGACATCCCTTGCAATCTTAACAAGTGGATCACCCTGGATGTGGAAGTATTGAGGCCTATCTTTCTCCCTGCTTAAAAACCTTCAGTGGCTCCCTTACCCGTAAGAAATTCCAGAGCACCCGTAGGTGCTGATGGCCCTCAGGCCCTGTTTGGCAGCCTTGTATCTACCTTCTCCAATCACAAGGAATGACTCACAGTTGTCCCGAAACATGCCAGGCTCTTCCAGACCTGTGTCTTTTCCTCCCATACCTCTCACCTTTAAATTCTCCCTCTTCTTATTCAAATATCTCCTGCTCCAGGAAGGCTTCCAGTATTTCACCAGACTGAGGTGCCCTTTTTACACTGGACTCTGAAAGCTTCTCTTAGAGATCGCTTTACAGGCAGCATTTACCATTCGCAATGATCTGGCTACCTGCCTGCCTCTCCTGTGTCTCCATCACGTAACAAATCTTTTTAGCCAGATACGGTGGAGTGCACCTGCAATCCAGCACTGTGAGAAACTGAGACAGGAGGATTGGAAATTGACCAACGTGTGGGTAACTCAGTGACTTCGCAAGACCCTGTCTCAAAACTAAAAAAAAAAAAAAAACAAATAAACAAACAAACAAACAAAAAAAAACCAGTATATATATACCAGTGTGGAGCTAGGCATGGTGGCACACACTTTTTAATCCCAGAAATCAAAAGGCTGAGGCAGGAGGATGGCAGCCAGCTCCAGGCCACCCTGGCCCACCCAGAGAGTCCAAGGCCGGCCTAAAGTACATAGCCAGCTGGGTCTGGTGATGCATGCCTGTAATTCCAACACTCCAGGGGCTGAAGCAAGAGGACTGCCACCCGTTTGTGCTTAGCCTGGACTACATAGTAAATTCTACGTAGTGAGTTTAAGACCAGCCTGGATTGCATAGAGAAACCCTGTCTCAAAACAAACAAAATAATATACAATGAAAACTAAACGCCATAACCAGACCCTGTCTCAAAACCCAACAGTCAATAAATAAATGCCCAGTGAACGAATGCCACATTAGGGAAAAAGACCCTGACCATTAGGGACGCCGGCATAAGGGTGAGTGGGTTACCTGGAGGCCAATGGACAACCTGTTGACTCCCGCCGCCCCGAACTCCGCCAGCCTGGAGCCAGGGGCGGAAGTGGGATTCACCTCCAAGGTGACTTCTGAGTCAGCAGGCAGGTGGGCCACCTGTGCCACTGCCTCCAGGAGGGCGGCCACGGTGTGGGGACTGGCCAGACTGGGGGTGCCTCCACCAAAGAATACAGAGTCCACCCTGGAGGAAGAGGACAGAGAAGATGAGACCTGACCTGGGCGAGGTCTAGGCCGCCCGCACCTGCCCCCTGCCCGCGCACTCTGGAGCCCAGGCTGCACCTGTGCACCCCGCCGAGCGCAAGCAGCGTGTGCGCCTCCGTCACCAAGCAGCGCCGCAGGGCGGCCTCATCCACGCCGCCGCGCGCCACGTACTTGTTGAAGTTGCAGTAACTGCAGCGCTTTTCACAGTACGGCCACTGGGGACAGGGGACAGGGGACGAGGAAGGGTATGGGGGTGAATGACCCCGGGTTGCTCAGTCACTTCCAGGGTTCAACACACACTGCCCCATCCTCATCCCCATCCCGAGGCTGAGGCTGCTCAACATCAACCAACAGCGGCTGCGACGTCTGAGCCGCACTGTTCAGCAGCAGGCGGCGCTGGAATTACGATGCCCGCTTCAATATGAGAAAATGAGGCTCAGGCCAGGCCTAGTGGCCCACGCCTGTCATCCCAGCACTTGGGAGGCTGAGGCAGGAGGATCCTCGTGAGTTCCAGGCCAGCCTGTACTATCCAGTGAGTTAAAGGCTAACCTGAAGTACATTGAGAGACTCTAAGAAAAAGGAAATTTGGAGAAAAATAGAAAGGAAGGAAGGAAGAAAAAAGAAAATTTGCAACAGGCTCAGAAAGGTCACTTTGTCAAGGTCACTGCATATCTTTGCATCTGAGACTCTGGGTCTCTAGATCAAGACCCAGACACAAAGAAGAATCCAGGTAGGCACGCACAGGTAAAAATTCCCTGTAATGAATGTTACATTATGTATGTCTAAAAGGGACCAATAAAATGAAAGGAAAAAAAGTGACTAGAGTACCAGGGGTCAGCGCCAGTCACCACCACGTTTCCTCGCGCCGTGGCCCCGCCCCTCCCCGCCCACTCACGTGCACGTAGAGCGCCGCGCGCCTGCTGGCGGGGTCGCCTCTCGGGGACCCCTCGGCGCTGCCCACTCGGCGGCCCTGGGCTGCCCTGGCAGCCGCCACCAGGCCGCGGGCCCGGGGCCCAGGAAGAACCATGGCGCCCGGCCCGGCCGGGTCCCGAGCCGATCTGCGCCCTGGGCACACGGTGCGTGCAGAGCCCGGGCGGAAGGAAGTGGAGAGGCGGCAGACGGCCACCGGGCTCCGGTCTGCGGCGCCACCTGCCGGACGCCCTGTGCTCACCGCAGCCGCTGCAGGCCTGACTTCAGACACCGCCTTGTGCCTGGCCTGGCCCGTTCCCCTGGAGATCACAGTGCGTCTCCTTCGCATCCTCTGTGGCTGGCACAGAGCTGGGCGCCTGGGCACCGAGGTGCATCGGATCGGGTCTCAGTCTGACAGCCCCGAGACAACCAACAAGTCAGGACATGGGAGGTGTCAACTCAGTGCCTCCTGTGGGGCTGGGAGAGGTCTCTTCTCAGAGCAGTTGAGGGTGGGAAATTCATAGGCTGAATTTTACATTTCGTTTTTATTCTTTTTTTTTTTTTTTTTTTTTTGCGTACTGGGGATTGAACCCAGATCCTGCACACTGAACTATAACCAGTTCCTTTTTTTATCTTTTTTTTGTTTTTGGTCTTTTTGAGACAGGGTCTCGCTATGCAGTTCAGGCTGGCCTTGAGCTCACTTTGTAGCCCAGGGTGGTCTCGAACTTGCAGCAATCCTCCTATGTAGCAATCCTCCCGAGTGCTGTGATTACAAGCGGGAGCCACCACGCCTGGCTTCTTTTTTATTCTTATTTTGAGACAGCATCTTGCTGAATTGTACAGGTTCAGCTCAAATTTGTGATCCTTCCGTCTCAGCCTCTCACAATGTTGGGATTATGAGTGAGCACCACCATGCCTGATTTGGGGCTGGATCTAGAAAGAATGGAAAATCCCAAAGAGAATTGGCTGAGATTTCCAGGCCAAGCCAACCCATGCACGTACTGAGAGGACTCAGAGTTGGTGTGTGCCAGGGAGTTGGGTGCTCGGGAAGCCCTGGGGAAGCAGCCCCGGAAGACCTGTTCCCCACAGTGGAAACTACACAGGCTTCAGAGCGTGGCTGTAATCCCACTACTCAGGAAGCTGATGCAGGAGGATTGCTAAATTTTAAGACCAGTCTGGGCCACCTATCAAGCCTTCATTTCAAAAAGAATAGGGAAGAGTTAGCCAGTGTGGTGTGCAGACCTGTAATCCTAGCATCTGGGAGACTGAGGCAGGAGGATTGCAAGTTCAAGGCCAGCCTGGGCTACATAGCAAGACAGTCTCAAGATAAAAATAAAACTAAAATGAAAAGGGCTCGGATGTGCTTAGTGTGAAGGCTCTAGGTTCAATCCCCAATAAAGAGACCCTCTCTCACACACACAGAGTTAAAGATCGCGGGTCTGGAGTCTGTCAGGGCAGGACAGTTCACCCGGTGGCCTGCGACAGTCCTGGTTCTTGCTGGCTTGCAACTCTGAGGAATACTGAAGTACATCTTAAAAAGGAACAGGCAGGCTCTGTCCCAGCTGCCTCTGGAGACAAAGTGTCCTTCAGTGCCTTAGCCCAACAGGTGACGTGATCCTGAGCTACCGTAGCCAGGGTGGGCTGGCTTCCAGGGCCCTGCAGCCTCGGAGTGAGTGGGGCACGCAGTTGAGAGTCCGTCTACACCGGCCAGCCTTGGAGGCCCCAGGCTCCTGCTGTCCCTGGCTGCTTACTGTAATAACACACCTGCTGCATGCGTGGATTCCTGGCTCACGGGACTCACACAGGTGGGTGACAGTGCGAGCCCAGGTGGCTGACTATGGACACGTCTAATCCCAACTGTGAAACCTCGGCCACATCGCTTTGAGGTGGGACTGGTGTCAAGAATCAAGCTTGCTTCACTGCCTAACCAGCGCTTGGTGTCACTGATTGACCTATGCTTCCGAGAGGAAAAACGGACTTGGCTTGGATTGCAATGGGTAATTTTTGATCCATATGGGAATAAAGTTTCTCTCTTTGAACTAGGAACAGGAAGCAAGAGAAGACCCAAGAAACCCTCTTGCCTTGCTGGCTGTTGCTTTTACTTAGTTTGAGACAAATTCTCACTGTGTACCCTCAGCTGGCTTCAGACTCCCGCCTCAGCCTCTCAAAGGCTAGGATTCCAGGCCTGCATTACCACACCCACCTAGTAGACTCTTAAAACCACTTTTTAATTATTTTTTATTTTTGTCTTTTTGAGGCAGGATCTCATTACACAATTCACGTTAGCCTTGGGCTCACTTTGTAGCCTAGGCTGGCCTCGAACCTGCAAATGATTCTCTTGCCTCTGCCCCCCTAAGTGCCGGGACTACAGAGGTGCACCACCACGCCCAGCTTTTAAAAACACTCATAATGAAGCAGCATCGTGGCATTTCCCTGCAGTCCCAGCTGCCTGTGATGCTGAAGCAGGAATACTTGAACCCAGGAGTTTGATACTGGCCTGTCCACACAGTGAGACCACACACACACACAAAGGAAAATCTGTAAAAGATCCTGCAGCTGGGCAACACAGTATTGGTCCTCCACCAGCTTTGCTATAGGGACATCTCTGACCTGTGTGTCATGATAGTAACAGGCACCAAAGGTCCCTTTTCAGAGACCCGCTGCTCTTAAAACTGACTGCTCTTGGCCCATACCAGCATCTCTGAGTGAACTTCTGATATCAGGTGACCACTTCAGATCACACTAAGGTCATCATCCTCCACACACACACCCCGGGAGCCCAGAAGGCTGATTACACATTCACCTCTGGACACCACATCTGAACCTTAAATCACTCTCTGCTTCACTCCAGATTTCCCCAAAGACACCCCTCTGGGAGCTGGGTTTGAGACGGGTTAACCCCTGAGACAGAGACGAAGGACCTTTGTTAATCACAAGCTGGGTCTCAGGCCCCCTTCCCCACGTCCCCGAAGCAAAACCCTTTTATGCAGCTTCTCCAGGGAAGGGTTGTGATTCTCAGAGGTGGCCAGACACGACTGTGTGGGAATCTTGCTTTTCTGAAAGCCAGTGAGTACACCAACCCCATGAATCTGAAACCTGTAAGTAACCAAAACAATCTTGTGTTGTCTATCCTGGTGGCGCACACGTGGAATCCCAGCACTCAGGAGGCTGAGGCAGGAGGATGGAGTCCAGCCTGCTTGAACCCCTGCCTCAAAAAGAGGGTCAAGACTTACAGCTACAGGCTCCAGGTGCTCAGGAATGTTGGGAACATGGAATGTGGCACATTTAGCTGGCCCTGGCATCCAGGTTACTCAGGCAAGAAGGGAGAAAACCAACTCTGGATCCGAGAGAGAGAATCTCAGCTGGGCGGGAAGCATTGCCCTCTCTTAACCCACTAGGCAGCTTACAAATCAACTGTTTTGCAAAATCCTCATTTCAGAGCCCCGCACGGAGTAACAATACCCACACACCTCATGAAAGCGGCTGTGTTTTTATTCCTTGAGTTCAGGACTCTATCTGGCCCTGCCCATTAGGGAAGCCCCAGGTTTAATGATCAAAAGTAAAAGAAAAAAAAAAAAAAAAAACCTGGACTGACTGGGGAGAGAGTGAGTGCTGATATGTAAAGGGTATGGGAAGCCAGGCACGGTGGCTCACGCCTGTAATCCCAGCACTCAGGAGGCTGAGGCGGGAGGATCACTGCAAGTTCGAGGCCAGCCTGGGCTACAAAGGGAACTGCACAGTAACACCCTGCATCCAAAAAAACAAAATAAATAAACTTTTTGAAGTGATGAAAATGCTTGACATTGGCTTTGGCACTGATTGTATATATATCTGTGAATATACTAAAAACACTGGAAAACAGACACTTTAAATGGGTGAGTGGGCCAGGCCCACTTATCAGATTGCATGCCTGCAATCTTAGCTGCTCAGGAGGCTGAGGCAGGACAATCTGAAGTTCAAGGCCAGCCTAGACCATTTCATGAGACCCTGTCTTTTAAAAAAAGTTCCAAAATGGATGATAATATTGAATTATATCGCAATGAAACCATCATTTTTTTTTTTTTTTTGTCTTTTTCGTTTTTATCAGTACCAGGGATCGAACTCACGACTGCTTGCTTGCAAAGCAGGCACTTATGCCGCTGAGCTAAACTCCCAGCCCCAAAACTATCATTTTCAAAAAGACTGTTTCTTGCCGGACTAATCTGGTAACAGTAGGGTAAAGAAGTTAGTGAGGAAGCCTACCAAAGGGAAAAATGAGGTTGGAACTCAGAGGGGTGGGGCGAGGGTTACACCAGGTAACTGATGTGTTACAAAGTGCAGAGGGGTACAGTGGCGCTCTCTCCTCTCCGCACCGCCGGCTGTTGATGGAGCGCCCCAGCGGAGCCTGGACACACAGAGATCTGAGACGTGGGCGGGCTGAGGCGGGCCATGGAGGACCTCGCCTCAGATTCACAGTTTCAGGTGCTGCTCCATCTGCTCTCGGAGTTTGAATTTCTGGATCTAGAAGGACAAAGGACAGTGAGGCCAGACCCCCGAGATGGCAGTGTGCCTGGGTCTGGAGGGAGGGGGATCTCTCAGGTCTTTCGTGCTAAGATCTAAAAAATCCAGGCTAGGCCAGCCATGGTGGTGCATGTTTGTTATTCCAGAAGTGAGGAGGCTGAGGCAGAAGGATCCCAAGTTCAAGGCCAGCCTGGGCTCTGACGTACCTTTCCTGAGATGGTAAGAGGGTAATCGGCCACAAACACGACATAGCGCGGGATCTTGAAGTGGGAGATCTGTGGGACAGAGGGCAAAGTGTGAGGCCGGGTGAGGCTGGAAGCAGAGGCAGGGCTCAGGCTCCCAGGGGCACAGCGCTCACCCACCTTCCCCTTGCAGAAAGCTTTGATCTCCTCCTCCGTGATGGTCTCCCCGCTCTTCAGCCGGATACAGGCACAGATCTCTTCCCCCATCCTGGGGTCCTTCACGCCCACCACCTTCGGGGCGAAGAGGAGCAGCAGACATCACTGGCTCCCCGCGTTTCCCAGGGGGGTCCCGCCCTGGCTGCCCCGGCCAAGGCCTCACCTGCACCTCCTGCACCTGTGGGTGCGTGTGGAAGAAGTCCTCCAGCTCAGCGGGGTAGATGTTCTCACCACCCCGGATGATCATGTCCTTGGAGCGCCCCACAATCTTACAGAAGCCCTCCTTGTCCATGGTGGCAATGTCTCTGCGGGGAAAGTCGGGGAGCAGCCTCTCGCCTCTGCTACAAGTGCCCGGCCATGTCCTCTGTTGTTCTACAATTTATTGAGCACCTACTACGTGTCCTTCTGCGCTCCACTCTGGGACACACAGCAGGAAGGAGACACGGCCCCTGGCATTTACACTCCAGACAGGGAGGTAGAGGAAAATAAGCCTGTACAACCCTGATCGCGTCTCCTTTCTCCCCGCTTCCCCGCGTTTCTGTATCTGTATTTCTTGGCTAGTTTCTTCGTTTTTTGAGACAGGATCTCGCCACATAATTTAGGCTAGACTTGAACTCACTATGTAGTCGAGGATGGCCTCGACTCATGGAAATCCTTCTGCCTCAGCCTCCTAAGTGCTGAGATGACATACATGCCTGGCCCGTGTCATTTCTGTCATCCAGGTTTTAGCTCAAATATTTCCATAGATCTTCTCTGACCACTAAGCCTAAGGAAAGCTCTCCTCAGCCCTGCATAACCAAAGCTATTTTCTCGCCTATAACATTCTTTATTTATTCATTCATTCATTCATTTTTGTCTTTTTTGAGACAGGGTCTCACTATGCAGTTCAGGCTGGCCTTGACCTCATTTTGCAACCCAGGCTGGTCTTGAACCTGCAACTTCCTGCCTCAGCCTCTCGAGTGCTGGGATTACAGGAGTGCACCACCATGCCCGGCTATTTTTTTCAATACTAGGGATTGAACACAGATCCTTCACAGTAAGCTACATCCCTAGCCCTTGTTATTTTTTGAGACAGGGTCTTGTTAAGTCTCTAAATCTAAGCTTGAACTTGGGACTCTTCTGCCTCAGCCTCCCAGACTGCTGAGATTATAGCAATGTGCTGCTACACCCAGCTCTGGTTAATTTTTTATTTACACTTCTCATTTCTCACACCAGGGAAATCATATGATATTTACACATCTGTCCAATTTATTTCATTTAGAAATATGGTCTCAAGGTGCAGCCATTTAGCTAGAAATGTTTCAAGCTTGTCCTCTGCGGCAGAGTGGTACTCCATTCTATTTTTTTTAACCCACATCTTCTTTATTCATTCACTGGTTGGTGGGCAAATGGGCCGCTGTCTGGACACAGTGATGAAAACTGTGCTCTGTGAACCGGGATGTGCACATGTCAAATATGGTACGCTGCTTCTGCTTTGGAAGAGGAATGGCTGTGTCCAGTGAGACCTCCAGGTTTACATTTTTGTTTATGTGCTTTGAGACTCACTGGGTCTCACTGTCTCATTCAGGCTGGCCTTGAACTCACAGCAATTCTCCTGTCTCAGCCTCCCGAGTGCTGAGGACATGGGTCTTGTTTTAATCTTTGGCATGTGGAAAGCCACTTTTTTGAGCACTGTTTATTAAAGAGGCTGTCTTTTGGGGTCTGGGGATTTAGCTCAGCAGCATAAGCACCTGCCTTGCAAGCAGGCGGTTGTGAATTCAATTAAAAAAAAAAGTACCAATTAAAAAAAAAAAAAAAGAGGTTCTCTTTCTTCCAGTGAAGTTGTCTGGTACCTTTGTCAAAGATAAGTGTGTGCTTAGAGTTGTTTCTACATCTCCTAATCTGCTCCACTGACCCTTGGATCTGGTTTTTGATGATACCAAGCTGTTTTTATCATAGTAGCTCTGTAGTATAGTTTCAAGTCAGGGATTGTGATGCTACCTGCTTTGCCTTTGTTGCTCAGAATTGCCTTTGCTATTCTAAGTCTCTTCTGATTCCAAATGAATTTTAGGAGTATTTTCCCTAATTGTGTGACATGCTGTTGGAATTTTGATCAGAATTGAATTAAATCTGTTTAACAATTTTGGGACTATGGCCATTTTCATTATATTGATTCTGCCTACCCAAGAACAAGGAATGTCTTTCTATTTTGTGATATCTTCTTCAATCTCTTTTCTCAGAGTACTGTTTTTAGTGTAGAGATCATTCACTTCCTTCAGTAGATTGATTCCTAAGTACATCCTTGTCTTGTTCCTGATTTTAGAGCGAAAGCTTTGTTTTTGTTCACTGAGTGTGATGTTGGCTGTTGGTTTGTCATAGGTGGCTTTTTTCGGCTTGAGATAAAGACCATCTACTCCAATTTTCTGCAGGATTATTATCTGAATGGGGGTTGGACTTTGTCAAATGCTTTTAATGCATCGACTGAGATAGTCATATACTTTTTGTCCTAAGCCCTTTTGATATAGTGTATTATATTTATTGATTTGCATATGTTGAAGCATCTCTGCACCCCTGGGATGAATCCTCCTTGGTCATGGTGTGTAATCTTGATGATTTGCTGTATTGTGCTTGCCAGTGCTTTATTGAAGAGTTTTACCTCTGTGCTCATTAGGGAGCCTGGCCTGTAGTTCTCTTTTTTGGTTGGATCTTTCTCTGGTTTTGATATCAGGCTAATGCTTTTGTCTTGTTTTCTGAGACAGAGTTTCACTATGTCATCCAGGTTGGCCTTGAACTCACTATGTATCCCATGCTGGCCTCAAACTCATGACAATCCTCCTGCTTCAGCCTCCTGAGTGTTGGGTTTACAGCCATATACTACCATGCCTGGCTCCTTTTAGCTTTCTGATGTCTGAAATTATGTGTGTTTCCTGCAGGTGTGGCAGATCTCAGGTATAATCTCATCACTTGGAAGGCTGAGGCAGCAAGACTTGAGTTCAAGGCCAGCCCGGACTATAAAGCAAGACCCTGTCTCAAACCATCCCTGGCACCCCTAGAAAAGAAAAAGAAAAATTATCGGTCTTCCTCTCCCAGCCCAGTAGGAGGTAAGAGCTGGGTCCTTCTCAACTTGTCTCCCAGTAGGAACTAAGTCCTTGGGCTGGGGGGTCACCCCTGGCACCCCCGCTTTCTGTGCTACTTCAGTGCCCCCACCCCCTTGGGGACCCCAGCCACAGCCCCACCACGCGGTCTCACCCTGTCCGGTACCACTTGTCCTGCCCGACGGCTTCAAAGGTCTTCTCTGGCTCGGCCCAGTAGCCCTGCATGACGCAGTAACCGCGGATGCACAGCTCTCCGGGCGTGTTCAGCGCCACCAGCTGCCCAGTCTCCACGTTCACGATCTGGGCCTGGGACAAGGCAGCTTTAGCCTGGGCAGCACTGGTCTGGGGGAGCTCGGCCTCCTCCCCTCAATAATGAGGGCACCAGCTCTGCCCATGCGTCCAGGGAAGAGTGGGACAGCGACTTGAGCTGGGCAGGAAAGCTCAGTGAGCCCGGGGCAGGGTATGTGCATGTGTGTGCGTGTATGCATGCATGTGTGTGTGAGTGTGTGTAGGACACTGACTATGGGCAGGGAGCTGTCCCAGAGCAGGCGGCCGGGCAGGGTCATGCCAGCTGCAGGACTCTAAACTGTGCAGCAAGACAGGCGGTCTCCTCTCCCTGGTTGCTAAGTGGCATTTTAAATAGAGAAGCCAAAGAGTGGCCTAGCAGTGCCAGAGTCTGCAAACCCCAGGGTCAAGGACCACTGAGATTCTGTGTCTGCACCCGGGGTACACACGGAGCTGAGCCTGCCTGGCTGCCTTCCAGTGGGGGCACCCCACGGCCGGTGACTGTCAGACCCAAGTGTGGTGCCCTGGCCAGGGGCAGGGACACTCGGGCTGGTTGGAAGAAAGCACCAGTGTTGAAGTGGGGAAGAAGCCTGAACTGGAAGGTGGACTTTGAGGTGAGCCCTGAGGGCGAGGTGCACAGGAGGCCCCCACCCCCACCCCCCTGCAAAGGGACAGGACGCAGGGAAACCAAGTGTTTACACCCAGGTCCAAGCAGAACTCTGTGGGAGCGAGTGGGAGGGGCAGGCGGGGAGAAAGAGCTGTGTAGGAAAAATCTGTGCCCTGACTCCTCTCTGAGGCTACCCTGGCTGCCCTGAAACAGACAGTGGGCTTGGCAAAAACACACCTCAGACAGGAAAGGAGGCTGCAGAGAGGCTTGGCTGGCAGCCGCTCAGGGCTGCTGGCCCAGCTCTGCCCCTGCAGAGCTGCAGGACAGAGAGGGCCTGGCAAGGCCCGGCGGAACCTCGCGGCGGGGTTCTGGCCTCTGCAGCAAGCTGTGTGCATCTCTAAGGGCGGGCAGCAGATACCCCAGAGGGGTGGGAGCAGGGCTCTGGGGTCTGTGTCTGGGCTTACCTCCGTGTGGGGCATAACCCTGCCCACACTCTCTGCCTTCTGCTCCAGGGTGTCATCAGGGAAATTCATGAAGGTGACGGGACTGTTCTCTGTGGTTCCATAAACAACCTAGAGAATCCAGAAAAGGTGTCTGGGGGGAGTACATGGACTGCAGACAGATGGGAGAGTGGCAAGGGTCAGGGGCCAGAGGTCAGGGGTTGGGAGCCGGGGTCAGGGGTTAGGGCAGAGTGCTGATCCCCGGCAGTGGTCCCAAATTGATAATAAAACTGACAGCAGGCAAGCTGTCCTGTCCTCTACAGCCACATGTCTGTCTGCGGCCCCTAGATTTCTTTCCCCCACCTCCATGCTGCTCTGCCTTCCTGATTTCAAGTCACAACATCCTCTCTCCTTCCCTTCCAAGCCAGAGGCCCCATGAACTTGACGAGAAAGCCAGGCCACCTTGGCTGGACTGGGAGTGACCCAGACCCCCTCCCCCAACCCAGGACAAGTGTCTCACCTTGGGCCTGGTGCCCCCTAAACTCTGGAGAGGTTCCTATAGATTTATTTCCATCAAAATAAAAACACAGCCAGAGCAGAAATCTAAAAACGCCCTGTGTTACAACCCCCGACTCTGGTTTTTGCTGTTTTTTTAGTAGTTGGAACATCCTGAACAACAGAAAAACCAGAAGCTGACTTAAAACCATCAAGGTCTACTGAGCGGAGAGGGAGCCCCATTCTTGAAGCAGGAAGGGGGAAGGGCTTGGGAGAAACACAGAGCCCCACACCGGTGCTGGGGGCGCAGAGGCGCTGGTGACCCTGATTCTAGCAGATCAGTCTCAACCCCCTGCCTCCCATATCACTTTCCTCATTTTCCAAACAGACACTGCCCCTGCCAGGCAGCCCAGAGCTCACCCTAGGGCCACAGCGGTGACCCCCCTGCCCTCTGTCCTCCCCTGCCCACAGGCATCTGGACACCACGGCTGGTAAGTGGACACAGGGACCTGGCCCCCCAGGGCGGGGCCGCCCATAACCTAGTGTCTGGCAGGCTGAGCCCCTGCAGTCCTGGGGCCACTGCCCACGTGTGATCTCTGCCAAGTACACCTCGGCGGCGCCACTCAGCCGCCACCCCAAGACCCCCCAGGAGGCGGAGCCTGACCACGAAGGGGTGGTGAGGGGATGGGGATATTTTGGGACGATTAAGGAGGGCAATGGTGGCACTGTCCTTGGTCAGCGGCCTGTGGCCTCCAGCTGTGTTTGCAAGTCTTAGGGGTCACTCACCCCTGGAACCCACACTTGAACCCTAGGAGAAGTGGGGTGGGGTACATGGGACAGAATTGTAGGGTTTGAAGAGGGGTCCCCAGGGTGGGGAAAGAGCCCCCCCCTCCCGTCTCCTTAAGGTTTGGAGCCAGAGGGGGAAACCAGACACCAGAGCGGCTCTCACGGGCGACGCCACAGAAGGGCCGACCACAGGAGACGCATCCGGCTGTCCAGCCTGTCCAGCCGTGCTTCCTCCCTGCCGGGTCCAGGGCACCCCGCCGAGGTCGGAGGGGCGGGAGGTGCATGGAGACTCAGACTTAAGCAAACAAATAAGTTCTGGGAACGCCTCCCTCTCTCTGGTGCAAACTTGGGGCTTGAGACACAACCACTCCCCCATTCTCCCTTAAAAAAAAAGCCAAGGAGGAGGCTGAGAAGCAGCTGCATCCCAGAGCAGGAAGCAAAGGTCAGGCCAGCAGGGGGGTCCCGGGCTCCCCAGCATGGTGGCCACCTGCAGGAAGGGGCCCCCATAGCCCTCACCATCGAGAGCTGGAGGCACCTTGGGCACGAGGGGGTTAAGTCCAGTGGCCTCGATACTCCACGTAGTAGCTGGCTCGGCTGCCAGCTGCGGTCAGGGCTACCGTATAAATAGGTTAGGAGACCCGAGTGCCACCGACGACTGGCTGCCGCCTCCAGCCCGGTGTCCAAGCAGCCCACCATGGCCCGTGCAGGGCTCCTGCTCAGCCTCGGCCTCCTGGCCAGCCTGCTGCCGGCGCTGGCTGCCTGCCCCCAGAACTGCCACTGCCACGGTGACCTGCAGCACGTCATCTGTGACAAGGTTGGGCTGCAGAAGATCCCCAAGGTGTCAGAGAAGACCAAGCTGCTCAACCTGCAGCGCAATAACTTCCCAGTGCTGGCTGCCAACTCATTCCGCGCCATGCCGAACCTGGTGTCGCTACACCTGCAGCACTGCCAGATCCGAGAGGTGGCCGCTGGCGCCTTCCGGGGCCTCAAGCAGCTCATCTACCTGTACCTGTCCCACAACGACATCCGCACGCTGCGGGCCGGTGCCTTCGACGACCTGACGGAGCTCACCTACCTCTACCTGGACCACAACAAAGTGACCGAGCTGCCCCGGGGGCTGCTGTCCCCTCTGGTTAACCTCTTTATCCTGCAGCTCAACAACAACAAGCTCCGAGAGCTGCGGGCAGGCGCCTTCCAGGGCGCCAAGGACCTGCGCTGGCTCTACCTGTCGGAGAATGCGCTCAGCTCCCTGCAGCCCGGTGCCCTTGACGACGTGGAGAACCTCGCCAAGTTCTACCTGGACAAGAATCAGCTGTCCAGCTACCCGGCCGCCGCCTTGAACAAGCTGCGTGTGGTGGAGGAGCTGAAGCTGTCCCACAACCCTCTGAAGAGTGTTCCTGATGGCGCCTTCCAGTCCTTCGGCCGCTACCTGGAGACGCTGTGGCTGGACAACACCGGCCTGGAGAAGGTGAGTGCCTGGCAGCGGGGCCCTGGCCTGGCTCCTCCTGCCCTGCCTGGAACGCTGCTGGGCACCGTGCTGTGTCCCCAGATTCCCTGCAGCTCAGACCCTTGCTCCTCTCTCCAGTACCCTCTTAGGCCCGGGCTGCCACTATCCTGATCTCTGTCCAGCTTCTTGTCTCGGCCACTTGAATCCTCCTGGGATTCCCCCCAGAGAAGTAGGGGCTGGTCTGGCCCCACAAATGGCCTCCTAGGGGGCAGCACCCCCGCCCCCCAGCCCCACTGCCGGGGGCAGCAGTCACCTCTTCTGCTGGAGCCCTCCTCTGGGATCTGCCCAGGCTCCAGTAAACCCTGTGTCCTATAAAGGAAGGTTTGTTTGCTAAGGAGCTGGGAAAATCAGGCCCACAAAGAGACCCTGTTCCTGGCAGGGCCAGTCTGTGTGCTAAAGTAGATGGGGGACCAGAGAGAAAGAGGGAGCAGGTACCCCAGGAAGACCTTCTCAGCCCCACAGCAGCCTGGCAAGTTGCTGCCTCCAGCCACTCGCCAGTCCCCCCCAACAACTCTGCATCCTCAGGCTCTCTCCTGATGAGTGGGGAAATCAAGGCACAATGCCCATGGGCTCTGTGGAAGGGCAAAGGCATGAATACCGCTGCCAGCCTTTGGCGCAAGGCCCTGGGATCTCCCCACAGGGAAGATGGGCTGGGCCTCACTGTCCTCCACACAGCTGGCTCCTCTCTGCCCACCCTGTCACTAGACCTGTGTCCATGTACACCTCCTTCGTCCTTCTGCCCTGCAATGCCCACACAGCCCTGCAGTGCTCACACTGGGCCACCTTGGATGGGACTGGAAAATCACGCTGGCACAGGGGCATCAGCCAGGTTGGGAGGGCCAAGGTTGACGACAATCTGGTTACTAGCAAAGTGTCACACTCCCGCCAAGTGTGGTGGCACACAACTATAATCCCAGCGTTGGGGAGGCTGAGGCACGAAGATCACCATGGGTGTGAGGCTCACCTGGGCTACATAGTGAGTCCAGGTCAGCCTGAATTACACAGAGAGACCATGCCTCACAGATATCACACCCAAACCCAAGCTGCCGGAGAGGGCACCGACCCAGAGATGAGGGCAGATCCCACCTGGGCAGCGGCCAAGGTTGGAGGGACAGCATGCCCCAGCTCAAGGAGGCAGCCTCTGTGCCCAGCAGGGGCAGGAGTGGTCTGATGGGAAGCAGAACAGCCTATCAGGGGCTGTTCTGGGACAGGGGCAACCAGACAGGAACCGTGGTGCTTGGGCCAAGATGTGGGCACCAATAGAACATTTCCTCTGAAGCCACCGACCTGGCCAAGGTCCACCAAGGTGGCTCCACAAATAGTCTCTGGCAGGCAGAAAGGGGGCGCTAAGGACAGAGCTGGGGGAAGTCCCGAGACCCTGGGCCCACTGCCCACCCCAACAAACACTGCCCAGGTTCACTGCGTGCCAGCCTGGGCTTCTGGAGCCAAAGGCTGGCTGCTTCCCCAGGGCCAGTGTTTGTGCAGGGAGCAGGGTGTGGCCTGCTCCTGGTCGAGGGATGGAACTTTTTCCATTTTGCCATCTGCACACTAGAAACAACTTTCTCCAAGGGGGGCTGTGTGGATTAGCTCCTCCAGACTGCTTGGTCAAAGCAGCTTTCTGTTTTGAAACTGCAACCTCAAGCCCAGCTCAGTGGCACATGCATGCCCGTCATCCCAGCATTTGGAAGGCTGAGGCAGGAGGATTGCCAGAAGTTTGAAGCCAGCCTGAGCTACATAGTGAGTTCGAGGCCAACCTGAACTACATAGTGAGACCCTGTCTCACTCCCCGCAAAAAAAAATGAAGGAAAGAAATTGCAACGGCTCAAGGTGCCAGTGCTCTGCCCATGGAAGGGCCTTGTCCCTCTGGGGCACACAGCTGGGAGAGGTTGAGCCTGGGGCCGGACACTCACTCCTGCCTCCCTCACCTCCCCAGTTCTCGGATGGCGCCTTCCTGGGTGTGACCACCCTGAAACATGTCCATCTGGAGAACAACCGGCTGAACCAGCTGCCCCCCAGCTTCCCCTTTGACAACCTGGAGACCCTTACCCTCACCAACAACCCCTGGAAGTGCACCTGCCAGCTTCGGGGTCTGCGGCGGTGAGTCCCCCCAGGTGCCCTCACACGTGCCAGTTTGATGGTCTTGCACTAAGACAGCCTGGGTAGACATGCTAGTCTACCAACAGGCATGTGAGCCTCCTTTTCTCCATCTCTATAAGGAAGCGGGGTGCATATCTGTAAGCCCAGCACTCTGCTAGGCTGAGGCAGGAGGATCACAAATTGGAGCTCAGTCCAATTTGATGACTCTGGGAGAACTTGTCTCAAAAACAAAAGACAGAGACAGAGTGGGGTGGGGATCGGGATGTGACTCAGGGCACAGCTTTGGCTTCAGTCCCCATACTGCAAAAAACGCATCCGTCCCTGCCACCAGCATTGCCACATATCTCCCCTGCCCAGCAACTCTCTTTCTCTCCAGGTGGCTGGAAGCCAAGACTTCTCGCCCAGACGCCACCTGCGCATCACCCGCCAAGTTCAGGGGCCAGCACATCCGCAACACGGACGCCTTCCGCAGCTGCAAATCCCCCACAAAGAGGTCCAAGAAGGCCGGCCGCCACTGAGCAGGTGCGAGCCAGACAGGCAGAGCGACAAGGGCAGGACTGCGCCCCCCTCCAAGGGAGCAAAGGGCCCTACCCGGGACTCCCCATCCCCTCCCGCCCTGTATGGGACATGGAGTCCTAGCAGCTGTCCTTGTCTCCCCGCAGGTCCTGACCCGGCCAGTCCTGGTGACTGGCCTCTGCTCTCCGCCCGACAGACTAGTGCCCTTCCACTGCCACCTCCCCCGGCCTCCACCACGTACGTCCTGGCAGGCCGCCTGACAGGACCCAGGAAGGACATGGAGCCCTCCCCAGCCATCACGCTGGCCACACGGGGCTCCTCTCATCACGGAAGCTGATCCCAGAAGGAGGTGATCACCGGGATCACACTTCCCTTTCCCGACCATCTGGAAGCAGACATCAGACCCTTGTCCCTGCCCCACTCCCTGGCCCCCGCCTGCCAGGATGGCCTAACAGGACGCCAGAGCTTTGCCACATAGCCGTCCATGCTGTGTCCTGCCCAGATTTCTATAAGAATAAATTTATGTCTGTATAACATCCGCTGCCCACCCCCCCTTGCCATGCCTGCCAGGGGAGGCTGGATGTCTCCCTGCCTCTGCCTTCTGCAGAGGGCCGCCAGGGTCACAGTCCTTCCCTGGCCACCACTCACCACCATCTCCTTCATATTCATCTTGTTGATCATGGCTCGGATCAGCTCTGGGGGCGCAGGGGAGCCAGCAATCAAACCTGAATCAGAGAAAGGCTGACTCGCTCCCCATCCCGCAGGCCAGCACCGAGACCCACCCCTCTGCTCATTCAAGGGGCGACATCCCCTTCTCTCCTCTGACCCGGGGCCTGTTCTGTGCCCAACAGCTGGCCTTGGCTTGGTGTCCAGGGACTCTGGGAATTTGCCTCCTTTCCACCCATTTTTTGTTTAAGGTTTTTTTTTTTTTTTTTTTGTCTTTTTCATTTTTATCGGTACCGGGGATCGAACTCATGACCACCTGCTTGCAAGGCAGGTGCTTATGCTGCTGAGCTAAATCCCCAACCCCCCATTTTTTGTTTTAATGTGTACTGAGGATGGAATTTAGGGTCTTGGCACTGAGCTTTTTTTTTTTTTTTTTTTTTTTCCCTGAGAGAAGGTCATACTAAGTTGCTAAATTGCCTGGGCTGACTTGAACTTATGATCCTCCTGCCTCAGCCTCCTGGAGTGCTGGGATCATCAGTGTGTGCCACTATGCCCCACTGTGGGCTCCCACCCACATTTGTACAGTCCCCTTCCTGTTTCCTCCCCATGCCTGTTGGTCCTTGATCCCACCCCACCTCCACGTATGGATGAGAGGTCATAACTGGAGAAGTCTGGCTGGTTCAGTACATCCACAAACATTGTTGGGGTGCCATACAGGATGGTGCCTCTGTGTAAAGACGGGGGTCTCCAAATTAGGCTTGGAGGTGAAGGAAGTCCGTCTCCCCCACCCCACCCCACCATGAAGGTCAAAGCTGAGGGGAACAGGCAGAGATGCTCAAGGCGGGATCCTGGAACTCCCTGACTACCCCGTCCTGGGGCTCCAGGCTGGAGAGACAATATTTTGGGAAGGGGTCAGGGCCCAGGAGAGAGGAGCAAGAGTTCTTAACCGCCCACGGTAGCCTGTCCACCAATGCCCACTTCTCTCTGCTGATGGCTTCCAGCGCCTTCTTGCCATTGAAGCTTGGTGAGGACAGGATGAGAGTGACACCATGCAGCACACACACCATGGTGCCCGCCACGGAGCCCAGGCAGTGGTACAGGGGGCAGGGCAGGACCACCCGCAACTCATGAGGCGGCTAGAGATGGAGACAGAAGGAGGTCGGGTCCGTCATGGAGTCATCCGGCCAGCAGGGGGCGCGTGGCAAAGCCACCCCTACCCATGGCAGGGTGGGTGGCCTGGAAGCCCCCCTAGCTAGCCACTCACCTTCAGGGGCATGCGCAGGCGCTGGCCGATCATGTTGGAGTTGTTCACGATGTTGTGGTGGGAGAGGGTAGCGCCCTTGGGGCTGCCTGTTGTCCCCTGAGAAGCAGACGACAGCTTGGCTTTCTTCCCATCCTGGGCCACTGCCCAGAGGAGCACGGGGCGGGGACCGGAACGGGGGAAGTAGGGAGCAAGGGCGTGATGGGGACACCGGTTGCTGTTTTCCAGAGGGTGCTCCGCTGGGCCACCCCTGGGGAAGGGGCACGGAGGCAGGGGCCGGGGCCAGCTGGGCATGGGCCAGGAGAGCCGTGCCCTACCGAGGTGAACTGGACGTTGATGGGGTCATAGCAGGACAGGAACTGCTGGGTGCGCCGCAGCTGGGCGAGGTGCTGTTCTGTGCTGCCTTCCGCCACCACTTCATCCAGCTGCAGGGTTCCCGGTAGAGAGGCGTCCAGCGAGATGACCGTGGTCAGATCCGGGAGCCTGGCGAGGGCCAATGGCTGAGGGTGGGCTCAGGGGGAGGCCGCGGGGCACTGAGCGGGTGAGGGACGCTGCTGCCCCTTGCTCCCGCAGCCCAGGACACACCCACCTCTTACTCTTCAGCGCCCCCGGCTGGGCGTTTTCCAGCTCCGGGCAGATCTGCTTCAGGACGTTGTAGTATTGCTGGGTCTTGAATTGCTTGGGGAACACCAGGGCTTTGCAGCCCACCTGAGGGAGAGGAGCCGCCCTAGTTGTGGTCAGCAGGAAGGCCTAGATGGGAGCCCTAGGCGTCCTCACTCATCGGTTGCCCTATCTCATGCACACGCGTGGTTCCCAATACACACCCCACCGCAGTGCAAGGCAAAAGCACACGCGAAGCCATTATCACCCTGACACTCACTGAGCTCGCCCCTCGGTGCACTGGAGACCTCTTTCTGTCTCTACAGTGTCACCCACCATGCCCTCCCGAACCTGGTCAGGCTCTGTGATCCCTGGAAGCCCTCCTGAGTTGTGCTCCCGTGGGAACCCTCCCCCAGGAACGGGTCCTACCTTTTTAAGGGCATACTCCAGCTCCTTAGGCTGGTAGGCAGGGTTCACAGACACCTGGGGGGCCAATAAGGATACCTCAGTATCTGGAGCCTCTCCACTCTCAGGGCACAAGGCAGGACCCGCCTGGCCCAGCTTCTTAGTGGCCAGGAATGGGTTTGGTTCAGGGCCAAGGAGCCCAGAGCGCCCCTCAAGTGAGGTTCCCCTCGACATCCCCCCAGTGCCAGGCAGACTCCACCTCACCAGAACGATGCCCGCCTGGGCGGTGGCCAGCTGCATGAGCACCCAGGCATAGGAGTTGGGTCCCCACATGCCCAGCCGGTCACCTTTACAGAGGCCAATGCTCAGCAGACCGGAAGCAGCTTTGTCCACCTGGTGCAAACAGATGGAGCACAAAGGGTGAGATGGCAGATAAGAAGGGACCCTGACTCCCCCACCCTCACCCCTTGGCCCACCTTAGAATCACAGGGGATAAAGGGGCAGGACCAGGTGGGTCTGCAGTAGAGACAAGAAGTCCTCCAGGAGCTCCTGGGGTACCCCCCCCCCCAGCCTTGTCCCCTCCTACCATTGCTGGAGGCCCTCAGCCACCCCGATGGTCACAGGCACTCTCCATTTGTACCCAGCCATCTAGGGCAGCCTGGGGACTGGTCCCACCCACGCTGAGGGTTCACAGTTAGGACCCACCTGGTCCTTGAGCTGGGCAAAGGTCATCCTGACGTCTTCGTGAAGGACGACCAAGGCCTCCCGGTCGGGGAACCTCTGTGCTGTGGCATCTAGGCACTGGCCCACGGTTTTGTGGATCAGAGGGAACTGGGTGCTGCCCTGGACATAGCTGAGGCCTCCAACGGGTGGGGAAGCTCTGTAGTCCAACTCTCCTGAACTGTGGGGAGCGGGTTCATGAGCCACGCCATGCTGGAGTGGGGGCACTGTCTCCCACCTCCAGGAGGAAGATGAGGCCACAGGGCCCTAGCCAAGGAACCAGTGATGCCCCTGCTTGAACCCAGGCTTCTGGGTCCCTCAAAGGGTCATTTTCTCTTCTCCCAGCTGCAGTTCAAGGGCAGAAGAGGCAGATGGCGGCCCTGGGAGAGGTAGCTGGGGGGTCTGGTATCCGACAGACTAGCCAGGTACCAAGTACCAGGGAGACCTGGGTGCCCACAGATGAGGGACATTCTTAAGCTCCAGGGGTACCTGGGCTTGGCTGGGCTCCCAAGCAGAACAAGACATTCAGTGGCATTCGGACCTCACAGTAACCTCCAGCGCGCCACAGTAGCAGGCAGCGAGACCCGTGCCTGAGTATCAGGATGTCCCCAGTCAGCAACAGACAGGCTATCCCCAAAAAGGAAGGGTCAGGCTCTTTTATGTCACCATCGGTGAGGCTGTGGTGATCCTTGACACCCGTGAATCTAATACTGAAAATAAGTGAGTGGTCAGGAAAAATGTCCACTCTCCCAGTGAGCAGGCCAAGTGCCCTGGGTATGGCGAGCAGCTGTCCAAGCAGAGTCCAGTGCCACCCTGGTGCCACCCCTGGCCTGCGCATGCCCACACCTCATCCCTGGAGGAAGCAGGTGCTTCCCAGAGTTCCAGCAAAGTCCACTGATACAAACGGTTCATAAACCCAGGCACACACACACACACACACACACACACACACAAAATGACCTGAGTGTTCCAGCCCACGCCTCAGGCGCCTGCGCCAACAAAGGGAGCAACTTCTTTGTCTATTCTTAAAGGGCCTTGGGGAGAATTTTTAAAAGAAACTTTTGGTTTTGTTTTGAATGTGAAGGGAAGAAGCTGAAAGAGTTGAAGCAGGAAAGCTGGAGACTTAGTTGGTCTGGCTCTAAGTCCTAAAGTAAACACACTTGTAGCTACTTAGATGAGGACTGTAAAACCCAGGCCCTCGGTGGCCAGGTGGGACTGATGCCAGGTAGGAGCTGCCAGAGGCTCAGCGATGGAGCACAGCCTCACCTAAAGGTGCCCTTTGGGAGTTGGCCCATGAGAATTCATTTCATAAAGGAAGTTAGGAACAAGGAAATTTAAAAAAAAATTTTTTAAGCATACTCTTGACTTTTTAGTGCTGGCAACTGGTGTGTTCACTGTTACTGCCAATGCTTGAATGCTTGGGACATAAGAGGTGCTCAGATGTCCCCAGGAATACTGGGGCATGCCTGTAATTGGTAGCACTCGGGAGGCTGAGGCAGGAGGATGGCTGTAAGTTTGAGGTCAGCCTGGGTTACATGGTTAAGACACTGTCTCCAAAAAACAAAACAAAAAGCAAAAAAACCACATGTAGCTAAGCATGTGGAGAATTCTGGAATTCCTTGTACATCCTTGTACATTCTGGAATTCCTTGTACGCTGGTGGGAATGGTTCAGCAGCTATGGAAGACACAGTGCAGTTTTTCAAAAAGCTAAACAAGGGGCTAGGGATTTAGCTCAGTGGCATAAGCACCTGCTTGCAGTCGTGAGTTTGATCCCCGGTACTGATTTTAAAAAAAGCTAAACAAAGACTGACCATGCGTAACAATTGCACTGCTAGGTCTGTACGTCAAGGATGGAACATAAATGTTCAAATATTAAGGACAAATGACAGCAGGCCGTCATTCGGAGCTAAGCTACTGCACAGGACGCCAGCCACCCGGATGGAAAGTCAAACTGAAGTCACCCTCGCTCAAGTGCCACAGGATCCATGGAAACCAAGCCAGGACCTTTCATGAAACCAGGAGAAATGAGAGACAGCGGCCACACTTCCCAGGGGCCAGCTGCACCTGGCATGACAACGGAAGTCCCTCTACCTTAAGCCTTACGCAGCACAGGTGACCTGGAGTAACCTGATGTTAATCCTCAGCAGCTCCTCTGCACTGTCCACTTTACAAGGAGAGTAACTGTGAAGTCACCAATCTGCTTTCTCGTCTAATGTTTTTGTTTCTTGCAGTCCTCTGTCTATACAACCAATCACTGTGCAGCACGCTGTTTAGTGAACAGGAGGCCAAACAGCCGGCTGCCCCCTGAGATCTCCCTGCCTCGGTGCCTCCTTCAGAACCTACAGCCCCTGACCCTGTGCCAGCCTTTGTGTCCACAGCAACAGTGGATGCTGGTCCCGGGATGTCACAGCAAGCCACAGCTGACCTCAGGATTCCCCGAAGCAGCTAGCTCCTGCAAGCCTGGGCCACCAGGAACACGGGGCTCTGCGGGTTGGTCTAACCGGGCGGCTGTGTGGCCAGGGTACCCGGCCACTGACGTAGGTGTCGGGGTGAGCTGAGAACAGAAGGGTGCGCCGAAAGGTGCAGAGGATGAACAAGTGCTGCAGGTGAGGGGTGGCAAGAGCTCCCTGTGTGTGAGAGGGCAGGGAGGGGCGCCCCGCCCCACCCCAGCCCGGGAGCTCCAGGCCCTTCCCAGGCCGCCAGGGGAGCCGAGAAAAAGCAAGGTGCTCAGAGAACAGGCCAGACTTGACCCCCTCTTGCTTTCTCACCGTCTAAAGAAGATTAAAAAATAATAACAATGTGCAGACTTCCACTCCACTAGAAATCGCCCAGGGGCTCCCAGAAGACAGGTGTTAGGGTATCTGTACCCTCTCCAGTAGGAAGATTACCCAAATTACCCAGCAACAGTAGCTGAGGAAATGATGACTGTTTATTTGTAATTTCAAAAAGTCAGGAGAACAAAGGCACTCTGGCTCCCTTGATCTGAACGGGTCTCATAAAAAATGGGTTAAACGCAGAAGCCAAGGTGGGGGCTGGGGCTCATTCGGGGACAGGAAAACTGTCCTGTGTGACTCCACTGATACAGCCAAAACCAGCCGAGTTGTGAAACCTGGAAACAGCAGCCAGCTGCTGGGATTCATGATGATGACCTGGGTCATGAGAGGGCAGCTGAGGTCTTGTAATATTTTGTCTCTCGATGTGAGTGCTGACGGTACGGTGTGTTCAGTGTCTCAAAAATCCATCAAGCAAGCACTTGAAAATGTGCATCCTTGCTCTGGTGGTCATCTGCCTGTGACTACCCTGCTCTGGAAGGCTGAGGCAGGCAGATCCCAAATTTGAGCACAGTCTGGGCAATTTAGTAACTTAGTAAGACTTTACCCCAAAATAAAAAATAAATTTTTATACTTACTTATGTCTTTATTAATTGATTTTGTCTTCTTTGAGACAGGGTCTCACTAAGTTCAGGCTGGCCTTGAGCTTACATTGTAACCCAGGCTGGTCTCAAACTCACAGTGATCCTCCCACTTCAGCCTAATTTTTTTGTTTTTTGCTTTTGATACAAAAAATAAATTTTTAAAAAGTTCTACGGAAAAACAAAGCTCAGTGCAAAGACCTTGGGTTCAATTTCCAGTACTGAAAGCATAGAAGAAAGGATACTACTCTGAAGCTAAAGTGCTGTATACAGAGTTTTTAAAAATGCTCAGAGGTCGTGAGCTAGTGTGGATTCCTTCATAACCAATATCTAAATTTAGCAACAGATTATCATATCTACTTAGCATTGCTTCAAAAAAATGAACGTAACATATTGTATTTCTGGACACACACATTAATAAATAATACTGGGAAGCCAGGAAAGCATGTTTATAATTTCTACTTTAGATGCTACTCTACAAAAGAAATAGCACCAGTTTTGTTCAGCTTTTCCTCCTGTGGAATCCAGCACATGAGAGAATAACTTATGCGACCTCAAATCTCCAGGTCCACTGCCCTGATTCACCCTCACATTGTCTCAAGCAGGGGAGTGAATTCCCCAGAATCAGGACAAATCCTAGCTCCGTGCCAACTGGTTAGACTCTGGTTTGCTACATGAGACGCTTTGGTCTGGAAGGAGCCCAAGCCTGGTACACTGCTCCCGCAGGAAACTAGGACCCAGCAGTGGCCACCTGCTTCACCACGCAGTTTCCCAGAAGGCCAGTGGTGCTGCACCCTGTGATCCCCGCACTCAGGAGCCTAAGGTAGGAGGATCACTGTGAGCACAAGGCCAGTTTGGGCTATACAGCATGCTCAAGGCCAGCCTGAACTACACAGCAAGACCCTGTGTCCAAAAAAAAAAACCTAGAGAAATCAAATTCCTGTTCTTGTTTTGGTTTTGGATAGTATCAGGGGCTGAACCCAGGGCTTCATACATACTAGCAAGCACTCCAGCACTGAGCTATGTCCCCAGTCTTTTATATTTTGTTTTTGAGACAGGATCTCCCTAAGCTGCCTAAGCTTCAAACTTTCTGTCCTCCTGCCTCTGCCTCCTAAGTAGCTAGGATGACAGATGTACACCACGCCTAGAAAATGCAACCCTTTTGATCGCCTACCTGGTTATTATGCCATTGGGCTGCAAAAGTTTCTGTTCAAAAATACACACACACACACACAGAGAAAGTAATTCAATCTATCACAGCCACAGCTCGGGTCTAGATGTCCCCCTAAGCCTCATGTGGTCACAGGGAGGTTTTTTTCAGAGGTGGCTGGATCTGGAGCGTGTGACGCTGGGATTGAGTCACGGGGGCAGTGCTGGGTTCAAGGGCACTGGGGTTAAAGGTTGTGAGTGCCACTGCCCTAAGTTGCCTGGGTAAAACATAAGGCACAGCAAGGGCAGTGGCCACCCCTTCTTGGTCTGCTACCTTCTGCCCACAGCAAGCTGATACTGTAATAAAGAGAAAGTTACTAGACACGGAAAGTAGCAGATCAATACTCCCCAGCCTGAGTCAGACTGCTGTCTTTCCAATGTTTTTTGTTGCTCTTGTTTTTTTTTTTTTTGGTACCAGGGATTGAACTCACGACCTTGCACTTGCCAGGCAGGCACTTACACAGTTGAGCTAAATCCCCAGCTTGCATTGCTGTCTTTCAACAAGTCTGTGTTTAATTTCAAAATCCCATGACAGGGGCCAGGGATATAGCTTAGCAGCACAATGCTTGCCTGGCAAATGTGAGGTCATGATTCAATTCCTGTACAAAAAAAAAAAAAAAAAAATCTCGTGACCGGCATTCTGGTCAGAGTCCTTCTAGGCAGCATTAGAGGGCAGGTTCAGCTAAATTTAACCTCAACCTGGTAACCTGAAGCAGTCTGTGTTCTCACTGGCTTTGTGCAATGACTAAGAATTTATCCCAGGATAAATTGGGGGACTGGATCCTAACACGGCTTTCCACACTGTTCAAGGGCACTGCAGAGGCTGAAGCAGGAGAATCACTATGAATTCAAGCCCAGCCAGAGCTACACAGCAAGACCTTGTTTCAAAAAGCAAAGCAAAACAAAATTAATTAACCAACTCAGTGGCAGAGGCCCTGCATGGTAAGCCAGGGGCTCCAGCTTCAAATCTCTAGCACCTCAGAGACAGTGGGGAGTAAGATGCCAAGTAAAGTCCCCCAAATTGAAAGGATGAATCAAGGGCTGGGGATTTAGCTCAGCGGGACTGGAGTGTAAACTCGTACAAGGTTTTACACAGTCAGGCACAGTGGCACAAGCCTGTGATCACAGCACTTGGGAGGTGAGGAACATGGACAATCTGAGGCCAGCCCGGCCTCCACAGTGAGTTCAGGCCAGCCTGGACTACCAAAAAAAAAAAAGAATTTTTTTTTTTTTAGAGGACTATGAGCGCAAAAGGCAGTGCAGCCTCTGGCACACATTTCAGCTTCCTGCCCAGGCTGACCTCTTCCCTGCCCTTGTGTGAGCGGGGCTGGGAATCAGAGTAGAGGCTGGATGCAGAACAAGACACGTTTACTGTCAGCATCTCCAGCAAACGGCCTGCAGAGCTCAAAACAAATGAATACGTAAAATAAAAATTCATATCTTGGCCATTTGTAGCGCAGTCTTTTCTTACCCTAAATGAATATTCATTTTACACTCAACAGTTTTGTAATTCTCTTTCTTTCTTTCTTTTTTTTTTTAGAATGCACTCCACATGGCATAAGCTTTGACCTCACGACTCTGGACCCTTCTGACTGGGGGATGACTGTTAGTCCTGACTCGGCAACTCCACTTTCTGGAAAAACCTCCCCTGAAAAGTAATAAATAAAGAACACTAGCAAATGCCTGACCTAAAAATAAGGACGTTAATTTCTGCTTAGCAAAGAAATGGTAAAAGAAAGAAATCCCAGTGAATAAGAGATTAAATAATAAAGCATAGACCTCTTGTACAATGAATCACTGCACCGTTATGAAATGAACACAATAGCTAGGCCTGGAGGGGCATGCCTGTAATCTCAGGACTGGGGAGGCTGAGGCAGCAGGGTTGTTTTGAGTGCAAGGCCAGCGTGAACTATGAGAAAGGATTCCCAGTGTCTCCCATGAGTCTTATGGCGGCCTAGGACCACTTCTTTAGACAGTGAGAAAGCAAGAAGGGTCAAGTCTGGCCTGCTCTCTCAGCACCCTGCTCTTTCTCGGCTCCCCTGGCGGCCTGGGAAGGGCCTGGAGCTCCCGGGCTGAGGTGGGGCGGGGCTCCCCTCCCTGCCCTCTCACACACAGGGAGCTCTTGCCACCCCTCACCTGCAGCACTTGTTCATCCTCTGCACCTTTCAGCGCACCCTTCTGTTCTCAGCTCAACACACACACACCCCCACACACACCCACCCCAATGGCCGGGCACCCTGCCCACACAGCCGCCCGGTTAGACCAACCCGCAGAGCCCCGTGTTCCTGGTGGCCCAGGCTTGCAGGAGCTGGCTGCTTTGGGGAAGTCTGAGGTCAGCTGTGGCTTGCTGTGACACCCCGGGACCAGTACCCACACAGGCCTGCAGGGTCCTGAAGGAGGCACCCAGGCAGAAGGCTGAGCAAACAGGTCTCAGGGGGCAGCTGGCTGTTTGGCCTCCTGCATGCACCCCCTACTGGGTGAAGGCCAGAGCCTAGCAGGTGAGCCCTGCCCTACTAGAGGCTCAAGGAGGCGTGATGGGCAGGGACGTTGTGTTGTGGGACCCTCAAAGCTGCAGTGAGACCTTGACAGCTGGGCCCCTGCCTTTCCCTGGAGACAGTGCCACCAGCCACCAGAACAGCTTTTAAAATGAAACTGAAAGCAACATCCTGCTTGGTTTCGTGGCTTAGACTAACAACAACCTCCTTTCCTTCCCTTCACCAGCACCTGATGCAAGTCCCAGATTCAAAGAAAGTTAGCCGTTATCAACCAGAGTCCAAGCTCTATCTGCCTGGCTTTGTGAATTTATTTTATGCATAAGAAACAAAAGATCAATATTTAGCTGGCGAGCTTTCGCCAACCCCACAAATCTGGAAGTGTAACTACCACAAGAAACGGGCAAAGAATATGTACACAAGTCACAGAGACCCAGACGACAAGCATTTCAAAATCAGGAAGGTGTAAGTTAAAACCACTGTGAGTGACCCCGGGTCCCCACTAGGGCGTCACAGTAAATACTGGAAAGTCCTGGGACGGTAACTTTGCAGCAAGGTAGCAAATGGCCTTCTGCCCTGGCCACTGAAGCACAGCTTCTCCCGAGCAAGGTCTAGAGAAGCCAAGGTCACGCCATAGACACAGCCGTTCCTGTTAGAGACGGAGTCACACAACGCATTGTGTGAACAGAGCTCAAAACACACAGTACTGAGGTAGAACGGATGGGAACCACCATGCTGCTTTCAGCTGGAACCGTACAAGCACAATATATAGCCTGGAATGTATCACGCCTGTAATTCCTGCACTTTTTCAGGAGGCTAAAGCAAAAAGACTGCTGTTTGAGGCCAACCTAAATTATATAGTGAGAGCTTGTTTACCAAAAAAAAAAAAAAAGAAAGAAAAAAAGTGTTCTTTTTGGATGCAAAGAAGTAGACTAAAGAACGTATCTTGCATGGTGTAGGTTTCAGTATGCCTCACACATTAAATTATACAATGTATTATTTCTAGGTCCTAGGACACATTAAAAGTATTACACTGGGGCTGAGGATATAGCTCAGCATGCACAAGATCCTGGTTCAGTCTCGAGCACCAAAAAATAAAAAATAGCTAGGTGTGGTGCCCCTGTCACCCTAGCATTCAGGAGGCTGAGGCAAGAGGATCGCCATGAGTTCAAGCTCAGCCTGGGCTACATAGAGTTGAAGGGTCAGTCTGAAGTACACAGTGGGACTCTGCCTCAAAAAAATAAACAAAAATCAAATTAAAAAGTCTGCAGCAGAAAATACTTTTGACTAAGCTTCATATTCTATATGAAAAGCAAAACAAAAAATTAAAATGGATCACATATTTGGCACCTAAAAAGAAAAACTGATGAACTGAACTTCATCAAAATGTCAGAGCTGCCGAGCATGGTGGCACAGGTCTGTCAGGACTTGGGAGGCTGAGGCAGAAGAAGCACTGAGAATTCAAGGCCAGCCTGGGCTACAAAGCTTGAATCACACAGAAAGACCCTGTCTCAAAAACAAAGCAAAAGGGCCAAGGATATAGCTGTGATGCACTGCACCTGCCTGCAGGCACAAAGTCCTGAGTTCAATTCCTAGTGGAAAAAAAAAAAACCTGTTACAAAAACCTGTTACAAAAACAAACTTATTATAAGAATGAAAATTACCAGCTACCATGTGTGAGGGTTCCTGGGTTCCAATCTTATCACCAAGGGAAAAAAAAAAAGCCACAAAGTAGAAAAATATTTGCGATCTATACATCTGACCAGGGAATGCATCAGGATCTGAGCTGTTTAACAAGCAACAGTCCCTTTATGCTTTTATTTTTATTTTTTGGTACTGGGGATCGAACTCATGACCTTGTGCTTCCCAGGCAGGTGCTGGTGCCACTGAACTAAATCTCCAGCCCCTGCTTTTATTTTTATTTATTTATTTTTATTTTTTGCATACTGGAGCCTGAATCCAAGGGGTTTTCAGTGTTTTAGGCCAGTGCTCTGCCACTCAGCCATACCTCTGGCTCTTGTTTATTTGAGACAGAGTCTTGTTAAATTGCCCAGGTTGGCCTTGATCTTTTGATCCTCCAGCCTCAGCCTCCTGAGTAGCTGGGATTACAAGCTTGCACCATCATGTGGGGCTAATTTGATGCATTTTTGTCAAGATTAATGAGCTGTGACTCACCCAAAGCACCCTTTAGTGGGTTTTGTCTTGTTTTGTTTTTACCCCTTAGCTCTGAACCAAAAAAAAATAAAAAGAGACAGAATGTGAACAGTAGGATTCGAGAGTAAACAAAATTAATCTACATAGCTATAAATCTGAACTGCCGTTGGCTCTGGCTAGGGAAGCAAGGGCCTGGAAAGGTTTAGAGGGAGATTTCCACATCTGTGCGGTCTAGGTGTGTCCCACCTACCACACGTGGCTATCAGGCACTTAAACTGTGGCTCATCTGACTAAGAAAGACCACATGGATTAGACATACCACTTAGGACATAGTATGAGTTGGGCCTGATGACACATGCCCGTAATCTCAGCACTTGGGAGGCTGAGGCAGGAGGATCCTTGCAAGTCTGAGACCAGCCTGGGCTGGGAAGTGAGCTCAAGGGCAGCCTAAACTGCACAGCAAGATCTTGTCTCAAAAAAAAAAAAAAAAAATTATGAGGAAACAAAGTATCTCATTAACTTCTTTTTAAGGTAGTTTTGCTACATAGTCTCAACTGGCCTTGAACTCACTGTGTTGCACAGGCTGGCCTCCAACTCCTGTTCCTCCTGTCTCAGCCTCCTGGATACTAAGATTACAGATGTGAGCCAACACATCTGGCTCATTAGCAATTTTTAAGAGTTCAGCAGTGCCTTGGCTCAATTCCTAGAACTGCAAAAATCAATCAACCAATGTTTTAAAATTTTTTTAAAAGAAAGAAAAAGCTGTCCGCGGCACGCTTGCCCTCTCGCCATGCAATGCCCTGTACCATGCATGACCTGCCCCACAGGAGCCCCTCACCACACACTGAGCCCAGCTCTCTGGCTGCACAACCCTGGAAGCTAAATGAAAGCCGTTCCACATAAACGGCTCCACCTGTGGGCTTTGTTAGAGCAGCCGAAAACACAGCACAACAATTAAAGCCTCTGAACTCTACACTCAAACACTGATGATGGGCGCAGTTTGTTGGTACGGTTTGCTGTGTACAATTGGACCATAAAGCCTGGGATCAGCACCCAGCATTCCCTCCCTGCGGGGATCCCTGGCCTGAGAAAGACTCGGGAGCCGCAGTAAAGACCGTGAACTGTAAGCCCCGTGGGCAGAGAGGCTCCAGTGCCATCTCTGGGGACCCACTGAGGGTGTGTGGGGAAAGAACAAAGGGAATTGTTATTTAGGGCCCGTGAATGCTCTCACGAACACAGGGGATATTTCTGTTTTCCTTTTATTTTTTTTCTTCATTTTTTTTTTTTTGTGATAGGGTCTTGTTATGTAGCCAGACTGTCTTCAAACTAGTTTTGATCCTCCTGCCTTGCCTCCTGATTGCTAGAATTATAGGCATATACCACCACACCTGGTTTTTTCCTCCTCTTCCTCCTCCTCCTCTTCCTTCTCTTTTGTATTAGAGACTGAACTCAGAGCCTTCACTAACCCTCCACTCCCCTCTCCCCGTTCTGAGGCAGGGTCTCACTGTGTGGTCGACACTGACCTTGAACTTGCAATCCTCCTGCCTCAGCCTCCTGAGTACACCACATTTCTGAGAGCCTGAAGTCTTTGGGCCAGGAGGCCCCATACTGTAGGTTTCCCATTGAGACATTGGTGCAGAGCCCATTGGGAAGGCAGCCCAGGAGTCAGGGGCAGGCCAACTTGAACCCTCACTCTGAACAGACTCCTAAGGAGCCCTCAGGACCAGGCCTGTCTCAGAGGCCAGGCTCAGCACAAGCCGAGCTCATGTGCGCCCACCCAACAACTCCAGCTTTGGAGCTGAGCTGCAGTAGCACACACACTCTGCTCGGAGAGAAGCCAGCAGGCTGCTTAACAGAATCTAGCTTCAAAGTTCTTGCGCTTTTGCATGAAGCAGATCCAGGCACTTGAGGGACAGGACAGGAAAGTAGCTACGTGAGATCAGAAGACAGAGGGCAGCCAGACCAGGTGGCACCTGAGAGGCTGAGGCAGGGCTACGATATGAGTTTGAGGCCAGCGTGGGCTCATAGCAAAACCCTGCCAAAAAAAAAACCTAGAACAACAACAAAAAAATCATCAAGGGCTTTTGTTTTTTTCATTGAAATTAAAAATTAAAAAAAAAGAAAAGAAAAAGGAACCAGAGGACAAGAGCTTGCTACACAGAGGTTGCTGGAGCCCCATGCTGTGATTTCTCCACCTCTTTTCCACCCATTTTCAAGGCCCCAGAAGGCTCAGGACCGAGTCCTCTGCTTTTATACCCAAAGCACCCGCTAGGGGCTGGCACAGCCTGGCTGAGCCACGGCGGCTTCCGACGGGTAGAGTAGGAGAGAAACAAAGGAATGGAAGGAAGTCAGGCCAGATGCTCAGGAAATCCCGGACACAGCTGCTTTCTCTTGAGGCCCTGGCACCTCAGAGGTCACGGGCCTGACGCAGGCAAGGGCCCTGCTTTGTTTACACACAGAAATATCACAGGCCAGTAATGGTGCAGAGGCCTGATACAGTGCTGTAAATCCTGTCCACTTGGGAAGTAACCTGTCTTGGCGTCCACACAGCCTGAGGGGGCATCAGGAGGGTGAAGGTGAAGCTTGGAGATGGGGGCGGGGAGCACAGGGCTGCACTGGGAGGGGGAAGGGAGGAGGGAACAGAGCCCTCCCTCCATCCGGGTCCCATCTGCTGTCCAGCCTTGACCTCTGGGCTTGCTCAGGAAGTGAGGCAGAGATGGTTAAGTACTCCCCACTCTAGATTTCAGAAACCTCCAGCAAATTCAACAACTTTGGGATTCTCATTGGGGGTTCTGGCCAGAAAGGAAACCGGAATTTCTCCAACTCTTACACTCAACTTACACAGCTCCTCCCCACTCCCAGGGCCCAGGAACACACACCCCACGTGGTACACAAGCCTGCACCCTGGCCACACTCGACAGCTGGCCTGATTGGGTGCAGCCAGCCCCGGGGCTCGAAGGCCACCCCACACTGAAGACAATCCCTCCCCTGTTTCACCAAGAGCTAGCTGGCGCCATCAAGACCTTCCCTAGGGCTGGCACAGGTGGCTCTCGATTGCTGACCACATCCTGGCCTGCCAGCCCTCTTCCCCTCTGGCCCCGGGACATGAGGAAGCCAGCCTGAGAACCATACTGCAAGCAAAAGCAGTGTCTGCCAGCAGCGATGGTGACAGGAGAGGCTGCTAAGTTTAGTGGCCAGTGTACGGGACTTGATTTCTAAGTTTAGGCCTGATGGGGACCAAAGTCAGAGCCAGAGTTCTGGGGACACAGCCCAGGCCTTGGCCCTTGCCCTGCCCCTCAGGATACACTGCTTGAGGCTCTGATTCCTAGCCTGGGTGGACTCTGGAGTCCTGGAGTGGATCTTGGACTCAGTACAGGGCCACTGAAGCCACCAGCAGCTGCCCCTGAGCCGGGCCAGGCCAGCTTTCCGCGTTGCTAGGGTATCCGGGAAGGGGAAGGGAGGGTGCTAGGGCGCCGGGTGCTCCCCAGGGAGCCTCAGCCGCGGTCACCCAGCCCAGGTGGGGCCAGCTGAGCCTTGCAGGACCCCTCCCCCCAGGGCTCCCCCAGGAGACGCCCAGCCCCTCCCCCAGTTCCCCAGCCGGTACCTGAGCTGGCGAGCGCGCTGCAGCCTAGCTTCCTGCGCCCCCCGGGCGAGGCCGGCCCGCGCCCCCTGCGCCCCCTGCACCCCCAGCCCCGGGGCGCGCAGCGTCGCGAGGCGCAGCATCCCCACGCACAGCGCCATTCTCGCTCGCTCGCGACTCCTGGCCCAGCAAACTTTTAAAGCCGCCGAGGCGGGGCGCGCGGGAGGCGGGAGCGGGAGGGTCCCGGGGCGGGGCAAGGCGCGGGAGGGGACGGGCCACTTTCGCGTGGGACCCCGTCCCGTCCCCCATCGCCCTGGCTTCCCCGTGAATCCGAAGGCGGGCTGCACGGTACCCGCCACCTCCCCCAGACAGCGTCCCCTCCGGAACACCAGATGCCAGGGGCTGCGGGGCGCGGGAGTTCGTTGATTGCACGATGGCGAGGCGCGGGCTGGCCCTGCCCCGCGCCCCGTTCCCCGCGTGGGCCATGTAAAGACCCCAAAGTTGTGATCTGGAGAGGAGCGCCCCCCTCCCGAGTTCGCCAGTGCAAACGAGGGTCAGGGTAGGGAGGGGGAGGCCGGAGAGACCGAGGGTCCCCTCGGTGCCTGCGAGTGGCCACCAAGCCCTGGCAGAGCCACCTCTGGTCCTGGGGCACCGCGAACTCACTTGCGTCCTCCCACCCGCTCCCCAACTGCGCTGCACCTTATGGCGCCGCTGCTCCTGGAGGCGTCAGGGACTGGGGCCTGAGTGTCCACTGGCATTTGCCACACTAGCTGGGGCCCTAAAACCTGGTATTCCGAGGCGCAAAGGGAAGCGCACAGGCAAGGCATCCCGGGGCCAGGCTCAGCGCCTTGGCACCCCCACCTCCCCTGCAGCTCCTTTGGGTCCCCTGGGGCCCGGCTGCAGGTGACCCAGGAAACATGGGGCAGCCGGCACCAGAGGTTAGTGCCCTCCTCTGGCCATCCCTGCGGCTGGGGCTGGCTGGAAAGGTGACTCTGGGTAAGGAGGTCACCACAGTGTACCCAGGCTCCAGTCCTGGACCAGCCAGACTCTTCCTCAGAGAGGAGAGGGAGAGGACAGGGCAGAGACCCCTGGGTCCCCCTTCTGACTTGGAGATGGAGAAGCCAGCCAAGGGGCACTGGCTGAGGTCGAAGTGTGGCCCAAGGAACCTTTGCCCTTGCCAGGGATGGTGGCTCGGCTGAGGTCATGAGGAGCTGGCACAGCTCCTCTATTCAATCCTCAAATTGACTTCAGATGCCCTGGAGCCCGGGCTCTAGGGACAGTCCGATCCCCGTGAGGACTTGGACTTTCAAGGATGTGGCTTCCTGAGGACTGTGACTGGGCACAGGGCTCTGAAGCTGGCCCATTGGACGTTGGGCTCTGGTTCCCTGCCATGCTGGCTTGCAGGGGGACCCTGGGTAAATTATTTCCCCCTCTGAGTAAATAACTGTCCCTGCCTGGCCTCAGCCTTGACTTCCGCAGGGTGGTCCTCATACTGGAAGATGCAGGTTTACAGGCCCTTGCACTGCCCGCAGATTTAGGGCCAGTCCTGGGAGAGGGATCTTCTGCCCTGGGGTCCCACCTGGGCTCCCTAAGCCCAAGATTGTCCAAAAATGGAACTTCCAGGACCTGCAACTTCCCGAATCCTGTCTCCCACTGCGTCAGCCGGCCGTGCTTCCCAGGGGCTAAACATATCCACGGCATGCCGCACATGGTGGCACTGCGTGTGGGCCCTGGGATGTGGCTTATGCCACTGGTGAGCCTGAGGAAGCCCTGATTCCCGCCTCCTTACCAACATCCTTGCCTCTGTGCTTCACAAGCTAGCTCATAAAAAGTACAGAGGGATTCGCACCTGTAATCCTGGCACTTGGGAGGCTGAGGCAGGAGGATGACCGAGAGTCTAAGGCCAGGCTGAGTGAGACCCTGTCTAAAAAAAAAAAAAAAAAAAGATGTTTAGAGGTAAAGATATCAGATAAAGCATAAATGGTTTAAATAGTTCAAATGGTTCTCTTTCAGCTTGAATACATTTCTCCAAGGAAGAGATGCAGTTGACTGATAAGCACATAAAAAGATACTTCAGCCGAACATGGTGGTGCGGTCCTGTAATCCCAGCACTCTAGAGGCTGAGGCAGGAGGATTGATGCAAGTTCAAGGACAGTGTGGGCTAGACCAGCCTAGACTATGGAGATCCTGTCTCAAAAACAGCAAAAATTCAAAGTAGGGACTCCGGTGGGCATTTGTAAACCACAGCTTGTAACAGGATTCCTCATAACAGCCAGCAGGCAGAAACAACCCAAGTGTGGTTCATATACACAATAGAATACTATTCAGCCTGGAAAAAGAGAGATTCTGACTAGTGTGATGAGACAGCTGAACCCTGAAGAAATGCTAGAGAAATAAGCCAGACACTCAAGGGTAGGTGTCCCCTGATTACACATGTAAGGGGAGGTTAGAGTGGTTACAGTCACAGACCAAGCAGGATGGGGGCTGTGTGGCTGGAGCCACAGGGGAGGGGATCTTTCTTTGTTGTAGCAATGGGGGTTGACCTGAAGGCTTAAGCTCCACCACCATTTAAAATTAAAATTGCTTTCTTTTCTTTTTTTCTCAAAATAAAAATAGTTTTGGAGGCAGATTGTGGTGATGGTTGCATAACAGTGTAAATATGGGTAAGTGCCACAGAACTGTACACCAGAAATGGGTTAAGAAGGAAACCGGTATGGTGGTGCACGTCTGTGATCCTAGCACTCAGAGGCTGAGGCAGGAGCATCACTGTGAGTTCAAGGGCAGCCTGGGCTAATTGCAAGATCTTATCTCAAAAAACAAAGGGACAACAACAAAAGTCAAATAAAAAGCTAAGAAGATAAATTTTATTTGTGTCCATTTCACCACAGTTTTATTTCTTGGACTTTTTTTTTGTCTTTTTTGAGACGGGGTCTCGCTATGCAGTTGGGGCAGGCCTTGAGCTCACTTTGTAGCCCACTTGAACATGCAACAATCCTCCTGCCTCAGCCTCTCGAGTGCTGGGATTACAGGCATGAGCCACCATGCCCGGCTTCTTGGACTCTCTTAAGACTGGGATTCAAACTGGCCTTGCACTCTCGGTGACCTTCCTGTCTCAGCCTCCCCAGTGCTAGGATTTCAGGTCTTGCTACCACAATTTTTTTGTTTGTTTTGTTTTGTTTTGTTTTTGTTTTTTTTCCGGCACCGGGGTTTGAACTCATGACCTTGCACTTGCCTGGCAGGTACTTATGCCACTGAGCTAAACACCCAGCTCGCTACCACAATTTTTAAAAATGTGTTCTTTAGGGGCATAGAAGGACAGATGTTGGAGGAAAAAGAACTGCTTTTTGTTTGAAAGACTTTTTCTAAATTTCTTTTCTGTTTTTTTGTTTTGTTTTGTTTTGTTTTGGTTGGGGGATGACTTTATACTGAGCTACATTGTATTTTGTTTTTACTTCAAAATCAGGTCTCACTAAATCCCTAAATTGCCAAGGCTGGACTCAAACTCACAATCTTTTCTGCCTCAGCTTCCCACAGTGCTAGGGTTATAAACATGCACCAGAGGCTGGGGATTTAGCTCAGCGGCATAAGCACCTGCCTTGCAAGCAGGTGGTCGTGAGTTCAATCCTTGGTACCAATAAAAATGAAAAACACAAAAAAATAAAAAATAAACATGCACCAACTCACCCGACCCCCTTGTTTTATTTTCCAAAATGGCAAACGTGGGTTTGGTTTGGTTTTTAGTAACTAGGATAATCCCAGGGTTGTGCCCGTGCTTGCCAATCTTTCTACCCCTGAGCCCTGTGTGTTTTAACTTAATACAGCTTTTTATTAACAGACCTGAGACAGCTTCCTGGCTGGAGACGTGAATCAGTTATAAGTAACAATTGGTGTTTGACAAAGACCTCACCGTTAAGAAAATTTCTCACTGTAGCCAGACGTGGTGGTGTACACCTGTAATTCCAGCCGGGGGAGGCTGAGGCAGGAGGATCACCCTGAGTTCAGGGTGGCTGGACTACACAGTGAGATCATCTCAAAAAATAAAAAAGAGAAAAGAAAGATCTTACTGTTAAGTAACAAGGGCAAAGGGCTACTTGGTTTGGGAAACCCCTGAGTCACGCCCTTTTTATGAGTGACCCTGAACAAATCTCTTCTCTGTGGTGTCAATGTTTACAGTTTGTTGTTAAAAAGTGGCCCGTGGAAAAAAGCCCTTTGGAAGATCTGCCCCCTCTGCCTGAAAGTGGCTCCTCTCCGTAAAGGAGAGCTGTCCCAAGCCAAGAGCTCCACCCGCTGTGGAGGAGGCCCCAATCCTGCCCCAGCACCCCAAAGAAGAGGCCCAGGAGCAGAAAGGGGAAAAGAGGGGAGAGGCAGGAGGAGGGCGGTTCAATTTTGAAGAAGACGCATAAAAGATTTGTAGAATTCCGCGCTTGTGTTCTGCTCGGCAGGCCACACAGTCCAGCAGTCAGTGCCAAAGTAGAACCAGACTCTGAAAAAACAAAACAAAACAAAACAGAAAACCTGGGTAAACAAGGCGGAGACAGACTGCTCTGAAGCCGAGGTTTCTGGTTTTCAAACTGAAAGCAGAAATAGGAACTGCTGTGTGCTGTAAAACCAGTTTGGTCACAGCCAATGACAGGGGATGACGACCAGGCACTCGTCACTTTGGGGGTCTGAGCGAACCCAGGGCCTTCCACATGCTCAACTCCACAGCTACTCTCAGCCCCCTGAGATCCGTTTCTTTTCTTTTCTTTTTGTCTTTTTCATTTTTACCAGTACCAGGGATCGAACTCACGACCGCCTGCTTGCAAGGCAGGTGCTTATGCTGCTGAGCTAAATCCCCAGCCCTCGTTTCTTTATTTTTGAGGGAAAGTCTCTGCTATGCAATCCAGGCTGGCCTTGACCCCACTAGGTAGCCCAGGCTGCTTAGCACTGGAGAGGAGTCTCCTGCCTCAGCCACCTAAGCTCTGGGATCACAGGCAGGCACCACCAGCCCCAGCTATATTTTTGCATTTAATCCTTACTAAAAGAACAGCTTTCTGTTTAGATGGAGATTTATGGCTGAAGACATCCAGGTTTGGAGTCGTGAGGTAACGTGTTCAAAATTAACTTAAGTGCTGGGAATACAGCTCAGTGATGTAAGTGCCTGCCTGGCAAGCGTGAGGTTGTGAGTTCGATCCCTGGTGCCAACCCCCCCTCCAAAAAAAAAAAAAAAAAAAAAAGGAAAACCAGACTGAACCTCAGATCTGTCTCATCTTAGGATTTCACTCATTATTGTTTATTTATGTTGAACCTCCATTCTCATACATGTTACTTGTGTGCACACGTTACTGACAATAAACCGCCAAGTCCTTCAGATTGAGCTACATCCCCAACTCTTTGCTATTTGTTCTTATTATTTTAATTTTGAGACAAGGTGTCACTAAATCACGACACTGTGCAGTCCAGCTGGGCTCAACCTGCCATCCTCCTGCCTCAGTCTCTCAGACACTGGCATCGCAGGTGTGGACCATCACACCTGGCTTGGACTTTTCAACATTTACTTCTTTACAAAAGTGCTAGGCCTCACTGCAACAAATCTTCAACATAAAGAAAGATAAAAATATGCACATTCGGGTCAGGGCTGTGCCCTGACTGGCAAGCACAAGGTTCTGAGTGTGATTCTGGAACCCACTGAGCACCCTAGCTTAACAATGCAGCCTGTGGTAGGTGCTGATTGTCTCCCTGGGCTGTGGCTCAGAAGGGGAGCAGTCAGGGCCTGGGTTCAAAGCCCAGGGCTAGGGAAAAAAATTGTATCCACTGAATGTGGGGTACCCTCACACAGCTGTAAAGTGGAAGGATTGTAGACTGAACCATTGGAAGCGAGGATTGTACTCTTCAATGATTCCGTTTTGATTTTTTTTTTTTTTTTTTTTTTGTACTGGGAGTCAAATTCAGGACCTCACAATTGCCAGACAGGCACTGTGCCACTCAATTATATCCCCAGCCCTTTGTTTTGATTTTTGAAAGAGGGTCTTGCGATGTAGTTCAGGCTGATCTTGGACTTACTATGTTGTCCAGGGTGTCCTCTAGTTTGTGACACTCCTCCTGCCTCAGCCTTCTGAGTGCTGGGATGACAGCTGTGTGCCACCATACCCTGCTATTGTGCCCATTTTACAGAATAATAAACAGAAGCCTGGACAGCTGTGACTGCTAAGATGGTCTTAGATCTTGGTGTGGCAGCACTGGCCTGAACTGGGGTTTTCAGGCACTGTCCCTCCTTTCTCCCGTCCTGATCTCTGGCTCCTGGGAAGGCCATGGGGACAGTGTCTCCCCAGACACCCTGGGACCACACAGGCACAGGCAGTGCTGGGCTGGGAGACAGGACCCAAGGTTATAGCCACCCACAGGAGACAGATTTCCACTTCTCGGCGCTGCGAAGTCTAAACCCACTGTCCTCAAGGTAGACGAAGCTGCCCAGTCCTCCGTCTGGGCCAGACTCCGCTGCAGCTCCCCTTGTCTGAGCTCCATTCCTTCTTCAAAGGCCAGCTCAGAAGCCACCACCTCCTCTGCCTCCGTGACCGCTCTGGCTCCTCCTCTCGGACAGGCTGGAGGGAGCCCCGCTTATGGGAGCGCATTCATTCCCTTGCTGACTGTCATCATAAACATAAACCCTCTGAGTTTCATTCCTTCACCTTAGCACGGATAATGTGGTCCTCCTAAGGCCGCTGTAAGAACCGAGTTGGAAGGCGACACCGCGGAAAAAGTGAAAAGAAACAATAAATGTAAAACACAGTCCTGGGGGCCGGGGGTTTAGCTCAGAGGCATAAATGCCTGCTTGGCAAACGCCAGATCGTGAGTTCAATACCCGGTACCAAAACACAAAAACAAAAACACAGTCCTGGGCACAAGGAATGCCCTCTCATGTGTCAGCTGGACTTTACCACATGCAAGACAAAAACACAGTCCTGGGCACAAGGAATGCCCTCTCATGTGTCAGCTGGACTTTACCACATGCAAGACATGCAGAGCCCTACATGTCTGCACACAGATCTGTATGTATGTGTTAGGGTATTTACCTTTTCACCTTATGTGATCATTATTTGTGTGAAGGGTTTGAGATGTAGTTCAACAGTAGAGTACAAGAGACACAGAGAGAGAGAGAGAGAGAGAGAGAGAGAGAGAGAGAGAGAGAGAGAAAGGGAGAGAGAGACAGAGAGAGGGAGAGAGATTTGGGTTCATGCTTGTTGAAGTTGTGTATCTGAGTTCCGAAAAACACAAAACAAAAAAGATGGCTAAGACAGACAATAAGCCTAAAAGTATCTTCTAGGGGAACCAATGTTTGTCAGAAGACAAACTTAATACATGCTTAGTGTAAAAAGTGCCAAAGTTGCTTCTTTGGACTTTATACTTCTGTGTGTGTGTGTGTGTGTGTGTGTGTGTGAGAGAGAGAGAGAGAGAGACAGAGAGAGAGACAGAGAGAGAACTTCTCTATGCATAATTCAGGCTCGTCTTGAATTCACTGTGTAGCCCAGGCTGACACCAAACTCAGGGCAGTCCTCCTGCCTCAGCCTCCCTCAAGCTGAGAGAACAAGCATGCACCACCACACCTGGCTTATGAAATTACTTTATGTATGGCCGAGGATTTAGCTCAGTGACATAAGCGGCTGCCTTGCAAGTGCAGGGTCCTGAGCTGAATCCCTGGTACAAAAAAAAAAAAAAAAACAGAAAAAAACTGTATGTATGACTTAAACATATTGTTCCGTTTAAGACTAATTTAAGAAATGTACTATTCTGTGATTCACATAAAAGTGAGTGAAGGAGGAAGTGGTGATTATTCACCATGGAAGAAACTTGTTTTAGAAGAAAAAAAAGATGGCTCTGACAGAGCATGGGTTCTCACAGTCCACCGCAGAGGACAGGCTGGCGCAGGGCCACACCGGGGAAGGGGCAATGACTTCCAGCTGGAGGTGCTGCTCTGACCAAGTGCCAGTCACTGCAGCAGGCTCTGTGTGATCCACAACCCGATCCTCCCCCGGATTCCAGGCAGATGCTTTTACTGTCTGTGTTTCTCACAGATCCGCAGATAAGGTCAGGGCACAAGTTACCCAGGGTTCACGGGCAACCAGCAGCGGTGCCAGGACTAACACCAGTTGGTCCAGCATCAGTGTCTCCACTGAGCCAAAGCTCTGTCACTCTGATAACAGATGGCAAATCTCTGCCTCTGCCACAGAGCCCCAGAAGGGCTGTGGAACTCAGCCTGGGGTTCATGGTGGTCAGAGGAGGTTTCTCCAAGGACTAGGAGTCCGCTGGTGGGTGTGGGGAAGGCTGAGTCACTACAGGAGAGGGAAAGGTATGGGGGCCATGTACTTCCCCCAGTCCAAGGAGACGGGCCAATGTCTCAGAGATGTCCTAGAGGTGTTTGAAGGATTTCAAGCAGAGAGACTTGGTCAGCTTTCCAGAAGGATCATGGCAACTGGTCCTGATACATCTGCGATCCCGGCACTCATGAGGCTGAAGCAGGAGGATCGCAGCCAGTTGGAGGCCAGCCTGGGTTACACAGAGACCCTGCCTCAAAAATCAAAAAGCCAAAGCAAACAAACAAGAAATCCAAACCAAAAATAAATGAGAAACAAAAAAAGAAAGATCATGGGAGCTGGGAGAGGCGGGTAGGAGGAGGGAGACTGGGCTGAGACAGAGAAAAGAGAAATCCAGAAAATGGACTGTGATTTGGGAATTAAGTAGCGGGTAGGCAGCAATTCTGGAGGGCACCTAGCTTCTGTTGCTAATCTAGGAGGAGAATGACCTGATGAGGTCAGTTTGGTTTTCTAGTGTCCAATCCCGTGCCACTTCGGCGTCCAGCCAGGGAGCGCCGTGCAGTACCTTCTCCTGGGCGCCAGGGGGCGTGCGCACACCCGCTCCCGGCGCTCTGGCCAGCACGTCTCGGTGGCCGCGGAAGGTGACGTGGACACGGAAGTGGTCGTCGCCGCGGCGGCACCGGTGGGAGCGGGGCGCGGGGCGCGGAGCTCGGAGAGTGGCCGGCGGGCGAGCGGCAGCGGCTTCGCAGCGGCGGCGGCGGCGAAGCGCAGGCGTTGTCCGTTGGGTCCTGGTCCGCTGAACCGACGACGGCTTCTGAGCCCCGCACGCCTGCCCTTCGGAGCCCGGAGTCGGGGCCCGCTCAGCCGGCGTCACCATGACCAAGACGGGCAGCAAGGGCGGGAACCTCCGCGACAAGCTGGACGGCAACGAGCTGGACCTGAGCCTCAGCGACCTGAATGAGGTCCCTGTCAAGGAGCTGGTCAGTACAAGCCCATGAGGCCTAGAAGCCCCTGCGTAGGCCACTTCCAGTGCCGAGCCTCAGTTTCCCCATCTTTAAAACAAAGTGGCGGGTGGGACGGCGTCCCGAAGGAGGCCGCGTCCGGCCCCAGTGTTCTTCTGGGATGTCCACGTGTCACTTTGGCTTAGTTCCAGGAGACTGGAGATCGATCTGCTGGTCCGACCTCGGGCTTTTTAAGGGATCAGAATAAATCTGTCCTTGCTTTGGGGACTTTGCCAGCGCCCAGCTCCATGCAGGGCCAGGAGCAGGAGCTGGCTGTGTGGAGGCTGCGAGAATGAATGAATAAATTGGGCCGGGAGTCATAGGCCTTCAGCTAGGCCTGGGTGTGGCTCAGAATCGGACTTTTCTAAGGAGCTGGCACTCCCAGCTGGCTTGCCTCAGGCAGTCCCGGGGTGGTAATCATTGCAGAAAGTAAAATCTTACCCTGTGACTCTGAAACCGGTGGGAATTGCGCCCTCCACTCACCCAGAAATAAAACCCCTGGGAGATCACACACACAGATAATTGCAGATATGGAGCTGGATCCCATATCCCTGCTTTTCCAAACCAAGATCCCAACCTCTGACCCGCTGGCTGGCTTACACTTTCCTTACTGCCTTGGAAATTACATTTGCCTTTGGCACTTGGCCCAGTATGCACACTGCCAGCCACTGGGGCTGTGTGAGTTATGATGGTTAGAACGGGATTCCCAGTTCATGTCCCAGCTGCGTGGCCCAATTCCTGAACGCACTTGGCTAGTTTACCTTTATGCCTAGATTTCCTCACCTATAAAATGGTGCCAATAGCACCCATCTTGAAGATCATGAAGATTCAAACTGTAATGTAAAATGCCCCGGAAGATAGCTGATGCCCATCGATGGAAAAGTTATCATGGTGTTCTTGCCATGGTGGAATCCACAACTGTTTTTGTTTGTTTGTTTCTTTGAGACAGGGCCTTGCTACATAGTTCAGGCTGGTCTTGAACTCAATGGTAATCCTCCTGCCTCAGCCTCCCAAGGGCTGGGATGACAGGCGTGTGCCACCATGCCCGACTTTAAAACATTTTTAGGTAATCAAGCTATACTCTTAGGATTTGCTGGCTGTTGGAGAGTGCAGATTGGCCTAGGGTCCTAACCTGAAGGTTTGCCTTCTTTCCCACCAGGGAAGATGCCAGTCTTATTTCAGGCTGGCCCCATGGCTGATGCCTGAAGCTATTTATCCTGGGCTTCTATCAGTGCAGCGCTGTCCTTAGGGGATAAAGAGTCACCTTTGCAGGGCAGCCGCTCTGTGTCACTCATCTATTCAGCCATGAGGTGGCCAGCCCGGGTGGTGACAAGATCGTTCTCCGAGGAGGCCCCGAGGTGGAGAGAACCAGGATACAGAGCCTCGTTAGACACAGGCCTTCTTGCAGCCCACTAAAGTGGTTGCCAGAGAAAATTTTTAAAAATGCTATGGAGGATTTCTAAGAATGGACATTCTTCTGTCTTGGATGTTCCGCTGCCAAACCTTCCTTTTTGCATTTTTTCCTTAAATCATGGTTGACCCATTTTGCCCTCTCATCCTCAGGAATGTTATACCTCCAGTGCCTTTTTTTTTCCCTAGTGGTACCAGGGGTTGAACTCTGCTCCTTTTTCTGCCACATGGGACAGGAATTTGTGATCCTCCTGCCTCAGCCTCCTGTAGTGCTGACATTGCAGACGTGTGCCACTACATCTGGCTTCAGTGTTGTGCATTTATTTTCTTTTTTTTAGATTTTTTGTTTTTTATTTTTTGGTGCTAAGGACTGAACCCAGGGCTTCCAGCTTACTAGACAAGTGTTCCACCACTGAGCTAAATCATCAGCCCCTTATTTATTTTGAGACAAGGTTTCAAGACTGGCCTTGAACTCACTGTGTAGCCCAGGCTGGTCTCAAAACTCACAGTGATCTTCCCGCCTCAGCCTCCCAAGTGTTGGGATGACAGGCCTGCGCCTTTCCTGATCCTGAGAACTTCCTGTAGAAAACGCTTCATTAGCAGGTGTCACTTAATTGTTCCACGAGTTGATGTATTTTCTTCATCTCCCTCTCTAGGCTGCGCTCCCGAAGGCCACCGTACTGGATCTGTCCTGCAATAAGCTGAGCACTCTGCCGGTGAGCTTGCCAGGGGACGCTGACCCCTCCCAGATCCCTGGGCGCAGCGGGGTGGGGTCCCTTCGATTCAGGATAGGCTGCCAGGCAGGCCCTGCCAAGCAGTTATGGTGGGGGTAAGGTGGGGTGGAGGTGGGGCGGTGTTTCAGCAGGAAAGCAGATGGCCTCTGGCTTGTCCCTCAGAGCAGCGCTAAGGCTACGGGTGGGGCTGAGACACTTGCTGGGCTCATTTTTTTTCTCCTGCTTGATTTAATTCCTTTGAAAAGGAATCCCTGTAGCATGGTGGAGGCCAGAGACCATTTTGTGGGTTGCTCTGGATTCCAGGGAAAAGGTGAGCAGCGCCTAGGGCAGGCCCCTCCCCCTCCCTGTCTCCTCCTGAGGAAGTCAGGGATTCTAGTGAGCCAGTTACCCTTATCTCGTTCTTAGGTTTCCTCTCTAGGAAGGACTCCAATCCCTTGAATGCTGCTTTTTTTCTTTTCAGTTTAGCTGACCTGTACCTGATCCTTTGAATTCTTTTCTTTTCTTTCTTTCTTTTTTTGGAGACAAGGTCTCTTACTCTGTGGTCTCACTCAAGCTGGTCTTGAACTCACTTTGTAGTGAACTTGCAGTGACCCTCCTGCCTCAGCCTCTGAGCTGCGATTATAGGCACCTGGCACCTTTTGAATCTGTCTTGCACATTTCTCCTGCTTCTCCTCCTTCTGTGCCTGCAAAAGCCCTGGATCCTTCGGCCCCTCAGCTTCTGCTGGTAGCACTGCCCATCTCTGTGGCAGTGCCCTGTCAGGTCCCTATCTGCTGTCACTGTCACCACTTGCATCCCTGCCCCTGGCCATGCCTTGCTGTATGCCAGGGGAGCTTCCTGTCAAGCTCTGGTCTAAGGCCCACATTGAGGTGTTCTGACATCCAGGAAGCATCTGGGGTCCCCACTTCTTCCTGGAAACCTCACACCTGCTGTCCTGCTTGCATATTCTCCAGCACCCTTGGGCGCACTGCCCAGGGTGTGTGGCCTCTTGCTTGGCCTGAGGACTTCTGTTTCCTCTGAGGCATCCCCAGGGCCTTGGAGGGCATGAATGGTGTTGCCTCAGCTGAGGTGGTGCTGTCACACTCTCAGCCGGACAGGTCCACTGAGGAATCCAGGCTCTGGGGAGCAGGCGCAGCCACTCACTCAGGAACACTCTTTTGAACACCTGAACAAAGCGCTGTGCTGGGTGCTTCAAGGCACAGGGCTGAGTCCTCCAAGTGGGCTGGATAGTTCCACTGCAGGAGAGCAGAGGCCCCAGGCTAAGCGTCCCCTTCTTTCTGGTCCTAGTCGGATTTCTGCAGCCTCACGCATCTGGTGAAGCTGGACCTCAGCCAGAACAAGCTGCAGCAGCTGCCAGCAGACTTTGGCCGCCTGGTCAACCTCCAGCACCTGGACCTCCTCAACAACAGGTTGGCCACCCTGCCTGCCAGCTTCGCGCAGCTCAAGGTGAGGTGCCAGGCCGGGGGAGGGGAGGGAGGGGTCAGTGCTATCACCTGCCATCTGGGGGCCTGCCTCGGAGGCCCCTCCTGTGGGTGGGACAGGGGTCTGTGTGTGTGTGACTGACTCAGGCTCAGTCGCCTCTGTCCCCGTAGAGCCTGAAGTGGCTGGACCTAAAGGACAACCCCCTGGATCCTGTTCTGGCCAAGGTAGCAGGGGACTGCCTGGATGAGAAGCAGTGTAAGCAGTGCGCAAACAAGGTGAGCCCAGCACCCGGGAGCCCTGCCTGCTCCCCTGGGGTGCACCTCTGCCTTCTCTTGTTTACTTGGTCCCGGGGCTCCAGTGGCTCGGCTGATGAAAACACTAAAGGCTTCTTGGAAATCCGCCTTGCCCGGCAGCACAGGCCTTTGTGTCAGGGGTCGGACGCCCGAGGTTTTGGCTGCACCACCCTGTCACCATGGTTAGGAAACCAGGATTTGTTGTTCCAAGCTGGCATGATGTTGACAGCTGTTTAAAGGGTCAGGAGGGTTGGGGGCCCTGGCCTTCCCAGGCAAGCTCTGCACATGGAAGCACACCCTCAGCCCTTGGGCCTTTTTGGGGCCTGATGATAGAAGGAATTTTGACAATAAAGGTGTTTAATTCATAGCTATAAACGGACAGGTCATGGGCAGACGTGGCTTTGGTTGGTTATAGTTGGGTCATGTGACACGAGTAAGAATTAAAGGTGCCATGCAAGGTGACCTTGCTGTGGCCAGTAGCCATAATACTGCCCTGCCTCTTGCTGTCCAGATTGTCACTTCTTCTACTGGGCACCAGACAGCCTCCCAGGCTGTCAGGGACCAGGGATCACATGAGCCAGGGCTGCAGCGCCCAGGAGAGTGAATAGGCGTCCAATGTGTGCATGATGCAGATATCTGTGAATCACAGAACCATGCCTCTGGCTCGCCCTCCACCCTCCCCATGGGTACAAGAACCCAGGCGTGCTGGGCTGGTGGAGCAGGCCTGAAATCCCAGCCCCCAAGAGGCTGAGGCAGGAGGATCACCAGCAGTTCAAGGCTAGACTGGGTTCCATAGTGAGTTCAAGGCCAACCAGAACTACAAAGGGAGACAGTGTCTCAAGAAACAAAAATACGCAGTGAGGCTGGAGCTTTGAACCTGCGGAGGCCCCATCCCACACTTGCCCTTCCTCCAGACCCTGAGCAGTCCTCACCCCTGGATCCCATACAAGAGGGCCCAGCAGCCCTCCACCCTCTCTGGAATAAGTCTGCATCTTCTGGACTTTTTTTTTTATAAACTTGACCCCCCTGGGAATGATGGCAGCAGGCTCCAGGCCTGGTTTTCTCAGGACAGAGTCTCTGGCGGTTCAAGCAGGCTTCTGCGGGAAGGTTCTTTTGCTCCTCAAGCCCTCTCTCTGGTGGGTTACCTGAGGTTTTCAGGAAAAGAATCATATTTAAGCCAGGGTTGGTGGTGCACTCTTGGAATCCCAGCACTTGGGAAGCTGAGGCAAGAGGATCATATCAAGCCAGCCTGGGCTACAGAGTTCAAGGCCAGCCTGAACCACCCAGTAAGACCCTGCCTTAAACAAAACAGATACGTGTGAGGACGCACACGCTGCAGGGAGAATAGTCCTGTCACGAAGCCCAAGTGACAAGGCCACAGTGGGTGGTGCTGGTGTTTCTCGTGTGCCCCTGCCGTCTCCACAGTCAGCCAAGGAGGTGTGGTGCCTTCCACAGCAACAGATTGGCTTGTCAGGGCGCTCAGTAAGGGACAGCGTTGGGCTTTGGCCTCTCCCCCTGCTGTGGTAACAGTGTTTCTGTGCCTCTTGTGGTCCTGGGGCATCTGTGCACACGTGCGTAAGCTGCAGTGTGGATGGAGCCAGGCTCTCGGGAGCATCCAGGTCCTAGCTGTGCTCCTCCCTCCGTGACCCAGCCCGCTTCCCTGTGCAGGGAAGGCCATCTGGCAGGCACTGGGTTCCTGCCCTCAAACTGAGCCAAGGGGACCAGGGCAACCAAAGCAGGGTGGAAGGCTGGGCATGCTGCCCTCAGGGGTGTCTGAGAAAGCATACATGTGAGGGTCTTCCATGGCAGAATTTTTATTTTCCTGTACTGGGCACCGAACTCAGGGCCTTACACTTTGCTTGGCAAGTTCTTAACTAATGTGCTATACTCCAGCCCTTCTAAAAAACTTGTATCTTGAGACAAGATCTAAGTCGCCCAGGTTGGCTTTGAATTTGAGGTTTCCCTGCCTCAGTGTCCTGAGTAACTGGGAGGAGAGGTCTGTATACCAGTGACTGAACTTTTCATGGGCTCTCGTCAGCATGGTGTTTCACACAAAAGGGCTTTGACAGCCTTAATGAGCTGGGCTCACAGGATTCTTGTGGCCAAGTTTGGTGCAGTAACGTGAGACACAGACGCGGGAAGACCCACACCCTGGGTGTGCTGGGCGCGTCTCGGCCTCGGCCCTTGAGCCCTCCTGCTCCCCTGCCCCCCAGGTGCTGCAGCACATGAAGGCTGTGCAGGCGGACCAGGAGCGGGAGCGGCAGCGGCGGCTGGAAGTGGAGCGAGGTAGGTGGGGTCCCCGTTCTAATCCTCTCTGCGGTCCTCCCCAGGGCAGTGTGGGCATCAGCACAGCCAGGCTGTGTCCTGTGACCCTCTTACTGTCCTGTCCTGTACTGCTGAAGCTAAGCTGCCTTCAAACGGGCTGTGGCTAAAGCAGAACCTCATCCCCTTCAGCCCCCCATAGTGGAAATCAGTGCCCCCAGACTTGGTGAAGACTAAAACAGCAGCAACTCTGTGATTCCCCTCCTGGGTCTTGTTTGTTTGTTTTAGACACAGGGTCTCGCTGTGTAGTTCATGCTGGCCTTCAGCTCACAGTGGTCCCCCCATCTCAGCCACCCAAGTGTGTCCAGATACCTGGCTCCTTTCCTCTGTTGGTCCCACATCTAGTCTGTTGTGGGACTGTGTCTATCTCCTCTGAAATAGGTTCCCATTCTGTAGACTTATGCAGTGTCCCCTGTGGTCTCCAAGGTCCCTGGTCTACATTCCACAGACACTTGAAGATTTCCCTGTGCTGGAATCAAACCCAGAGTCTGTCATGAGTAAGGATAATGTCCACTCTGAGCTGTGTGCCCAGGCCCTGCACAAGTTTCTCAGATGCAGTTTGTTGTTTGTTTAAAACAGACATGCTAAGTCAGATGTGGTGGCACACGTCTGTAATCCCAGCACTTTGGGAAGCAGAGGCAGGAGGATCTTTGCAAGTTTGAGACCAGCCTGGGCTACAAAGTGAGCTCAAGGCCAGCCTGAACTGCATAGTGAGACCCTGTCTCAAAGTAAATAAATCAATTAATTAAAAAAAAATGATGCACTAAACTTGGGGTGAAAACCAGCATAGCTGGAATGCCCAGTGGCCTTGTCCCCTGTCAGGGTGAGCATGTCCTTCATGCCACCACCACATCTCTGCTGTTGCATCTGTTGCTGGCTGACCCATGAGCACCCTGCCCCCGGGGCTGTGGCTAGAGGAGGGATGTGCCACCGTGTGTACCAGGCACAGCCAGCGTGGCAGCATGTGCCTGCCCATGTTTGCAGTGACCCTGCTGTCTTGCTATTAGCCATGCAGTGTGGGGGCCCAGGGTGGCCAGGCTTGTAGCTTGGCTCCTGTATACACAGTAGGCGGAGGAAGTGAGGGTGGTGCTGAATGTTGGGGCTCAGGGAGACTTCTGAGCCCTCAGGGGCCCCCTAACCACCACTCTGTGGCGTTCTGGCTTTGGGGAAAATATATCTCAGGCTTCCAAATAACCAACTTGGAAATGCATTTTTAGAACCCAGTAATTTGGAAGTCGGGCACTGCATGTAAACAGATTTGAGCTGCTGAGAAAACCTGTGTTTTACATAGAGTCCGAGTTGAGTTGGGAGCTGGTTCTGACAAACTCACTCTCGGAAGGACCTGGCAGGTATGAGCCTGGCCCCTAAGTGTGACTGCTCTGTCCCCCTGGGCCGGGTGTGCCTCAGGCTCTCGGGAAGCAAGGGGTCCTGTAGAACCCGTGTGATTTCATCTCTTAGTGGGGTCCTAGGAGGCCGCCTGCTTCTTCAGAGTCTTGGCCAGAATTGGTGGCACACATTTGTGATCCCAGGGCTCTGGGAAGCGGAGGCGTGGGAGCATTGAAAGTTGAAGCCCAGCCTGGGCAATTTAGCAAGAGCTTGTCTTAAAAAGTAAAAAGGGTGGGGAATAGCTGAGTGCAGTCTCCTGGGTTTCTTCAGAGTGCATCTCTAGTGCCAGAAACAGATAGGTTCTTGCTGTGTTATCCAGGCTGTGCTTGAAGTTCTGGGCTCAGAGACTCTCCCGCCTCAGCCTCCCAAGCGCTCAGACTGCACACACAGGCACTTGGCTGAGCTGGCTCTGCCTCCTGAATTGGTGCCGCCTTCTGGAGGGCTTAGCACCCAGGCCCCTCCCCTAGGCCCCTTGCCTTCGCCCTGAACTCTCCTGCTCCTAGCCCTTTGTCATCTTCCTGTGTGTGGTACTGAGATGGACCCCAGGGCCTTGTGCATGCTGGTTGGCACTGTACCTCTGAGCTGTATCCCAGCCCACTCATGTATTTCAAAATTGTGAGACAAGGCCTTGCCAAGTTGCCCAGGCTGGTGTCAAATTTACTGCCAGACTTCTGTCTTGGCCTCTTGGGGAGCTGGGATTACAGGCAGGTGTCGCTACACCTGTCTGCTTTTTTTGTTTGGTTTTTTTTTTGGTATTGAGGACTGAACAAAGGGACTACATCTCTAGTGTCATTTTTCTTTATTTTGAGACTAAGTAGCCCAGGCTGGGTTTGAACTTGTCTCTCCTGCCTCAGCCTCTGAGTACTGGGATTACAGGTATGCACCACCATGCCTGTCTTCTTTTACTACATTATTTTTTAGGTGGCTGTTTTAGTTACTTTTCTCTTGTTGCTGAGACAAAATACCCAACACCCAAAATGAAGGAAGGAAATTTATTTAGCTCACAGTTTGTGCAGGCTTCCATCTATAATCAGCTGGTTAGCTCCAAGGCAGGGTGGCATGGCACGGGGCAACAGTTCAAAGCGGCAGAAGACAGCAAAAGCAGCTAGAGCAAAAAGGGGAAACAAGCGTTTCTTCCCTGTACCCTTAAGCAGGCTGCCTCCCCCCACACCACGCTGTGCCCTCCTCTTGCACAGGCTCAGGATGATCACAGAGTCTTCAGTTAATTTCTAAACTTCTACAGTGGCCTGTGGCATAGGGGACAGAGTGACAGGATACATGCCAGACTGGAAAGCTGGCTTCGGGGAGTGGGAGGGGAGTCACGGTCGCCGGCTCTGCTCTGTTGCAGAGGCGGAGAAGAAGCGGGAAGCCAAGCAGCGCGCAAAGGAAGCTCAGGATCGGGAGCTGCGGAAGCGGGAGAAGGCGGAGGAGAAGGAGCGGCGCAGGAAGGAGTATGACTCCCTCAAGGCCTCCAAGCGGGAGCAGGAGAAGAAGCCCAAGAAGGAAGCGAATCAGGCCCAGAGTAAGTGGCTCTACATCACAACGTGCACCCCCGGCTGAGTCACTAGAGTGAGGTGCAGACCGCAGTCAGATAAAGGTGTTTTCACACCTGGGAGCAGCGCAGGAGGCCCGAGGGGTGGTGTGGTTGGGCCCGAGGCAGCTGCTGCCCACTGGCCGATTCCCGACAACAGAGTACTTTTGTGGGGCTGTGGTAGTCAGCTGGGTTGTAGAGTAGGCCTATGGTAGGGAGCCATCTCACTTTATGTTGGGGGGCAGAGGGGCATCCAAAATCATGTGGACAGCCAGGCATGGTGGCATAAGCCTGTAATCACAGCACTTGGGAGGCTGAGGTGGGAGGATCACCACAAATCCGAGGCCAGCTATGTAGCATGACCCTGGCTGGGAAGAAAAAACCCCACAGAAAAGCCTGTTTAGGGAACTGCGTCCATACCAAGCACCTGTGGGCGTGTTGCCTGCCCTGAGGCTCAGTTCATGCCTTGGGGCACCACACACTGATGTGTGTACCCCCTGGGTCAAAGGGGTACTGAGAGCCGCTAGCAGGAGGACGTGCCCAGGTACCCCATCTGCTCAGCCTTGCTGGGGGCAGCAGATTGCCTGTCCGTACCACCCCTTTTGATTTTGTGTTTTGGCTGAAAATGAGGCTCAAATCTATTTAAAGGGTAATGACAGGAATTAAAGGAGAAACCCTAACTGTGTGGCCTGTGGCCCTGTGGGTGCCATTGAGTCCTACAAAGGCATGTTTTTAATTCCACTCATTCATCACAGAGGATTTGGGAAAGACAAATGTGAAATCTCAGAATGCGGCAGTCACGCACCCTCAACCCAGTTGTCATCACAATTGACAGTGGTGGAAGTGGTCACCGTCCAGCTCTCTGCACCCATTATGCAGTGCTGGTGGCCTTCAGTGCTGTAGTGCTGTCTCCCCTGCGGGCAACCCCAAGGGACCTAGTTCTCCACAGCAGCAAGGAGAATGTAGGACCATGGGGACTGGGCTGCCAGGGACATGCAGCCTGGGTTCATTTCTAGCGTGGCCCTGGGGACCTCAGGGAGACAACAGTTATGTTTCAGTCTCTGGAAAGCAGGTTTCTGGTTTTCTCAGTTTTTCTTTCTGAATGGTACCGGGGATTGAAGGCAGGGCGTCACCACTGAGCCACCTCCCCAGCCCTTTTATTTTGAGGTGCTAGGGTCTCACTAAGTTACCCAGGTGGCCTTACACTTGCAGGCCTCTTGCCTCAGCCTCTTCCTGAGTGTTGGGGTCACAGGTGTGCACCACCATGCCCAGCAAGGAAGGAGAGCAGTTTCTAGGAGCTGTGACATTTGTATGCAGGGCTGATAGCTCTGCGTGAACACTCGTGTACCTAGAGCAGGTTGCCTCACACTAATGAACTTTGGTCTGCTGTGACTCTGTCCCTCCAGAATCCAAGTCTGGCTCCCGGCCCCGCAAACCACCGCCCCGGAAGCAGGCTCGGTCCTGGGCTGTGCTGAAGCTGCTGCTGCCGCTGCTGCTGCTGTTCATAGGGGGTGGGCTGGTGGCGTGTCGCCTGACGGCACTGCAGCAGCAGCCACTGTGCGCCAGCGTGAACACCATCTATGACAACGCGGTGCAGGGGCTGCGGCGCCACGAGATCCTCCGGTGGGTGCTGCAGGCTGACTCGCAGCAGTGAGCCCGACCCGCTGGCCCACTGGCCTCCGGCCCGGAGCTGGACCCCTACGGAACTGGGTTCTGCCAGACACAACTTCTTCTTAGCGTCAGCCAGACCTACCCACCGTCTATCAGCAGCTGCTGACTGGTACCGAGGCCCCCTTGTGGGACCTCTTTCCCCAGTCAGGGCTCCCCGGTAGGATGAGGAGAATCAGGAGGCGGGAGGGAGTGACCTGCGTGCCTAACAGGGCAGGCAGAGAGGACAGCCTTTCCTACTTCCCACAGAAGCTGTCTACAGCAAGGCTCGTGTCTACTAAATGGTCAGCGGTCACTACATTCATGCTTCTGTATGTCACAGCCCTTTCTTTCATTCCTCCCCGGGAACTAGGGCAGATCTGGAGCCATTGTGTTGTTGGGGACCAGGGGATGTCACACATCTGGCCTAGGCTGGGGGAGGGCACACCTGTTTCCTCAAGGACCTCAGACACCCAAGCATCTTAGCATCCACAAGGGCAGACTGAGGCCTTCCAGGACCACCTGCCGTCCCAGCCCGCCGTCCTCGCCCTTCTGAGGCAGAGTGGGACTCCCGCCCTCTGTCATTTTCTTTCCGGGACATCATTTGGCTTCCTTTATAAATAACAACTAAGAGGACAGAACCCCACCAGAATTACGGCCCAGCCAACGGCAGCCTTGAACAGAAGGCGGGTCCAGCACTCCCAGCAGAGCACCAGCGCTGTGGGGTTCAGGCGGCTTCTGGGGAGGCCCGCCCCCTCCTGCACGGCCCAGTCTGTGACCCTTCCGAGTGCTCACGCCACTGAATACCTCAGAGGGGCCCAAAAACTCAGCCTGCAGACACCGAGGCTCTGGCCGTCTGTCGGGAGGAATGGATGGGAACAGGGACACAGGTGGCATCCCACACAGGTGGCATCCCGGGCTGGATACACCTCGGCAGCACAGCTGTCCCTAGTCCCTCTGCCTCCTCCCCACAGTAATGGCTGGGTGAGGGAGCCCAGCGACCATCTCAGCGCAAGCTCCTCTTAATGGCTGAGTGGCAGCGTAGCTGTCACTCAGTACAGTGCAGATGAGCAGGAAAGGACTTTTCTCCCCTCCCCATGGGTAGTTCTGCTGCTGGGCCCACACCCTGCTCAGTCACTACACACGTCCTCCAGACTCCCCAGCCCCAGGGCCATGGGTCCAAATGCTTTATTGAAGCTAAACATCCAATGCATCCGACGAAGTTGTGGAAACACAGGAGCCGGCCTAGGTGCCAAGTTCTGGGCTGCTGGGCCAGCTCCATGGCAGAGCCCGGCCACACCAGCCACAGGCACGCGCTCACCCCAACCTCGAGGCCTGATGCTGATTCCTGTGGGTTTCTGCGGGTATTAAACCCATGTCCAAGTGGTCTGTCCTTGTGCCTTTTGTTCTGAGGGCTGGTGGGGGCCGCTGGGTTTTACTAGGAGGGGATCAGTAAGTGACGGTAGGTGCCAGCGTTGACTTCTGAGACACGGAGGACAGAAGGACAGAGACCAGGTGACACCCAGCCAGGCACCTGGGACGTGCTTCTGGTATTGTTTCAGTTGGTTCCACAGTTGGGGAGGTGGAACTTGCCCTGCTGTCTTGGGCCCTGAGGGCTGGCATCAGTCAGCACCGTCCAAAGACAGATCCGGCTGCAGAGCGGTCATCTGCAGGTAGACGCGCCTGGACAGCTCTGGACCGACTCTGCGGGAGGTGGCCGTCACACCCACCCCCCGCCGCACATGGATGTTGGCCAGCAGGTTCTGGCGCTCTTGATCTGAGTGACATTGCCGATAAGCCTGAAGTGGAGATGACCTCTTGGTGCTGTGACAGTTCCCAGTCACTTCCTGCCCACAAGCCAGGAGGGTGGGGAGGAGCCTGGGTTGGAGGGTACCAGTCTGTCTGCCCACCCTAGGTCACTATTACTGCTCATCCACCATCCCAAAGGCATGTTGTGGCCTCCGTGCTGTTCCAGAAAGACATCTGGGGCCCTGGGGATGGGGGACCCCTAGGGCAGCATACCTGCAGCAGGAGCTGTGGGGATGGGTAGGCATCCACGATGGCACTGGCCATGTCCAGGCTGACCCGGTTCAGCTGCTGAATCTGTCTCCTCCAGACCAGTGCAAGTCCCCTGCCGGCACGGTCTACCTTCACCCCTCTGGCCCAGCCACTCTCCAGGCAGAAGGAGAAGCTGCTTTCATCACGAAGCTTCCTGCGAACAGACCACCGGGTGCTGAGTCGCTAGACCCTGCTAGCTGTGGATTCCCTCAGAACTATGCCCAAGCTGAGGAATGCTCCACCAGGGACAGGTTCTGGGGTTCCCTGGCCAGAGACAGCACCTTCTGCTGGCTTCGGTGCGGAGGGTGAGGGACATTCTCTGGCCCCAGAGGCGTGAGGAAGGCCAGGCCCAGCATAGCCTGGCCTCGCAGGGGGACTCACTTGAAAGGCGCCTCGGCCACGGCCTTTGTGATGGAGCAGGCGAAGTCGGCCAGCTCCTTCCAGCTCTGCACAACCCGGACCTGGGCTTCCGAGTGTAGCTGCAGATCCACCAGTGCCTGGAAAGCCGAAGGCCACAGGAGACCCACCAGAAGTCACTGTCACCCCGCGCCTCTGTGCTTCCTGCTGTGCCTGGCTGTGTGCTGGGTGCCGAGGTAGCCAGCAGCGGCTAGCGGGCATGTTCTTCCATCTCCATAGCAACAGGCTAATGCATGGTAAGCACCCACCCGCCTCAGGATCAGGAAGGTCTCACCTCTTCCACGTCCACCCTGGACACAGGGGGCACCATGCTGGACACTCGTTGTCGCTGCTGCTTCTCCTTGCCTTGTTTACTGGCCATGTCCTGTGTCCCTCTCCTGGGAAGATTCTGAGCCCTACAGCAGGAAAGGAAATCAAAGGACAGCAGCCCCAAGCTGAATCTAGGACAAAGAGTGGACAAGTGTGTGCTTGCCAGGGCCACCTCCCTGTGGAGTGACCTACAGCTCGGGTGACCAACTCCCATGTTGGCGCGTGTCCCCGCCCCCATTAACACCTGTTCTCAAGAACCCACACCTGAAGCCTTTCTCCTGATCCACAATCACTAGGGACAGTGCTTTCCCGCCTGCCCGTGCCGTGACGTCAGTGACGAAGCCCTCCAGTGTTTCCTTCCTGTTTCCGCTGCTGCCCGGGCTTCCCTGCTGGCAGGGCCAGAAGTGGATTAATGCCAGCTCCCCAGTAAGAGTGGGCACTCTGTTCCACGTCTGGTCCCAGCCTCTGGCCCTGCGTACCTGCTTGAAATTGCGGATCATGGACACGAAAGTTTCTGCAAGAAGCAACACAAGGATCGCTGGCTCCTCCACCCAGGCCTCTTCATTCTGTCAGAGACCCAGAAGCCAGTCCCAGGGGGGTGGGTCAGCAGGCATGGAGCACTGAGCCTGAGGGCCCAGGTCACTTGGTAAGTTCACTCCTGCCCCATGTGTTACCCTCCTTGTGTGAAGTCACGGCAGGGAAATACAACCAGCCCCATGCTCTCTCCGTCACAACTGGCCAAGTCAGTCACTGCACCCACCACAGGCTCTGCAGGGCAGCGCTCGCCCAGCACGCCTGAGGCCCGGGGAGCCAATCGCTGCAGAGGCTGGGACCTGAAGCAGCCCCCAAAGGGAGCAAAGTCAGGGCCTTTCTTTCCTGGCTCCTTCTGGTGTAGCCAGAGCAGCAACCTTTCTGTGCTCCTGCATTCAGCAGGCTGCTTCCTCCCAGCAGCCCTCCAGGTTTAGGGCTAGTTATAGCTGTGCCAGGGGTAAATTTTCCCAACAAATGAATTTTTAATGTCACAACTGGAAGGGTGCTACTGGCATGCAGTGGGTAGAGTCCAGGAAGGCTGAGGCACAGGCCAGGGCCTGCCTGCTTACAATGAATTATCCAACCTAGAATATGAAACAGATCTAGCATCTGGGAAGCTGTGGCAGGAGAACTGCTGTGAGTTTGAGGTCAACTGGGGCTACAAAGTTGAGTTCAAAGGCAGCCTCAACTACATAGCAAGACTCTTATCTTAATATCAGCTACCCATGGCAGCACATACCTATAATCCCAGCTCCTGGGAGGCTGAGGCAGGAGGATTGCCTCGGAACAGTCTGAACTGTTAAAAATTAAATAAAAACATAAGATTGACCCTGTAGGGGCTGGGGATTTAGCTCAGCGGCATAAGTGCCTGCCTTGCAAGCAGGCAGTCGTGAGTTCGATCCCTGGTACCGGTAAAAAAAAAAAAAAAAAAAAGATTGACCCTGTAACTGGAAGGGGCTGAGAGTATCAGCTGTACCTCGGCGGGCCCTGCCCTTCGCCTCCACGTGATGCTTCGAGGCACAAGCTGGGTTTCGATGACACACCGGCACTCCATCGTCTGCAGCGCTCCGAGGAGCTGGCCCCCACCTTCCGTCTGCAAAAGCTCTGCAAGGCACAGAAGGGGCGAGTCAGCAGTGGCCAGAATGCACCCCACAGAGCTCAGGGCAAAGATAGAGGCGGGAGCACCTGGGTCCAGCACCACGACCATGTGCTTGAGGCACTCCTCAGGCCGCTGGGCCTTCAGCCTGCAGCTCGGCGCCTCCTTCTTCCTGTCCTGTTGTCTGGGGGACCCTTCCTTCCAACTTGCTCTGCCCTGTGGCCGCAGTCCCTTCGAGCCTCCCTTCGAGCCTCTTCTCTCCCGCTTCTGACTGTGCTTGGCTCTCTTCTCAGAGGGGGCAGCGACACCTGATTTTGTTTTGGTTCCTGCCAAGTGGTTGCCCTGGAGGAGGCAGGCAGGCTGGGGTGCTGGAGGGTCACAGCCTGGGAGGTCTAAGCTCTGGGCCTGGTTGTCTGCTGCAGTCAGTTTGGCGGTGTCACCAAGGGGGGCACCAGAGGCCTCTGCAAAGGAGGGTTTTCCCCACTCACGGGACGGTCCCTCATTCTGATGACTCTCTAGTCGTTCACCTGCGGGGCTGGAGTCTTTGGAGCTCCACTGCCTGTTGGTGAGAAACTTACATTTAAGCCGCCTGGCCAGGGGGGCAAGTTCCTCCCCATCCTCGCTTTCACTGCTCAGCACTTGGAGGGGCTCTGCCTGGGTGGGAGTGACGGCTGCGTGCAGGGCAGGTGGCTCCCCCGGCTCTGGGGACAGTGGTTGGGATGCCTCGGGATCCGAGGCGTCAACCACGATGATCTCATTGGGCCTAGCAGGTTGCTTCCTCTTGGCTGAAGTTGGTTCCTTCTTCAGGAAGGCAAATGTTGGCAACTCCTCGGAATCGCTCTCACTGGAATCCAAGGAGAGTGGTGACTTCCTTAGAGACATCAATGTGTGCTGTCGAAGTAATTACCTAAAAGGGAAAAAGAGATGAGACCCAGGAGCACTCAATTCAGTCCTCTAGCTGTGTGTATTGTTGTTTTTGTACTGTGGACATAACCCAGAGTCTCCCACACATTCTACATAAGCAATCTAATGCTGGGTTACATCTCCAACCCCTTCAAAAAAAGTTTTTTAAGCCACGGATATAGCTTAACAGCATAGGCACCTGCCTGACAAGCACAAGGTTGTGAGTTCAATCCCTGGTTAAAAAAAAATTTTTTTTTTTTCTCGTAAAACAGGGTCTGGCTAAGTTGACCAGGGTAACCTCAAATTTATGATCCTCCTGCCTCAGCCTCCTGAGTGCTGGGATTACAGATATACACCACCTCACACAATAGTCATAAAGTTTCAATGCAGGTAGTAAGGAGACTCACCACCACCTCCTTGTTGATATCTGTATTTGAAATGAAGATATCAAAAATTGACTTTTTAAAAACTCGACATATAATCCACATAATGTTCATCATTTTAAACACAGAATTTTTCTTTTATATCTTTTTGTTGCAGTACTAGGGACTGAATACGGGATGCTCTACCACTGAGCCGTAGCCCCAGCTTTAAAACAAATGTTAAATTTTGAGATAGCATCCCATTAAGTTACTCCGGCTGACTTCAAGTTTGCAGTTCTCCTGCCTCAGCCTCCCGAATAGCTGGGATTACAGGTATGTGCCACCATGCACAGTCTAAAATGCACAGGGCGGGGGTTGGAGGTATAACTCAATGGTGGTACTTAGTATGTACAAGGCCCTGGGGGTTGATCCTCAATACTGCAAATACTATAAACAAAAAAGTATGGCTTAGTACTTTTTTGTAAAATCAGTACTACTAATTCCTGAACACTTTGGTCACCTCAAAAAAGAAATTATACCTGGGTGTGGTGGCTTATGCTTGTAATCCCAGCATAGGGGAGGCTGAGGCAGGAGGATCACCGTGAGTTTCAGGCCAGCCTGGGCTACATAGTGAGTGCAAAGTCAGTCTGAACTACAAAGCGAAATGCTTATACGTTCCGTTTCTTTCCTTTTCGGCTATGATGAATAATGGTGTCACGAGCAATCCACTGCCCACTTCTGGGTGGGCATCTCTGGGTGCATGCCAGGCAGGGGGCCTCATCCCTGTCTCCTTCCTGCATCTCGGCTGACTCCTGCGAAACCAGACAGTGGGCCCAGCGGGCTGTCAGCGGCGGGAGTCCCCGGTCACCACGTCCCTGTCCAGCGGCGCTCGGGACGCCAGCCTCGTCCTGCGGAAGGCCCATGCCCAACCGCACTCACCTGCAACTTCTCGCGCCACTCTTTCAAGTGCGACCCGGGACCCGGAAGTAAATCTCCCGGTAGCGGAAGTAGGTTTTCCAGACCGGAAGCGGCTGTGAGGAAAACATGGCGGCCGCGGCACTGGCGCTGAGAACACGAGCAGTTGGTAACGGGATGCTGTAGTTATTGTGGGGCGCACCGGCGGGGAGGCAGGGGGGTGGAAGTTGGTCCCTGCGGACCACCCTGGATGCATGGAGAGGATCAGCGGGAGACACGTGAGAGGCGAGGGGCGGGTGTCGGTCGTCACGTGACGCGTCCGGGGTGGAGCCGCGGCGGTGCGACCGCTTCCGCCCTATGGGTGGTCCTGGGTGCCGCTTACTTGCGGTCTGGGCTTGCTCTGTACACTGAACAGAGTTAGGTCTATCTTTGTGGTTATTCAGTTAGCAAAAAACACGAAGTCACGTCTCCAGCACAGTTATTTCCAGTAGATAGGTCTCTGAGCACGTTGAAATAAAGTAGTTGGAAATCGTGACGGGTTCTTTGAAGAAAAAAAAAGGGTGCATATCCTTTTTAGGTTAGATGGTCAGGCAAGTCCTCTTACATAAAACCTAAGTTAATACCTAAAGGAGGAGAAGAGGCCAGGCCTTCTGCAGGGGACAGAATAGCTCGACCTGTTCTACATTTTATGATGTAAACTATCGCTCTTAAATAAATTTCAGGGGGGTGGGCTGAGGATGTAGTTCAAAGGTTGAACACCTGCTTAGCATACAGGAGATCCTGGATTTGCGCCCTAGTATTGCAAAAAAAAATTTAAAAACAAAGGTACAGCCCTGGGTGTGGCAGCACACACCTATAATCCCAGCATTCAGGAGGCTGAGGCAGGAGGATCCCTGCACATGTGAGCCCAGACTGGCCTACTTAGTTCCCTGCTTGAAAAAAAGAAAGAAAGAAATGAGGGTTGGGGAGGAATGAAAATGAAACCAAATAGGAAGCCCTGCAGATCAGTAATTTAGCCAGGTGTTAGCGGTGGCAGTGGCTGGACTTGGCCTGAGTTGGAGCTAGAATGCAGAGAGCTTGCTGATGAACTGGGCACTCAAAGTGAAGAAGAGCATCAGCACCTCTTGATTTCTGCCTGAGCAGCTGGGGTAAATCTCAGCACCATTTTCTTCGAAGAGAAAGATAGGCACTTGGGAGAAGAGCAGACATTTAGAGTTGGATCACGTAGAGAGCGCCAACAGCTCAGCTCCTGAGACGGTAAGTGAAGAGATGGGGAGAAGGAGGTGGAGCCAGGTGCTAGATATTAAGGTGTTGTCTCCAGTTCCGTAGGTTCATGCCTCATCCCAGCTACTTTCTGCTCCCTTTGATTGGTTTGTGCTGGGAATTGAGGCCACGGAGCCCTGATCTACATTTCAGACCTTTTATTTGCTTTGAATTTGAGAGAAGGTCTTGCTAAGTGGCCCAGGCTGGCCATGAATTGCATTCTTCTTGCCTCCCCAGTAGCTAGGATTGCAATCACACACCACCATGCCGAGCTCAGTTTCTTTTTAAAAGTAAGTGCCACTGAGCACCTTAGGGTTAAGCTCTCAGTTCAGCATGCTGCTCCTGGTTGGCTCTGTGGGCACGGGGAAGAAAGCGCTGCCTTCCGCAATGACCAGGAGCCCTGTTTGTGTGCCAGTGTCTGGCGCCTTCTGTCTCAGCCACTCTGGTGTCCTGAGTCTGGCTCCGAGGGTGCAGCCGGCTCTGTGCTGCTCTCCTGTCTGCTTCTAATGTTTGTGTGCTGTTGTTTCTCCTTGATAGGATTCAGTGTCAGGGGCTGGAACACTTCTTTTGTCCTGCTGTCCCCTCAGCCACCCGTGCATGCTCATGCAGTGCTCCCACCCTGGATGAACAGGCCTGAGTCGGCCCCCACTGTGGTAGAATGCCAAGGACTTGTGGCATTTCCTGAAAAGCAGCATAGCCTCCCTGCCTCTCCAGCATCTTTCTCAGCTCCCTGAGAAGCCAAGACCAGGGCCTACGGTGGCAGAGCAAGTGTGGCAGGGAGCCTTTGTGAGCAGTGTTTCTCTCCACAGTCTCAACCCTGTTGAGCCCTCCTTGCGCTGCAGCTCTGGCTGTCAGATGTGCATCCAAGAAGACAGGTGGCAGCTCCAAAAACCTGGGCGGCAAGTCCTCAGGCAAACGTTTCGGCATCAAGAAGATGGAAGGTGAGGCATGCCTGGCTTGCCCTGTCCACCGCCTGGCTTTGCCTAGGAGAGCAGGAGACCAGGCGACAGGTGGCCGCCCGGCCCTGTGCTCTGTTCAGCCCGCCCAGCATCTGGCTGCAGAGTGAAGGGCAGATGAGACCCAAGGAGGGCTGGAGGCCTGGGGGGCAACATGGGGGAGTGAGCCTTGGCTTTGGCGCTTTGCTGGGCCACCATGGTCCCTGGAGCTGCGGGTCAGTGCGCTTGCGGACTTGTCTTCCAGGTCACTACGTTCACGCTGGCAACATCCTTGCGACTCAGCGCCAGTTCCGCTGGCACCCCGGTGCCCATGTGAGTTGCTCAGCCCCCATTTGCTAGAATGGCCCTTCTGTGCCCAAGCACAGCAGTTAAGTTGCATTTATTGCATGATCACCATGTGCCAAGTGTGCCCATTCCTCTGCCTGTGTTGTGGTTTCTCCTTGTGTCCCTATGAGGGAGGGCCTCACTGTTTCACAGGTGAAGTGTCAGCGACCTTGATTGGGGCAGGGCTCAGTGACAGCTGGGATTTTCCCAACATGGGCCTCATTTTCTCTTCATTGGAAGAGTTATGTGATAAGTGGAGCAACTGCAGCTGTTTGAGGACTGAGAAGCAATTTGCTTTAGTAGTGATCTGTAATCTACAGCTGGCAGAGTTCTTACTGATGACCATAGAGTTTTAGTAGTTCCCCCAACGTTGGCTCTGGATATTAAACCTGGAGGTGCTTTACCTGGGTTGAGACAGAATCTCACTGAGTTGTCTCGGCTGGCTTTGAACTTGCAGTCTTCCTGCCTCAGCCTTCCAAGTAACTGGAGTGACAGGTATGCACCACTTTGTTCAGCTTTAAATGTTTTATGTTTATTTATTTTGAGACAGGATCTCACTGTGTAACTCAGGCTGGTCTTGAATTCACTAGGTGGCCCAGACTGGCCTTGAACTTGTGGAGATCCTCCTGCCTCAGCCTCCCAAGTGCTGGGATTACAGGTGTGCACCACCATGTCTGGCTTAAAGTTTTATTACTCTATCCTGTGAATAGTGTAGACATATTTCTTTTTAAGCTCAAAGGAAAGGAGTATTTTTATTTGGTATCAAAAAAAAGTATCAAATGCAATACTTTTTTTTTTTTTAGAAAACAAGCATAGTGATTTGTCTGTCTGTCTGACTGTGGGTGTTTTACCTTAATATGGTGTTAGCCTGGTATTTCTGCTTCTGCTCTCTAATCCTCAGTTCTTAGAGGATGAGGTACTTTCTGATTTCAGATATTTTTCAAACCTTGGGAAACTAATTCCAGTTTATACAACAGAAAATTTCTTAGGATTAAAAATAGACTTCTCATGTGGTTGAAAGACAGCTTCAGTTTAATAAAATAGAATTCAGTATGTGTACCAGAAATTAGATCTACACAGAATTTTTTTTTTTTTTTTTTTTTTTAGAAATTTCAGTTTTTGGGGCTGGGGATTTAGCTCAGCAGCATAAGCACCTGCCTTGCAAAGTAGAGGCAGTTGTGAATTCGATCCCCAGTACCGATGAAAACAAAGAAATTTCAGTTTTCAGCAAGTTGGGATTACTTCGTGAGTTAGGGAAGCGCTCTGTTAAGAGGACTGTGCTGTACTTTGAAATGTTTAGTTTTCTCTCTGTGTATGTGTATGGGGGGAGGGGCTCCTATGGCCAGGCAAGCACACCGCCGAGCCACACCGCCAGCCTGTCTGTGAGCAGTGTTAGCAGACGGAAAAGGCTGACAATAAACTGTCACTATTTAAGTGATAACGACTGGGATGTGAGTAGACGTCTCTGTGGTCGCTGTGCCTTTTGGAGGGCAGAGGCCTCAGCTGTGAGACTGTGAACTCCTGGGAGCCACCAGAGTAATAACAGTCAAAGGTAACATGTTGGGAGCTGGGGCTAAGCGGTGTGATTGTTGCCTCATTTCATCCTGAATTGGCCTTGGACGGTTAAGTCTTTCCCCATAGTGGGGATGAAAACCTGGCCCTGTAGACTACTTTGCCCGAGGCAGTAGGAGGAAGGGCGCTGGGCTCTGAGTCAGGTGCTGGCTCCAGGAACGAACCGCACTGGTGCTTGGCGCCTGGGTGGCAGTTGCCACAGATCCCCTCTCAAGTCCTAGAAGGAGACACAGCCAAGAACTGCACTGCCTCATGGGCAGCACTGTCGCTGTGTCACTGTTGTACTGGCACGGGCACTGCCCGTAGAAGAGTTCATATATTTTTTTTTGGGGGGGTGCCAAAGATTTAACTCACAACCTTGCACTTGCCAGGCAGGCGCTTATGCCCCAGAACTAAATCCCATCCCTCATCTGTTTTCTAAAGTGCCTCGGCTCTGTGGAAGTGGAAATGTATGCCAAGCAGCAGCTCCTGTGATAGCTTCAGTGCTCCTTAAGATTAACTGTTAAGCCTGCTCCCCGGGCCGCAGTGTGGGGTACCTGGCTGGGCCTGATCTGGAGGCCTGTCTAGTGTGGCCGCTGGCTAGTGGCATGAATGTGGTGACAGGCGGCAGCCCTCAGTCCTCCTGGTCGGAATGGGATTCGTTATTGGCCTTTCCCTGCTTCTGTTGTGGAGTCAGCAAAGAAATGCAGGGCAGGGGGGGCCAAGGGGGCCTAGGACGGGCCAGCTGACCAAAACCTTGTTGCAGGTGGGCCTGGGGAAGAGGAAGTACCTATATGCCCTCGAGGAGGGGACAGTCCGCTATACTAAAGAGGTCTACGTGCCCAAGCCCAGCGACCCAGAAGCCGTGGATCTGGTCACCAGGCTGCCCAGGGGTGCTGTGCTCTACAAGACCTTTGTCCATGTGGTTCCCTCCAAGCCTGAGGGCACCTTCAAACTGGTAGCTATGCTTTGAAGTCTTGGCTGAAGCCACTGGACATACTTGGAGTCACAGCAGTCTTGAGGAAGAGGTCTGCTGGATCGTGACTGCAGGCGACTCAAGTGACACTGGGAAGCCCTTTGGGAGAGCTGGCCTGGGCCCGAATAAAGCCAACTCTTGGGGACAGCACTGCTGCCTTGTGGGTCTCATCACATGTGAACTGAGGGTGGAAGCAGAGAAGAAGAGGCCCACGAGGGGGAGGGAACAAGGAGGCCCTGTGTTGAGGAGTGGGCTGCAGGGCAGAGCTGCTCTTTCCCCCTTGGGTCCCAGGTAGTCCAGGGCCAGGGCTGGGCCTGGGGGAGGGAGAGGGAACTGAAGGGAGCAGGCCACAGCCCCAGAGGTGGTTACACAGGGGCCCCTTTCCTGGTCCTGACCTCTGGGCTCCCCTACTCGGGCTGCACCTCAGTGGCTGACAGCTGTGCCACAGTGCTGAGGCAGAGCGCGGTGGGTCTGGGGGTCATGAAGGTGGTGTGGAGCGAGGCTCAGGATTAGGGTCTGCATGCAGGAGAGCATCCAGAGCTCGCTCATTCCTGGCTGCCCTGGCCCATCACTGGTCCTCTGCACCAGCCCCTGGAGTGTAGAGACTCGTTTCCATCCAGTGGCAGCAGCTCTGGGGACGTTCACTCGGAAAGTCTTGGCTTGTGTTTAGAGTGGGTCAGAACCAGGGGACTGCAGCTTGGATTTCTTTTGCTTCCTCACAGATGACATCTGGTGCTCCATCTCTGGGGAGGACTAGCGCTGGAGTCTGGGCTGGGCTCTCCCCTGGAGCTGGGGAGACTACTGTCTTCACTGAGGGGTCCCTGCGTGGAATGGGGACCTCTTCTGTCCTGCTTCTTCAATTCCTAGCGAGTCCAGGCTACTGAGCAGCTGCTCCCTGGGCAGAGTGCAGGGCTCTTTCCTTGGAAGCCGGGTGTGAGGGCGCCTAAGTTATGGTGGGGACGCTGGAGGAAGACGCAGGAGGGTTAGGACACTGCCCGCCCCGGCTCCCCCTCAGGGTGCTGTGTGCTGTCTCCTGCAGTGCGCCCTGCTCCCTAGCAGTCAGTGAGCCAAGGTGCAGGCATCCAAAGGGTAGAGTGGTTCTGTCCAGGCCCTCGGCCCAGGGTGGCATGAAAAGGAGCACTCTGCAAAGGGACACTGAAGGAGAGAAGCAGAGACTCCTAGAAACACAGAGAGCTGCGACTTAGAGCGTTAGGCCCCAGCCCGCCTGCCGTCAGAGACTGTTGCCTTAAACTGGGCGCTGACAGAGGGGACTCTGTTTCCCAAGGGCAGCAGGCAGGATGTCACTCCAGATAGCACAGGGACCAGGCCAGGTGTCAGGCCTACTTGAGGCCCAAGGCTATTGGCTGGAAGTGGCAGCAGGTTTTCACAGTAGCTATGACTACTGCTAGGCCAGCTGTGCAGAGAAGCAGTGGCGTGGGTGCCAGGAAAGGACACCTGGCCAGGAGCCCCGGGCCAGAAGTTCTGCCCCTTCAGGGCCTGAGGTTCAACCCACACCCATGCCACTGCCTGGTCAGCGCCAGGCCGAGACCCAGTGCCCTGTAGCAGCAGCGCTCCCCTCTGCAGTTCTGGCCACAAGGCCCCTCTGCCACCTTTGGGAAGGGGGTGGTGAGGACACCTGGGTCCTGCTGATGAGCCAGGGGAGCCCCAGCCCACCAGAGCTCTGCATTGCTCCAGCCCAGCTCAGCCCACCTACAGCCCATTGGTCCTCCTTGGCTGTCCTCTTGGCTCCCACTTCTCATGGAACCAGCGTCCCAGATCGCCCTGGAAACCAGGCACAGGGGCCACACACACAAAAGTCTGTGCCTGGGCTCTTCTCAGTCCCATACAAATACTGTGCAGCTCCAGGCCCATACTGCCTGGGCCTGCTCCCCGCCCTCACCCTGTCCTGCTGGACCCCAGTCCTCATCGTGACCACAGGGGCCCTAGCTGCCAGGGGAGGACTTCAAAGCTTTTGGCCTCAAAAGCCAAAGCCTCCAGGCTCAGCTAGCCCTGCTGAAAGACACAAAGGGACCCAGCCAGGAAAGACCAGCGAAAGGGGAGGACAGCAAAAAGGGGCCCCCCCCCAGCCTGCCCTCAGTCTTGGGGAGGAGTCCTGAGCCTGTGCCTGGGGCCACAGAGCTCCAGACTCCTGGTCCTCCAGTGAGTGCTGGATCCCTGCTGGGTTTATCTTTAAATCAGAGCCCTTAGGCAGGATCTTCAGTGCTGGGCTAAAAAATCCAGCGTGCTGTGAAGGTACACACCTGTAAGCCTGGCTGCCTGGGAGCAGGACAATGACAAGTTAGAGCCCAGCCTGGGCAACTTAGCAAAAAAATAAAGGTCTGGGAATGTAGCTCAGTGCAGGACACCTAGGGTCAGTGCTCAGCACCCCAAAACAAAACCCAGCTGGGTATGGTGACCCAGGCCTGTGACCCCAGTGTGCGAGGAGGGAGGGTCCTTGAGATCCTAGACTACAAAATGAGTTCAGGCCCAGCCTGGACTGCATAAGACCTTGTCTTTAAAAACCTTGAACAAAGGAGTTCAGGCCCAGCCTGGACTACGTAAGACATTGTCTTTAAAAACCTTGAACAGGGGCTGGGGATTTAGCTCAGTGGCATAAGCGCCTGCCTTGCAAGCAGGCAGTTGTGAGTTCAATCCCTGGTACCGATAAAAATGAAAAAGACAAAAAATAAAAACCTTGAACAAAGAGTGCAAACAGTGTTCACAGCAGGCAACGGCAATCTGCTTCTAGGTCCAGCCTGACATGCTGGAGGATGGAGGTGGGTGACACAGGTGAGGAGCTGCTCGTGTTAAGGACACTCGGAACTGTGGTGCTAGCCTGACAGCAGAGCCATGGCCTGGGTAATCCCAGGGGAGCAGGCCAAGTGTCCTGCCTTTTTTTTTTTTTTTTTTTGGTCTTTTTCATTTTTATTGGTACCAGGGATCGAACTCAGGACTGCCTGCTTGCAAGGCAGGCGCTTATGCTGCTGAGCTAAATCCCCAGCCCCAAGTGTCCTGCTTTTTACCTCCTGACAGTACTGCCCTTAGTACTGTCCTTTCTTACCTACAATAAGAGCAGAGGCTGAGAAACAACACCAAATCTCGACATCCTGGAGAGAGCGCAACTTCAGTTCCCTAAAACAGGAGTCAGAAAAAGCAGGCCTCTGCACCTAGGACCCTGCCCACCCACTGTGCCTTCTTGCTTCAGCCTTTCTGGTTACCTGTCTGGCCACACCCTAAGGAGGGCTCGCCAGGGCTGTGAGAGTGATCTGGGGGATTCCTTCTGGCACACTGCATAGCTCCCTGTAACCTGCACCCATCCCAGCCTCAAGCCGCAGCTCCCCAGCTGGTACAAAAGGGTACTCAAAGTGTTAGCCAGAGGGGTTCTCGGCTGAGATGGGGCAAGACATCATGGCTAACCAACCAGCCTGACCCGTGGTCAGGTGCGCCCTCTCCTGGCAGCCAGGAGAACCGAACATGGCAGCCCTGACAGGAGCGGAGCCCTTGTTCCCAAGTTGAGCAAGCAGCATGCAGGCTGCCGTGAATTGAGGTCTGGCAGCTCCCTCTCCTACTGCACATTATAGAAGGCGAGAAGGGCTGAAGCTGAGCCCTTGCTGACTGACACCAGGACAGTCAGAAGTGGGGAGGGGACTCGTAAGGGCCGAGCTCCAGGGTGACCAGCAGGCCCTAGTGGGGATCCACTCTGTTCTTGGTACCTTGAAAGGCGGAGCTTTAGCAGGAAGCAAGCACATGAGGGCTTCTGGGATGGGCCAGTGGCTGAAGGCAGAAATGTGACATCTGCCACAGTCTGGGCCACTAGTGGGTGGGGTGCTGGGTCAGGACGTTCAAGAACCGCACTTCAGCCAGGCGCCGAGGCGCACACCTGCATTCCCAGCACTTGAAGGCTGAGGCAGGAGGATTACCTCAAATGTGAGGCTGGCCTGGGCTACCAGTGAGCTCAAGGCCAGCTTGAAGCACACAGTGACACCCTGGCTCAAGACACAGAGGGCTGCAGTGGATGTTTCTGCAGCCCTCCGGCTGCCATGGAGAAGTAAGATGGGCCCTCAGGACTCCTACAGCAGCAGCTGAGACTTGAGAGGCCAGGGACACACGAGAGGAGGGATGCAGGCTGGGCGCAGAGCAATAGAGATATATTTCTTCTGTTGCATATTTCAGACTCCACACCAGCTTCAGGCACAATGCAGCTCCGGGTTCTTCTGAGCACCCTGACCCGATGGTCCTCACCCAGGCCGCTACTGAGGTCATCCCTCTGGCAGGCACCTGGAGCGCCTGGGACCCTCCCTGGCTTGGCGCAGCAGATCCCATTGCCCTGCTGTGCCACTTTGGGGCAGGTGTACTGGGACCCAGAGCCAGCCCCTCCCTGCTCTGGGCTCCCCTGGCTATCAGAGGAGAGGTTGTCCCAGGGGGCCCAGCTCCACAGCAATGGCCCCATGTCACCTGCTCTGCCTGTCACAGAGCCTCAGCTGTGAGTACCAAGGCCCAGCTAGAGACAAGGCCCGGGACAGTGAGGCAACCCCAGCGTCCCAGGACCGCGGCAAAAGGGCTCGCCACGTGGCCACATCCTGGGGCTGCTCCAGGTGCTATTGCACATCTTCTGTTTCTAGTTCCACCCCCACCACCCTTTTTATATTTAAAAAAGTACAAACCAGAGATGGGGGAGGCAGACCCAGAAGGGGACGCGGGTTCCTGCTCCTGGGGTCCCTAGCAGAGCCACCTGGCTGTGCCTGCAGGCTCTTGATGGCTGGAATGGGTGACTGCCTGGGCCTCTTGCCTCACCTGTGGGCGGGACACGCGCCACTCTCTGTCCGTATGTAAGGTGCAATTCCCGGTCCTCCGGGTGTGCTGGCTGGGACCCTGCTACCTGAGTCGCCCATCCGCTTTGACAGGCCCCAGCTCTGACTTGGGGTCTGGGGACAGAGAGCTCCAGCTGGTCAGTCTGCAAGGCTCCAGGGATGGGCAGGCAGAGGGGCCTGTGGTACACAGTCCTGCCACGGACCAGAAGCTGCTCAGTTCTGTGTCTGTCCAGGCCTCAAGGGCGGGCCCCGTGAGCTCTGCATGCCGCCGGGCAGCCTCCTCCGCAGGCTCAGGCTGGGGCAAGTTCAGGATGCCGCTCAGGCCCTGGAAGCTCTGCTCCGTGTACTCGTTGTGGGGCGGCCCCGCGTGCAGCCAGCGGGCATCATCTGGGGGGTGCAGAGCAGGCAGTGAGCACAGCCCTCGGAACCCACTGTGGTTCCCATGCCATCGCTTCCCAGGTCTGTCTTGCAGGGTGGTCTTAAGCAACTGTGTAACTGTGACCCCTGACTTCCCTAGTTTAGGGCTGAGTCACACAGCGCACTCAAATTACTTCAGAAACTAAGAAGCCAATGGGTTTACATCACGCACAACCCTGCCCGTCCCTTGTCAGTGGCTCCCAGAAGCTCAGGTCTTCCTGTCAGCCTTGTAGTGCTTCTCTTTCATACTCTGTGTACCAGATACCTGCCAATCTTGTTTGTTTTGAGACAGGGTCTTGCTGTGTAGTTCAGGCTGGCCTTGAACTCACTGTGTAGTCCAGGCTGGCCTTGAACTTGTAATGATCCTTCTGCCTCAGCCTCCCGAGTGCTGGAATTATAGGTGTGAACCACCACCATGCCCAGTGACACCTGCCAGCTTCTTTCTCTCAGCTTAGAACACACTCTGCCTCTGTCCTGGAGGCCCAGCTCAGTCCCTGCACCTCTGCTCTGCCCGCTGAGGTCTCCTCCACCAGACTGAGTCCCTCGAGAGCTGGGGACCAGGAAGACAGAGGGGGTCTTACCCGCCCTGGGTCTGTCAGGCCCTGCTCTGCTGTGCCACCCCTGCCCTTCCCCACCCTCCTGTGAGTAGATGTGGTGGAGAGGAAATGCCCATTGCACACCCACTGCTTACCTCCTAACCCCAGCCCACCACCGGCCACCCCAGGGGAACCTGCATAGCCCCTGCCGCCCAGCTTGGCAGACTAGGATGGCCACTCACATGTGCCAGCCCAGGACAGTGGAACTTAGGGCCCCAGAGGCACAAGTTGGGATGTGTAGTGAATAGGCTACATCCAGAGAAGCAGCCAGAGCAGAGCCTGAAGCCAGCAGAGACTGGCCAGGATGCGAGGCAAGAAAGATGGAGAAAACAGTTCCGGTTCCCATTGAGCCTGAGACATCTGCTGGGCCTGGGCACCATCTCCAAGATCTCCCCGTTTGCACTCGAGCTACTGGGATGCTGTATGTACCATGTACCCCAAGGTTTCCATGCACCACCCCCACTTTGCACAGGAGAAGATGGAGCTCAGGAAGGCCACGGAGCTGCCACATCCCATGCCCAATCTGCCTGGCTCACAAGAGCCCCTTCCCATGTGGCCGCTGCAGGCAGGCCTAGGTACAGGCCAGCTCTGGCAGCCAGCTTCTTGGGGGCACCTCCCATGCAGATCCTGCTCTGCCCAGCTCCTGGCCATCCTCTGGGCACCTGATCCTCACCTTTCCTGAGAGGTAGTTTGCGGTTGAAGGTCAAGGGCAGCACGAGGAAGCGGGTCTCACCCAGAGGCTCCCAGAACTGCAGCAGCCGCACGGTCCAGGCTCCTGGCCGCAGCGGCCGGCTCAGCGGAGGCTTATACTGGGTGACCTCAGTCTCTGCATCCACTGTGATGTCATACGATGTGGCCACCACATAGGTTGGGTCAATCCAGACCACGGTAGCTGTGAGGTTGGGACCCCGGGCCCAGCGCTGCATGGCCACAGGCTCATCCAGTGGTCCTAGCAGCCCCCCGAAGTTCCGGAAGAGACGCTCTTTGGGGTCCCACTCGGTGCCAACCTGCAGGAAGGCAGGCAGCTGGGCAGGCGCCTGGGAAAAATGTCCTCTCTACTCTGATGCTGCCTCTCACTGGGCCTCAGTTTCCCCATCTGCAAGATGAAGGAGTCAGACAAGGACTCTAATCTCTCAGCCCTGACATTCATTCTCAGCTTTTGTCCTGATTGCTGTACTCTGGGACTACAGGGAGCCCATCCCAGGAGAAGCCACAGCCTCCAGGCAGACCCTGAGGGAACCCCCAAATGTGCAACCTTAGGGCCCCTCTGGAGTGTCCAGTCCCTGTGTGAGAATTCCTGGGGTGTGGAAGACCGGGCTTGTGTTGTAACGCAGCTCACATCTCTGCATGTTCCGTGCCCCCACATGGAGGGCTTCTCGGCATGAACAAGTGGGGTGACACGGGTGTGGTAACTGGGTGGGGGGGCCCGAGGAACCCAGCCCACACAGGCCTGATGGAATCCCCGTCCCTCATCCCTCTTCCCACAACCTGGGTCTTGTTGGGGTCAGAAGAAAGCAAGGGGGAGGACCTGTCCCACCTTCACACTCTGGAGCCGGTTGGCCTGGTCACTGCGCCCCAACAGCTTCAGCGACCCCTGGGGCATCAGCCACATCTCAAGCATCTCTGCTGGCCCCTGGGCTGAGGGCTGCACTGTCTGCATCACCAGGTAGCCCTGGAAATGGTCGTCATAGAAATACAGGTGCACGCTGGACGGCAAACCCCGGGGCTCAAACCTAAGGAGGTTCCAGCAGGGAGAGAGGGAGAGGCCATGAGCACCCTGGCTTGGCCTGGAGTCCCGGGCGGGGGCAGAGGGGAGCCCCATCCTGGGCCCTTCCTTGGCTCAGGTCTCACACCCCACAGTACCTACGTCCCTGGCTCTGGCCTTTCATTACTTTTTCTTGCATTTTTCCCTGCCTCGGGCTGGGAGCCTCGCTGTGGCCAGCTGCTGTCTCTCCCTGATCACCCCACAATACGGCGCCGCACCCTGAAGAAGGCATCTCACCTGCAGAGCGGGGTGCCTGGTGGGGGTGCGGCAGTGGCGGCGTGGCGCAGGCCAAGGCGGACGAAGGCGGAATAGGCAGTGAGCAGGACGTCGCTGAGCCCGCCTGGGCCGTCTGCTGCGTCATGCGTGTTCTCCCAGTAGGCCTTGAGCGCTGGCGTGCCCGGAGGGTAGCTGCCATACAGGTGGAAGTCCAGAATCTCCAGGACCTCCTGATTCACAGTGGACTCGAACTTCCGGGCGAAGAAGGTAGGCCTGGAAACTTGCTGCAGGGGGAAGGTGAGGACTGTAGGGGCCGCAGGATCGGCAGAGGTCAGCTCCTGGGGCTGCTGCCACTGCCCTGCGGGCTCAGACCCAAGAGGGCTCCAGGGATAGGCCCCTCCTGCCTCTGGGTCCCTAAAGCTCGAGCAAGAGCTGGGGCCCAGGGATGCACCTGCAGCCGCAGGAAATCCTGGGGCTTGAAGTCGTTGGGGGAGCAGCCGCACCAGTCTACGATGTGTTTGTACTGGCACTTGCAGCCCAACTTGCGGTTCCAGTTGGTGACCCGCAGGTTGTTGTCCACGAGGCTCTCGCAAGCTGGGCTGTTCTCCAGCACGGTGTGAAAGAAGGACTGTGGTGGCAGGGGTGGGCAGGGTGAGCCTTGGCCAGCCCCTCGCCCCTTCCCTGGTGGCCCCGCCCACCCCACTGGCCCTTCCCCTCTATTGGCCCTTCCCCTTCCCATTGGTCCCGCCCCTTCCTGTTGGCCCCACCCAACCACTGACCCTTGCCCTCCCGATTGGCCCCTCCCCATGGCCCTGGCGCTCCCCCATTGGCCCACCTCGGCTGGGAGCAGCGTGTATGTGTAGAACTGCCGGAGCTGCGTCACCAGTGGGTCGTCAGTGTACACCACGTACTCTACGAAGCTGCGTGTCAGCACAAACCAGTCAGAGCCGCCATCCACCACGATGCCCACCGGGATCTGCCGCTCGCCCAGACGCCACATGTGCGAGTCACACTCGTGGAAGAGACGGTCCAGGCCCTGCTTCTTGATAAACCTGGGGGTAGCAGTGGGGGTGGCTTAGGATCCTGCAGGTTGGAGCCCCAGGTCTTGCCTCCATCTGGCAGCCAGTACTCCTCCCTCTGTGAGTGCTTAGGAGGCTTTTATTTTTGTGGTGGTACCAGTGATCAAACTCAGAGTCTCATGCATCCCAGGCAAGTGCTCCACCACCGGGCTGTACTCTCAGCCACACCTTCAAACAGGCTCTCACTAAGTCACCTAGGCTGGCCTTAGCTTCACATCTTCCTGCCTCAGCCTCCTGAGTCACTGGGATGAGGGATGGATGCCACCACCCCTGGCTGGTTTGTGGGTTTTGTACCATTGGGCTGGGGCCACTGAAATCCCCTTTGTGGAAAGAACTATGACAAGACAGCAGGGCCGCTCTGCTCTGCTTACTTCCCTCACCTGGAGTTGTCCCGGCCGTGTGACTTGAGGAAATTCTTGTCCCGGTTTTTGGACAGGAATGCCACCAGCTCTTCATTGGTCCTGGCAAGGGAAGCGGGTGTGAGGGGCAGGTGCTCCTTTTCCCTGCACCCCTGGGCCTTTCATTGTCTCTGAGTGTTCACTGGCCAGGTGTCCTGTCCTGGCTGTGCTTGGAGTGGGGACACCTAGGGAGGACCCCACCTTCCCCCACCCCTGGTCCCAGCATCTGAGGGCAGAGGCCTCTGGCCCGTCCTCATCCCCGTGTCCTATCAGCCTTAGTCTCCAGTTCACTACAGGGCTGGCACAGGGGACCATGTCTGGGCCCTGGAGACCCAGAGTGAGGCTTGGGGAGGAGGAGTCCACACCCGTTACGAGCCCCCACACCTGGTTGGGTAGTCAGTGGCGCTGAGGTTGATAAAGAAGTCCCAGGCCCAGCCAGGGACCTCCAGCAGGTCCCGCATGCTGCGTAGGTACATCCTCAGGAGGCTGGCACCACCCCAGATGGTGACCATACGCCAGGGGGTCACCCGCACGTTGTCATACCTCTGGGCTAGTGCCACCACCTCACGGTGCAGGTAGTTAGAGCGCTGGGGAAGAAAGGACACTCAGCAGGTACAGCCAGGTCCTGGGTTATGAGCCCCCACCTCCACCTGGGGTGGAGGACAAGTGACACGGAGTGGGGACATCGCAGGGCAGGGCTCCGGCTCCCAACAGCTGTGCCACCTAGTTTATTCTTTTGATATTTTAAGACAAAGCCTTGTTATATAGCCCAGCCTGGCCTGGAACTTATGGCCTGGAACTTATGCCTTGGCCTCCCAAGTGCCGGGATTGCAGTTGTGTGCCACCACCACACCTGGCTTGGCTACAATATGTTGGGCAAGGACCTTGGATTCCCTCTCTCTAAACTGCTGGGGCCAGGTCAGAGGTCTGTGTGTGACCTTTGGAGTCTGGTCTCTGCTTACTCCAACTCCGTGGCCTCCCTACTGTAGTACCTGGTCCACGTGGATGTAGAAAAAGTGCTGTGCGTGGTACACGGCCTTGAGGAGTCGCTTCAGCTGGCGGACGGCGCGGCCGTGCACCACCAGCATGTAGGCGATGCGCACTGGGGGGCCGTCCACAGGCGGCTGGGCCCGGAACTCGTCCCACTGGATACCGGGACTCATCTTGCCTGAGCGCAGAGGATGGGGGGTGGGTGAGGACCGGCCAAGGTCACAGGGCGGGGGTGATGAAAAGGGGCTGCCTGCCTGGGTGCCAGTGGAAGAAGCAGACCTGGAGCCCGGGGTCCCAGCTCTCCCTTTGCCCCTCACACGCTTAGTGCAAACTCGGACACAGAGATGATGGTGAGGATCCCGATCACATGATTGGCCTGCCCACCCAAGCCTGGGAAGGACCCGGTGCCCCCTCCCCATTCCTACCCGCCAGCTGGCAGTGCCGTGGCACCATCTTGGGCATGAGGCTCCCGGCCTGGTGCAGACACACCACGTTGGCGATCTCCTGCTGGCACTGCTTGGTGCTGGCCCGGGCCAGGGCCGACAGCGCGTCCTTGCCCACAATCTCACACTTCGGGGTGAAGCTGTTGTCTGTGGGCTGGGGCGCGCCCTCCACACTCCCCGTATCCCCATGTGGCGGGAAGCCTGCGGCCCCCACCAGGGCCTCCCCAGCTGCTGCCCCACTCAGGTTCTGCCGGCCTGGGGGCTCCGGGGGTGGGGCTGGCGGGATCCTGCGGCTGGCTCTGTGCCGGCTGGTGACCGCCCGCACCACCTTGGCCACGGGCACGCCCGGGCTTTCCGTGCGGCCCCGCCAGCGCCCATGCCTCCTGCCCGCGCTGCCCCTTCTGCCCGCCGAGCTGTCTGTGTCCTTGGAGCCCTCACCGGGGTCCAGTGGCCGTGGCTTCCTCTGTCTTCCTTTCTGTAAGAGACACAGATAGCAGACAGAAGTCACTGGGCAGCTCCTGCACAAATAGCACGGCTGTGTGGACCAGCGGGTGGAGGAGGCCTCTCATCCCCCACCTTGCATCCTGCACCCCACCAGCTCCAGATCACAGGGCGCTCTGCACTTGGCATCTCTGCGCTCCGTACTGAGACAACACTTTCTTTCAGTGGATGTTAACATCATGCACTTCAGTCCCAGGGTCAGAGGACCCCAAAGCCCACCTAGCACCTGCCTCTCACAGTGGGACCGGCTGGGAAGTCCTTTAGAAACCTCTAACTTCCAGCTACACCCAAAACATTCTGGACTAGACTTCTCCATGGGGAGTAGAAGGGCGCCCGGGATGAAGGGGTATCACCCAGCAAGGAGGGACAGAGGAGAAGACTGACACCCTTGCGATGGTTTATATCCAGATGCCCTCAAGGCCTCAAGGTGCCCTCAAGGCTCACAGGTGGGGTTTCAGGGAGGCAATGGGATCTTGGAGCCGAGGAGAGAGTGGGCGATAGGCGCGGGGCCTGGTGGGAAGAGGTGGCCACGGGGCGTGGCCTGGAGGTTTCTCTCCAGCCCCTCCCTCCCTCCCCCCACTTTGGGTGAGCCAGGCCTCCCTTCCCCACTGGGCCCCCCCATACAGCCCGCTTGCAGAGCTGGCTCCAGGTGCCCGGCAGGCTGCCTTCTGTGCGCCTGTGTGGGCCACTCTGAGCAGGACCCTGCATCCTGGCCCTGATGGTCCTCTATGGACAGCAGACGCCTGGAGGAGCGCCATGGAGCTGTCTCCTGCAGCCCTGGCAGGGGCCATCCCAGGTGGCAAAGTGATAGGAAAGAGGCTATGTGAATGCTCAAGTTTCTGCTGTGAGGGACTGCATGGGGCCAGCATGGCAACACCATCCCCTTCAGCTGTCCTGCTCCTTGCTGCCCCCTCTTCTGTCATGCCTGCTGGCAGCGCGCCCCATGCAGCGCTCTGTCCTCCTGAACACCCTCCTGACTCGGCCTCCAGGACACCGTGAGGGCCTATCTCCCCAGTTGCAGCTCTCAGGAAAACTGAGGTCACACATCACGTCACCCCCCCACCACGTCCTCACTCAGCCGCTGAATTCCAAGCCCCATTCACATCCCAGCTTGAGCTCCCCCCACTCAGTCTCTCAGCTAGTAGCCTCCCTGCCACCCCTGGAAACTGAAGGACCCTTCCAACGCCTAAGCCCTGGTGGGGTCCCCTCCCACTCTCCCAGCCCTTCCTTATACAACTGGGGAAACAGTTTGGTGCCCCTCTGTCCCCAACAACCCATATCCAGCCCAAAGGCAGAACCTGCCCCGCCCCTTTCCCTGTCTCACGGCCCCCAGGGTCCCTTCTCATCACAGCCTCCACATTTAGTCAGCACTCAGACCTCAGATCTCTGGGACTGCCTGGCGTGTGGTCACGCCCACCTTCCGGGCCCTGCATCCCACCAGGGCCTCGCCATGCCATGCTGGGCTCCAATTTGTGACCCTCCTGTCTCAGCCTCACAGGGGGCCCAGGTTACAGGTGTGCACCACCATGCCTGGCTTCCCTCAGGAATTTCTTCTTAATATGATGATCTAATTTTATTATTTTTGTGAGTACCAGGAATCAAACTCAGGACCTTGTGCTTGCCAGGCAGATGCTGTGGCCCTGAGCTGTATCCCCAGCCCCACGATTTTTTTTTTTTTTTTTTTTACATTTAAAAGACAGAGTCTCGCTATGTAGTTCAGGCTGGCTTCAAACTCACTGTCTCAGCCTGCCAAGTGCTGGATCACAGGCATGTGCCACCACACCTGGCCCTCGCACAACTGGTTTTTGTTTGGTTTGTGTTGTTTTGGTTTTTGTCACCCAAGCTGGCCTCCTTGGCGATCCTCCTGCCTCAGCCTCCCAAGTATTGGGATTCCAAGTGTAATCACACTGGGTTTCCTCACATGACTGGACACTCCATGGAGGCAGCACTCAGGGCTGTTTTGTTCACTGACGTAGCCCAGGAGCCCAGGAGAGGGCTGAATAATTGTGGACACTTAGTAAGGAGTGAATGAATGCTGCTATGGCTTTAGTGGAGACGCAGGTGCAGTACGTGCTGCAATTGCTTTTATTTATTTTTAGGGGTAGGAAAGTTTACTGGAGACTAGGAATGGGGAATAGGAACAGTTCTGAGGGACAGGAGGGGTCCCAATGGGTTGTCCCCCTATTATTATGATTACTTGGAGGAGAGGAGGAAAAGGAATGTGAAGTCGAGGGACAGTGGTGCCCTGAGACACTTGGACATCTCAGGCTCTGGTGGGCGGAGTCATCTCCTGCGCCCCTCCTGCAGGCCTGGCATCTGGGCCCAGGCCCCACAGCCAGCCCGCCCTCTGCAGTCCCAAGAGGTGTACCATGCGAGCTGGGGTGTCTGTCTCCAGCCGTGAGGAGGCAGCAGATCTTATTCTATACCCACTTTGGAGAGGGCACCCTGAGCCAGGCAGTCGTGAGGAGCTGGTGACATCTGACCAGCCACTCAGCAAGGTGAGAGACATCCCCGAGAGCAGCAGGGCAGAGAGGGCAGGGAGCTGTGGGCTCCCGGAGTGGAGGCAGGTGTCCGCAAGTGAGGAAGCCAGTCAGGAGGGCAGGGCACGGGGCCAGGCTGGCTGTGGTAGGGCACAGGATGTGGGAAGAGGCGGGCGAGGTGGTGGCCTGCACTGCAGCAGAAGCTGGCTGACCCTGAGAAGGACAATCCCAGAGAAGGCCAGGGCACTAAGTGGCAGCGGTGAGGGGCCTCTAGAGGCCTTGATGGCAGCCAGACCCCAGTGTCCCCTCCCAGGCATGGCCCAGGGCTTCTGTCTCCAAAAAGGCTGGCCTGGCAGCCTGAGGTCAACGTCCCTTCTGATGACTAAAGATGAGGTCCAGCCCTCTGGCCTGCCTGCATCCTGGCCTCAGAGTCCCCTGGTCCCCTCGAGAGGCACCGAAAGCCTCCACTACTCCCGGATGGCTCCACCTGTGTTTAAAGCATGTGGCAAGACAGCTCTGAAAACTCTGAGTGGCTCCTGGGGGCAGCAATCCTCCGGGGCACTCATGCGCCCCCTCGGCGCCAAGCACGGCATAATTGCACTTCCGCTGCTCTCAGGATGAACCCCAACCCCTGGGTCACCCATACCCACAACCATCTGGAGACAGTGTCGCTCCCTCCTGCCCACTCCTCGAAAGCTGCGCAAGGCCACTCTCCGTACTCCTGCCCATCGCTGCCCGCAGCAGCTCCTCCAACCCCTGATCCAGGCCAGCCCCTCTGCCTCACTCCCTGTCGACTGTCTGTCAAGAGGGTCAGCTCCAAGCATCTATTCTTTTTTTTTGTCTTTTTCCTTTTTATAGGTACTGGGGATCGAACTCACGACTGCCTGCTTTCAAGGCAGGCACTTATGCCGCTGAGTTAAACCCCCAGCCCCTAAGCATCTATTCTTTACTTTTAATTAGTTTATTTACTTATGAGGGCACTGGGATTGAACCCAGGGTTTTCCCACTGAGCTACATCCTCAGCTTCCCCCCACTTTTTTCCCCCTCCAATCCTTTTTTTAAAATGTGGAGATTAAGCCATTAAGACTGGGGCTCTTATTTGAGATTCTCGGGATTACAGGTTTGCATTGCCACGCTCGGCTTCTCTTCCTGTATGTCCAGTACTACATTAGCACAGTGCCTAGAGTCCACAGGGCCAGGTTTGTTGGTTGAATGACTGAATGGAGCCTACCCCTCATGTGCAGTGCTAAGCAGATAACCAAGTAAGTACTAACAGCACAGCACCCACTGGGGACTCCTGCAAGAGTCACAACTGTCCCCACTCACACACACTCACAAGGAAGCTGCTCCCCTTACCTGTCACAAGGGATACTGGAGTGGTGGCTCGCTGGTCTGGCGTTTTGCTGAGCAGCAGAGCTGGGACAGAAGGGTGACAATGGCGGTGCCACTTCAGCACTGCCTGCCCACCTGAGGCTGAGGGGACGGCCGTGTGGGGCACAGAACAGATGGTAGTCTACACTGCACAACCTCGAGGTCCCTGGGGCGCTTTCTCAGCCCCAGACTGGGGATCCTCAGTGAGCTTCAGCCAGGAACCCCCAGGTTCCCAATCTCTGCACCCCCCAGGTTCCCAACCTCTGCACCCTAGGCTGTGGGCAGATGTTCACGGACTGCAACCCGTGTGGAAGCTCTGAGACCGGAGCCTAGGTCCCAGGGCCACCTGTCCTGAGAAGGCTCAGGTGCCTTGTATGGGTGGTCACGCCCTGTGCTCACTCCCTCCCGGGGCCACTGGGCTCCTCAGCTCCAGCCTAGGACGTCCCATGGCCCTCAAAGCCACTTCCTGCACCAGACCTTAAACTCCCTCCTCCTCTTCCTCCTACTTCTTGATGCCCAAAGAACAGCAGAACAAGCGCATCCCCTTTGCCCCAGCTCCTTTTAGGGTTGTGGTCTCTTCCTGCGCCCCTCACTGTCCCAGCTTCTCAGCTCCCCCCAAAAGACGAGGGCAGCTTTTTGTCTGGTCTCCTCCCAGGCCTTCCAGACGGCGGGGACGCAGGGAGGAGAGGGACAGGGGCACCCCGGCCTTCACCTTGTCAAGTAGAGAAGCCCAAGAGGCCCTGGCAAGCGGAACGTCTGACCGGAACTGACAGGGGCACCAAAACAAGGGTGCAGGGGCGGGGACGCTGCCCTCTGGCCTCCCCCGCCGGCCCCTTGCTGGCCACGGACTGATGCTCTGGGCCTCCGGGTGAAGGTGCAGCGACCAGGGGTGCGGAAGAGCCTCGGGCAGGGACCCGGGCTCCGCCGAACCGGCCGCTGGACTCCTCTCGGATCCTGACCGTCCCGAGGCCAACTCCTCGGCGCTTCTCCCTCCCAGGCCCCCGGCCGAGAAAGCCACACCTCGAAGACGCCACGGCGTTCACCCGGGGTCACCACCGCTCCCTCACTCCGGCGCACTCCGTCACTGGCCAATTTCACCGCCCTGCTCCACTTCCCCGCCGGTCGCCGCCTCCCCGCACAGCCAGGCGCGGGCTCCCGGGGTCCCCGGGCCCCACGCCTCCGCCCCCTCCCAACTTCAGAAAGTTTGGCCCCGGGCGCCCACCTCCGCGCAGGCTCGGGCCCAGGCCGCGCCCCGCCGCGCCCCGCGCCTGACCTTCAGCGCCCCCGGCCGGCGACCACCCCGCCGCCACCGCTCCGCGCGCCGGGCTGTCAGCGCCCGAGCCGGGCCTCGGGGTCACGCGGCGTCCCCGAGCAGCCAGGCCCTCCCGGGACGGGGCGCAGGGCCCAGAACTCCGCTCCGGGCCGCCAATGCCCGATGCCCCGGCCGGAGCCCCCCACCCGGCCCGGCCCCGCAGCCGCGCCAGGACCCCGCGCGCCCCCGCCCGGCCTGCCCGCCCGGCCGCCCGCCCGCCGGCGCACACCTCGCCCGGCTCGTCCTCCTCCAGGCCGCTGAAGCTCCACACCACCAGGCCCTGCAGCAGTAGGATGGCCAGCGCGGTGGCGATCGCCAGCTTGTAGCGCCGCACCAGCTTCTGCACCCGCGCGCTCGCCACCATCTTCCTGCCCAGGACGCGGGCGCGCGCCCAGCCCTGCAACCCGTCCGCGGGCGCGCGCGCGGGGGGTCGAGCTCCCCGCCCGGGGGCGGGGCCTGGGCGGGGCCGTGAGCGCCGCGCCTCGCTGGCTGGGGCGGGGAAAGGGGCGGGGAAAGGGGCGGGGCTTGGGCCGCCAAGCCTCCCAGTAGCTGCGGCGCTCCGGCCTTCAGCGCCGGTTGCGTCTCAGCACCCGCCCGCTAGTGTACACCCGTCCCGGCGGCTGGCCCGGTGCGCGTGGCGCGGAGGATCTACTGCCTCTCCTGGTGTCTTGGGGAGCTTAGCCCGAACAGCGAGCTCTGGGACACTGGGAAACCCGGCAGGAGAGGTCGTGCTGGCCTCGGGGCACCTGCTTCAGACCAGACGGGCCTCATCGCAGGCAAAAGCCACCCTGGGGCGCCCCAGCCACCGCCCGCCCCTCCAGATCCCAGGCCTCTGCTGGAGTAACGACCCCAAACTCTAGGCTGCACTGCCCGAGTCCTGATGATCTGTCCCCATGCAGGAAGCGGGGCCTGAGGGGGCCCGAGATTTGGGGTTTGCACCATTTCCCAGGCTGGCGTCAGCAGCCTGGGGCCACACTGAGGAGCGTGTAGCGCTGCTGCTGCTGTGGCTGGGCGTCTGCTCCCGTTTCCCCGCGGTCCTGCCCTGTTCACCTCCTTAGGTGCTGGGAAGGAACCCTGTCCCCCGGTGGCTGATCCTAAAGCCTCCCGAGTCATACCTCTCCTGAGCCTCGCAGGAGGTGGGGGGCTGTGCCCGCCAAAGAAGGCGGACAGAGATGGTAAAACCAAGATGCAAGATTTAAAAGGAAGACTGGCCGGGCCTGACTGCGCACGCCTCGTGACCCTAGCTAGCACTCCCGAGGTTGAAGCAGGAGGATCACCAAGCATTTGAAGCCAGTCTGAGCTACATGCAGACCCTGTGTCAGAATAATAACAAAACAAATGCAGGGCGTGAGGGTGCACACCTATAGGTCCAACACCAAGGAGACTGAGGCAGGATCACTGTTTGAGGCCAATCTGGACTGCATAGTGAGTTCAAGGGCAGCCTGAACTATATAGTAAGACCCTGTCTCAAAGTATCATTTAAAAAAAGCCCCAGAAGTCTGGAGACTACGGCAGAAGGGCTGGGGAGGCGCTGGGAGAAGGAACCCTAAAGTAGAGGAGCTCGGTCATGCAGCCATTTGTGCACAGCAGGAAACCAAGACAGGTGATCTTCTCCTATAGTTAGCGTTTGTAACCCGCGCCCTCCTTGTCTTAGTGCAGTGGGAGAGTTTTGTTCAGACGGCAGTGTGGCTACTTCAGACAGCCCACTCTTGAGGCAGGTGTTGTTTTTTTCCTTTTGTGTGTGTGGGGGCAGGGGAAAAAGACAGTCTCCTACTGTGGTTCAGGTTGGCTTGGACTGACAGCGATCCTCCTGCCTCAGCCTCCTGAGCGCTGGGATTATAGGTGTGCGCCACCACACGTGGCTTCACATATAACATTTATGCAAAGGTCACTGGCAGTCTCCAAGATAATTACTATTGTGGCAACTGCCCTCCATGCCCCTTTCTGTGCATGGAGCCTCACACGGATAAGCTCATGTGGGTTTTTTTGTTTTGTTTTGTTGTCATGTGGTTTTTAAATACAGAAAATTCTCTTTAAACTGGAAATGGTAGTCCAGACCTGTAATCCCACTCTAGGGAGGCTGAGGCAGGAGGTTGGAAGGTGATAGCCCTGTCTGGGTAGTGTGGTAGTTCAGAGAGATTTTGTCTCCAATATCAATATGGATGCAAATATTACTGCTAACAATACATTTAAATATTTTAAAGTATTTCTTTCTCCTCCTTTATGCTAGCAGCTCACCTGGCTTCCTTTCTGATTCCCCTCTTTCCACTTTTCCCCAGTCTGTACATACATACACATGTGTTTTTGCAGTTTTTATTTTTGGAGTCATTAAATTATTTTGGGAGATGTCATAACTTTTAAAAATTGAATTAAATTTTACGAATTCCCCACGTCTTTCTTCCTCCCTTAACATAAATGCACAGTAGAGGGCCTGGGGATTTAGCTCAGCGGCATAAGCGCCTGCCTTGCAAGCAGGCAGTCGTGAGTTCAATCCCTGGTACCAATAAAAAGGAAAAAGACAAAAAAATGCACAGTAGAAATTCCCCCTCACTTGGGTGAGACAGCTCTAACCCATCCTTTTTAATAGCTGAATAATATTCCTTTCCTGCATGTAATGGGCATTCATAGGTGTCCAGGGCCTCGCCACAACCAGAAGGCTGTAATGAACACATTTCTCAGCCTATGACTAAGTGCCTTTATTTTGGTGGCATAATTTCCCAGGATAGGGATTACTGGGAGAAAGCGAATTTTAAGTTGTAATAGAAATTACTACACGGCTTTCTACAGATCCTGTGTGAATCCAGGTTTCCAACAACAACGCAGAGGGTAAACGCTCAGCAGCAGGTGTGATTCTGTCTTTAATTTCTGCAACTCTGATGGGGGAGAAATGACCTCACTGTTTTTTAATTTGCACTTCTCTGTAGGCGCTGTTAATTGGTTTCTCCACTGTTTGGATTTGCTCTGTCCCAGAATGACCTCTTCACATACTCCACAAATTATTGCTATTACACCAGCTTTTACTTAACAGTTTTAAGGCCAAGACACTGTACCCCCCAAAAATGATTTAATTTTTTTTTGTCTTTTTGAAGCAAGGTTTTCCTATGCAGTTCAGGCTGGCCTTGAGCTCACTTTGTAGCCCAGGCTGGCCTCAAACTTGCAATGATCCTCCTGCCTCAGCCTCCCGAGTGCTGGGATCACAGGCACATCACCATGGACAACCTAGATTTTACTATTTTTAAAACATTTGTTAGCTGGCTGTGGTATTGCATACTTGTAATCCTGAGCTTCAGGAGACTGAGGCAGGGGAGTTGCAATTACAGTTCAAAGCCATTTTGGGTTACAGAGTGAAAGGTGTTTCAGAATACCAGGAAAAAAAATCTTACTGAGGTATAAAACCATTTTGATTTGATCATAGAGAGCTCAAAATTCATTATGCTTTTCTCTCTCCCCTGTGATGTTTTCTTGTGATGTTTTCTTTTATTGTAGAAAGTCTGGAAAATACAAAATGGTAGCTGGAGTTTAAGGCCAGCCTGAACGGCACAGTGAGTTTCGCAGCCGTCAAGCGTCTGACAAGCCCTGTCAGCAAACGTGTCTGCTCTGGGAGCCCAGCAGAGAGCTCATCCTTTGGGAATTCCTAATTTTCCCCTCTTAGTATACTCAACAATGTGCGGGTTTTTTCCCCCTCATCATTGTAATTTATGAATGTTCTTCTGGCGAAAATAAAAGACTCTACCTCACCGCTCTTCTTTTTCTTTTGCGATTATTTTGTTTATGATGAATGTCAACAGTATGGACGAGTCCCAAAGAGAAAATATCCCACGCGAGCCCAGGAGTAAACAGATCGCGGCTGGGACCTTCTGTCCTTCTGCTCCTGCAAATCATGCTGCTGCCACGCGAGGGCGCTACCGGGCCCGAGCCCACGGTTCCACTTGCTGGGTCCCCTGGTAGCCCAGGCTGGGGGTGAGCTCCATCCTGCGTCAGCCTCATGCGGGCTGGGGTTTTCTTCTTATGTTTTGAGACTGGGTCTCCCTAAACTGCCCAGATTGGTCTGGGGCTCACAGACCTTAATTAGAAGTTGCCCGATGTGACTCTGACTGGCTGCGAGGCCCAAACAATGCCCTGGTCTCGCACTCCTGGGATCGCAGCCTGGGCTCAGTCCTGTCACCCCTGATTCCAGGGCCCCCAGTAAGTTTCCACCCGGAGGAGCAGCGGCCCTGACCCTGTGACTGAAGCAGTAGTGACAGAGATTGACAGTTTGTGTGTGATACACCCTGAGGGTCACTCAGTAGTGACCACTCAATAGTGACCTCTCACTCATAGTGAGGCTTGCGCCCAGGGTCTTCACAGGGAGCCACGCCCTCAGCCCTCTTTACTTTGTGACAGAGTCCCCCTACATTGCCACACAGGCCGAGCTCAGATTTAGGATTCTCCTGCCTCAGCCTCCCTAGTGCTGGGTTCCAGGCCTGCGCCACCGCGCCTGGGGCAATCACAAAACTAAATCTGCGGGACAAAATGAAGGGAGTGGGTGTAGCTACCACCAGGCAGCCGGGCAGGTCTTGAGGGAAGTGGGGAGACGGCCCGCCCCCAGCCCTCAGGAAGACGCCCCGGAAACGGCACTAAAGCAGCACCCAGATAAACATCCTGAAATAAAGAAGCGGACGGGAAATTCCAACAAGTGGCAGAGGCGTGCGAGGTGTCATGCCGGACACATGTGACAAACACGTGGAGGTCACTGCAGGGAACATCTGGGTTTGGGCTCACTCATGCTCTGGGGCCAGGTGGTGTCTTCAGGGAGCTTTTTGGCGGAAGGGACCCACATGAAGACATTTTTAGGGTCCCCTAGGAAGCAAAAGCCATGGGGAGGGCTGTTTTTTCTCCACCTTCAAGAAAAGAAAGAAAGAAAGAAAAAAAGAAAGAAAGAAAGAAAGAAAGAAAGAGTTTTTTGAAATCTTTGGGGTGAGGGGGTGAAATATGAGACACACGAAGAGGAAAAGCCCAGCCTCAGGGGCTCCAATGTGACGGCTGGAGTGTGAACTCCTACAGGTAAAATTCCTGGCAACAGCTTACAATTACAGCGCTTCCGAGAGATAAAGGAATACACAGCTTTGAGTCAGGAATTAATGACCAGCATGACCCAGATGATGGGCCCCAGATGGACTCAGGAAGCCCGAATGCAGTCCACAGCCCTCCAGGCAGCCTACAAGACCTCCAACAGGCGTCCCCAGCTCCTGGGGATCCGCCCCAGCATGATCAGACAGGCCCCTGGTTCCCGGGCGTGTGGGCCCTGCACAAACAACCCAAAATGAACACCACATATTAAATTGGACCCTGAAAAGTATATAGACTGGGAAGACAAAATTAAAAGAAACAGGTTCGGATGTGGGGATCCTGGGGATGCAGCTCAGTGGCAGAGCGCT